ATAGAAACCTTATCAATCTTTCTGATTGACAGATGTGAAAATTTCTTTTTCACAACACGGTAACTATGATAACCATTGGTACCAACATCTTCTGATTTTTACAGATGATGAGGCTTCAGAAACGTTGGAGACAGAAAAGTTTTGACGAGCATTTTCCATGCGTAGTTCATAGGAGGTAGGAGCCAGTTCTTGAGAGACACCAGGATGGGAGCAGCAGCAGCAGATAGTTCTTGTTACAACTTCATTAAAAAAATTGTGGTATTTGACAAAATATTACATAGAAAAGTAATGAGATAAAAGTATATTTTTATTAAGGGTAAAAATAGACTGAAAGAACTCTGCTGCTATGAAATAATTGATCCTTTTTATATTGCACAACTCTCCTGAGTTTTAATGATGAGTCAACCTTTCTGGTTTTGGAATAGATCTATACTTTGTTTCCCGCCTTGGATTAAATGGATACTACTCGTTAGAATTGTTTCCAGATAACGTTGTCCCATATCAGTGGATCGGGAGCATGAGTATGCTAATAAATCTTTAGTATTACGAGACACTTATTTATCAGATCATGCAACGGTTACTGTAAAAGATGCATACTTGTTTGTCAAGTGTAATTGGCAATAGAACATAATAGTTGATCATTTATTCATTATCTTTGTAATGAATAAATTACGATCCCAAATATAAAATGTCTTATCGATATTTGTATATTTGGTTGTAGAAGCTAGGTATCCATTAATTCATACACTATTTCTTTATACTCTTTATCAGCAGTATAATTATATCAATATATAAGTAAATGAACCATTTATATTAATAGCTGTTCTATTCTCTCTCTGGGTAGCTAATCCATTGAGAGAACTATTAATATTAAGTTTCTCTTTCTTATAATTCTTGATTGATCTGAGAAGTTTCTCTTCTCGATCGGTGATATCGTAACTCAGTGGTATAGCATTCTGTATCCAACTGTCATTCGTATATCGTATTTAGGCCAATCATGCAATCTTTTATATAGAAGTATGTACTCGAAGTAGGAGAAGTTGTATAGCAGTATACAAGCGTATGCTGATATGCAACATCAAAGGTTGTTTTAATTTCATAGTTTATTTATTTAAACGATTTGCTTAATTATTCTTTAAGTGGATCGTACCCAAATACGACAGTATATACGATAATAAAACCTGTTTAATAATTTATCTTGTGTTTTATATAAAATGATGACTGAATGATAATGAAATCAAAACCCATTGGTTGTTTTATACCGTTTTACGAATGAAAATATGAAAAAGCGCAACAACATTGGTTTGAAACACCAACAAAGTTGTTGGACTTTCTAACAAGTATTGTTTATAAATCAAACAAAGTTGTTGAAAGGTTCAACAAGAGTTGTTTGTAAGATCAATAAAGTTGTTGAAAGGTTCAACAAGACTTGTATATAAAATCAACAAAGTTGTTTAATAGTTCAACAAGACTTGTTTGTAAAACAACAACTTTGTTTGCAAAAGCAACAAAGTTACATCCAACAAGTGTGTTGAAATAATCAACAAGACTTGTTGATTTTGTCAAAAAACTTGTTGGTAAACAAATCAATGTCAGCTATATCTCAAAGAACTATTTGGCAGTAGCACTTGTTGATTTTGTCAACAAATTTGTTGGAATCATCAACAAATTTTCCGTCCTAGTGTCTTAAATTATTGGTTTCCTCGTCTTTGCCTAAAGGGAATCCATTTCGAAAAAAAACAGTATTGAAGATTGGTAATGTCGTATGCAATTCAAAGCCATGTTATTATATGAATATTTGCAATAACTTTGATAATCGTAAATTAGCGATAACAGTATTAAAAGGGATTCATATCTTCAAAAACTATGTTGGTTTTAATAAGAATGTCAACTTTGTGAAACGCCGAAAAGAAAGCTTGCGTTTTAAACAGAATTATTATATACTTCATGTACAAATTATTTTCAATCAGCTTAGAAATCAGCTATATGTTGTGATCGAGCTTTATATATTCATGTATGCTTGATCTACACAGCATATTTTTATCCATTACGATAATTTTATAAATATTTCTTTTAATGTTGCATATTAAATATTCACAATTGACTTAATAAACTAGCACGATATTCATCAAGCTAAATACAAGTACAAAAGTATACATTTATTATACAATTATTCTAAAAAGACATTATTAATATATTGTACTAATCAGATTAGCGGAGGCCAATGACAAGCGAGGTTTAAAAGTACAAACACGATAAATTTTGAATGTACTTTGATGACTTTTAAATGTACGCGTCAAGTGACACTACAGACCTATTACAGAAACGTGTACCACTCTTTCTTCTATTACATGATTCTCATTGGATTACTTACTTTCAAGATATGGCGTGTCAGTCATAATCTTGCCTGTCATCTAGCCCTGTCTAAGAAGGAGGTCGAATTCAATATGTATATAAAGGACCCCTAAATTTTATGTTAATAAAAGTTCAGTTAATTTTTGCAATCTGGTTAATCTTACTTGTCATTTTTCCTAAATTATCATCGATTTATCACTATATACGTTCACAATTTCCAGATGTCTTCAATTCTTCTACTGGCACCAATTTAAATTACAAACGAAGTAAAATGTTCTTTATTGCAACCATATTAATATATGCCTACTCATAGTAACGTTTATATACTAATAATTTGAGTGACAAAATTTGATGATTTGTACTTTATGTGTAAAGAGTCTACCAGTCGAAATTGAAAACAAAAGGCTGTGTAAACATAAGCAGCGCAATACAAAAAGATGTCAATAAACGTTCAAGCCATTTAAATAGTAATACAACGCTTAAACTTTCATGAATACAAGTTGAAATTACCATAGTTGTAAAATATACTAGACTGCAAACACACTTGAGATGATCTTAATTCTTAATATGCACATAAGGACAATAATCAAAGACACTTTAAAGTGCAATCTATTAACAGCCTTTTTAATTCTTATTTGTACCGATTAATAGAGTCCAATAAATCACTACCTGTGATTTTGTGCCATTTTTTTTTCGTTTTTATATCTCAAATAGCAATTTTTCTGCGTTATAACTTAATCATTTTACTCTCCCTCCTACACGGCAACTTACGGCAATGTTAGGCAGATGGTGAACCTTCGCCTTATCACAATTATAGATTATTACATTTAACAATTTATATAAATAGGATAATTTCTAGATGGATAGTTTCCTTTAGTTTATTAGGAACCTTTAACCTGGAATAAAACCGCACTGGATATTTAACTTATTCCCTGCTTTCTTTTAATCTTTTTGTTTTTCTGTGCAAACCAATACCGTTTACCAAACAGACACCTAAATTCTCTTTAAAAAAATTCATGGATTCGGTACAACAAAAGACAGGTTTTTTCTATATCGAGGAAGAGAGCGAGCTGCTGAAGCGATGATGAACATTTTGGTACACAGTACTTCAAAGTATAACAAAGGTAAAAGAGAAGGGAGGAAAATAAAAAAGCAAAGAAAGAAGAAGTTTAAGAAGAGAGATGTCAAGGTTGATTTGAAAAATACAACGGATAAGAAGTAAGTAGCCTGTCGTATTTCCTCCTATAAATATCTTATAGAATGAACTTCAATATGGCTAAATTACAATATTCGAGTGGTACTCTCACATTACCAGTATAATCTTGTTACAGATTATATATTGGGAATTATAATATTATTGGTTGTTTTTGACTCTCATTAATCTGTTACTGAAGTATCAGCTAATGAGAATTTTTCACTTAATAATTTGGGCCAATCATTATAATAAATAATATTGATTGACTTAAGACCATGTAATCCTAATTACCATGATGCAGAAGATCGAAACAAGCTACTGCTTATTCCTTACATACCAGATTCAATCTCCCAGATGTTTGATATAAAAAACATCCTCCCTTTTGCGACGACTTTCTCCCCATAAATTTAATGAAGGATTAATATAGACTCATTTATTATTATCTCTTTTTATTTCGTTCTTCTATATTTCTATATCTCAAACATCACATAACCCATTTTTTTGTTAAAAAAATATATATGTTATTGTTAATCCTCTTGTTCGGAAAGTCCAAGTAAGTGGCCACTTCCGTATATAAAAAGATAAATCTAAGGCTCCGCTGGTAGTCTTGGGGCAGGATTATTTGGAATAGACTTGGTTAAGCTGAAGGGCCTTAGGTGTGGCGTAACTGGGGTTCTGTGGAGATTATCAAAAAAAAAAAAAAAGTGCAGCTGCAGTTGACCTGATCACTATGACGATTGACGAAAAAACATCCAAAATATTCAGTCAATGTCATTTTGGTGACCTGAGGGTGATTAAAACCCCCTACTTAAAATATAATGGAGTTAATTGTTGTCAAAAGTGTAAAAGGATGTGGCCAAGGGATGTAAATTTGCCAGAAATATGAAGGCGATCTCAAAGGCGATTTGATCAGGAGAAGAAAGACCAGAGGTTTTTAAACCAAAAAAGCTTTAAGCGGTAAGCCTAATATGCTCTCATTATCGTATCGCCGTAGTAAACAGGGTTTCCTTTCAAAAAAGATTCAGATCATTACAGATAAAAATGAAAAGTTATGTGTGTCCGAAAATTCATTTTCTCCAAAAAAGTAGACGACTTGTTTGAAAATTAAAATTTTCAACTGCTTTTGCAAGAATCACTCTGGTACGCTTTGTCCATACAAAGAAAAGAATAGACATAAATACAACTCTTCTCTCTTTTTTTGCAGAATTTTAGAAGGAGCATTAATCATGATAATTTTAAAAGGAAGTTCTTTAAATGTGGCCGTGGATAAAACTTAATATCCCTTCAAGTTGTTTGAAAGTGAATTTTGATTCGTCCAAAAACCAATCACTGTCTAAATTTAAAGTACGAGAAAATGTAAACTCTACAGTCTGGATTTGTACCACCTGTGACATGCGACAATGTTGTCATAACCGAGCACAATAAGACTTTTTTATTTGCCTCCTTTTTATTTTATATTTCTCTGTTTTTCTTATATTTTTTTTTCTTTTGTAATCTTAAAATGCTTAAAAAGAGACACGGTTTTTCGTTCGGAAATGGAGAACAGCATGAGAAACAAGACAAAGATTCAGGTCGATTACACAAGATTTTACGCTATAACACCACACCGACCCCAGTGCAAGAAGAGCAAGAACCCGAAGATATTCTTGCGGACAGTTTGATGTTTCAACAAGCAACACCACCTGTTTGGAAAAGAAAGCGATTTCATTTTATCGTTGGTTTATCAGTAGGATTATTAGCAGCTTATGGAGCCTCGACGACGCCCACTGCACAAACGCATTTAAACGAACTGCAGACGTATTTGACGCTACAGATTGCAGACATGATACCCGTGACAGACTTGGTGGATGAAATTTTTGGCAATTTTACAAATTTCTTTACACCCGTACCTTCTAGTGATCAAAGTTTTATGCCTGCATTGGTGCACAAGCAGGAGATGGACCTGAAACCGCATTTCCCTGTCGTCTTGATTCCTGGTATCATCTCTTCTGGATTAGAAAGCTGGGGTACATCTGAAAAGTCTCGTCGTTTCTTTCGAAAAAGGATGTGGGGTACCACTAGTAAGTAGTTGTGTAGTCTTGTTTCTTACTTGTTTAAACTGACAAATTCTAAAACAAAACAAAGCCATGTTTCGTTCGGTATTACTAGATAAAGAGATATGGACACAGCATTTGAAACTTGATCCTGTCACAGGATTAGACCCACCTGGCATCAAAATCCGTGCCGCACAAGGTATAGTTTTGGGAAACAATTTTACAGCTAGCACATGGAGAACTGATTTATTTAATATAGGTTTGGATGCTGCTGATTATTTTGTCACAGGGTAAAGTAAAAAGAAGGGAAGAGAAAATACGTGTTGTCATGTCAGGGTTTTAAATAAACATGTGAAATAGATACTGGATATGGGCAAAGATTATTGAGAATCTAGCCTTTATCGGCTACGATAACAACAATATGTATTTGGCAAGTTATGACTGGAGATTGTCCTTTTCCAATCTACAAATACGCGATCAATACTTTTCTAAACTCCAGGCGACCATTGAAACGTCCAAAAACACTAAAGGTGTCCCTGCTGTGATCGTGACACACTCTATGGGTAAAAAAAATATAAAGTTTTCTTATGAGTTACACAAGAAATCAAAACTTACAATTTTAAAAAAGGCTCAACCATGTTTCCGTATTTCTTGAGGTGGGTACAAGATCCCAAAGGAGGTAATGGGGGTGACGATTGGACTGAAAAACATATTGCCTCTTTCGTCAATATTGCTGGTCCTATGGTAGGTGTACCTAAAGCACTCACTGCCATGCTATCTGGTGAAACAAGAGACACAATGTCATTAGGAAGTTTTGGTGCATATCTATTAGAAAAGTTCTTTTCTAGAAGAGAAAGAGCTAATTTGATGCGTACATGGTAAAAAGTCATATTGATAACACGCTTTTAATTTACATCTGAAATCATAATAACCGTCATATAATAATAGGGGAGGTGCATCATCCATGTTACCAAAGGGTGGTGATACGATTTGGGGTGATCGCCATGGTGCTCCTGACGATACAGCTCTTGGGCAACATTCGTTCGGCAACATCATTTCTTTTACCAAAAAGAAGCAGAATTCCACTGAGGAGGAAGCTACTAACCAAACGCAGAAAGTCGTGGATGAAGATGCAGTCAATAACTACAGTGTGGATGATTCAATAGATTTACTTTATCAGACTGCCAACGGAGAATATACCAACATGTTAGAATCCAATTATTCTATGGGCATTAGTGAATCCAAAAAAGAGTTGGAAAAAAACAATAAGGATCCAAAGAAATGGTCCAATCCTTTGGAGTCTCAGTTACCAGTAGCACCCAGTATGAAGATATTCTGCTTGTATGGTGTTGGATTACCCACAGAGCGAAGTTATTATTATACAAAGGCAAAAGATGATGTTGAAAATAATGGAGCCAAATGTGATCACGATTGTGAATTGGATGTTGCTTCTTTATTAAACGGGTCAGACATTAAACAAGAAGAGTTTATAGACGCTGTTGTAAAAAAATCGTTTCATCATCCCAATGAAGAAATACCACAACCACCACCCATCGTAAGTTTTCAATAATTATTTTGTTTTTGTCTTTAATCATTCCACTTTTTTATCCTAACTGTTTGTTCAAGTATATTGATGGTGCCATTCATTCACCTGAAAATGGTGTACAAACCGGTGTTCGATTTACAGATGGGTAAGCATAAAACATGTTGGGGGAAAAGCATAGTTCAGGCCCCTTATTCAATGTATATAAACATTTTTTTGACGGTATACTTCTTAGTGATGGTACAGTGCCTGTTTTGTCGTTGGGCTATATGTGTGCGCCTTCAGGTGGTTGGACAAAACACGCTGATTTGTATAATCCAGGCCATAGCCCTGTTGTTCTGAAGGAGTATGTACATGAGCAAAGTGACAGTAAATTGGACGTACGAGGTGGCTCTAAGGCTGGTGACCATGTGGATATTCTTGGCAACTGGGAAATGACAGTAAGGATCTTTCTCCTTTAAATGAATTTGATACTCATCTTTCTCCCTTCTTCTTAAAAAGCTGGATATTTTACAGATTGTTTCAAACAAGGGAAATAACGTGACACAAAGAATCATATCTCATATAGAAGACTACGCCCAAAAAATTCACATCCATCCAAAGCCATGATAAATATATAAAAGAAAATGGGGAGTGTTTTTTTCCCCTATATATCCCTAATTGGACACTTTAGGAGGATGGTTGTTATCACAAAATAATTAAAGTTTTTACTCCTTCTTATTTGGGAAAGAGTGTGACTGTGTTTCAAAGATATAAATACTGGAACGAGGCCTTAAAAAATTTATGAAACTGTTTTCCCTTTTTACCTACTTTAATATTCTGCGCAGGAAAATATGACGACAGACAGACCATTGAGTCCACCCCCTACACCTCATTGGAGTGAATCGGAACAGAGCATGTATCCTAGTCCAACCTCGTCCTCATCCAATCCCAGAATCAAACGTAGACCGAGTTTGAAAGCATCCTATTCATCAAAAAGCACATCGATTCGTGAGAACGTCCAAGTCATGGTGCGTTGCAGACCACGATCGGTAAAAGAAATGACACATAATGAAGAAGCCTGTTGGTCTATCCAGCCAGAGGATGGTTCAATTGAGTTGGCTTGTTTAAATTCACTTCCCACCATTCGAACGTTTCATTTTGGTAATAAGCCCTCTTCCACCCCTGTACACACATAGACACGTATCTTTATTGACTCTATTATTAGATAATGTACTTATGGGTGTAGATAATGAACAAGTTTATAAAGCTGGTATTTTAGACCTTGTCCGGTAAAGAAGATGAAGAAATATTACTATCTTATGCATAAAAATACTCATTACTGCGAACCCTCTTTTTTAGATCTGCAATGATGGGATATAATGGTAAAACACAGCCACATATGCCAAAACCAACATTATATCAACACCTTCCTTTCTTTTCTTTTTTCAATAGGTACTGTGTTTGCTTACGGCCAAACAGCCAGTGGAAAAACATATGCAAGTATTAAATAAGCAGTGTTTTGTGTATAAACAAATCATTAACTAATTTTTTTCCTTTTTTAGACTATGGTACATACATGTGATTTCAACTTCTGTCAATATTATAGATATACTAACCCCTTATTTACCTTTACTTTTCTCAATTGGCATATCTAGATGGGTAAGTTATAATTTTTTCATGCTCTTTTATTATTATTTTTTAATCGCCGTATCATTTACTCGTATCCAGGTACCGAAAAGGAACCGGGAGTTATACCTCGTGCTGTAAAAGAAGTATTCACGTATATTGAGGAGGTAATTTAATTAACCCCGATAAAAAGAATAGAAAAATTTCCAAAGCTAATCATGCTTTTACAGAATACCACGGGTAGAGAATTCTTGTTACGAGTTTCATACATGGAGATCTACAATGAGAAAATCCAAGATCTTTTGAACCCCCGAAATACAAATCCCGAAATTGTAGAAGATAAAAAAGGTGTTCGAGTGCGTAATTTACGTGAGATCATTGTCAAGACTGCTCTGGAGGTGATGAATTGTATTCGAGAAGGCGAAGAAAACAGACACATCAGCGCTACGGATTACAATGAACACAGTAGTCGATCCCACACCATCTTCCAATTCATCATTGAAAGTAGGCTCAAGGGAATATCAACAAACACTAAAAAAAGTGTCAGATGTTCTCAGTTGGTAAACAAACAAAAAAAAAAAGGCTTAAGTTTCACGTGTATTAATAATGCATTATTTTTATCTGGATAGAATTTGATCGATCTGGCTGGTTCTGAAAAAGTAGCTACCGATATCGAACGAAGAAAAGAAGGTGGTTATATCAACCGCAGCCTTTTAACTTTAGGCAGTGTTATATCCAAGCTCACAAGCGAAGAGCCGTAAGTTTCCATGATAATTGATCGATCTTTATAAATTAACTGAACACTATAAACTAGCTCATCCCACATCCCTTATCGTAACTCCAAATTGACACGTATCTTGCAGTCGGCTCTGTCTGGTAATGCACGTATCTCTGTCATTTGTACTATCAACCCTACCTTCAAATCCAAAGACGAGTCTTTAAATACGCTTCGCTTTGCACAACGCACAAAGCTTGTAAAAACGGCTGCCAAAATGACGCGTATTGTGGATAATTCTGAACTTCAAAATTGCCTCATCAAAATTGCTGAATTGCAAACAAAGATGCAAGAAAAAAATGACGTAAGTTTTTTTTTTTTTTTTTTTTTTTTTTTTTTTTTTTTTTTTTTTTTTGGAAAAAACAATGTCTAAAACCAAATGTATAATAGCTGGAAGCAGAAACAAGGGAACGCCTTAAGAACTTATTAGGGCTTATTTTAACAAGCACAAAGGATGAAAATCCTGATCAAACTGAGATGGTAAAAAGTCTAACATGATTGTTTTGTATGTGTGTTGCTAACCCTTTTTCGTTTTCTTTTAGTCCGACTATTTCTCAAATATATCTCCTGATGATATGATGAAGGAGTCCACTATGCGTGATGTTGTAGCTCGTTGTGAAGAAGGCTTCAATGCTCAAATTACCACTCACCAAAATAAAATTGATAAAATGACTTTAAAGGTCGAGCAACTGCAAGACATGTTGAGTATCATGGAGTCCTTGAATGACAAAAAAGATGATATAATATCTAAAAAAGATGCTCAGATCGAAAAACTTCAACAAGAAATGACATCTTTACAGCAACAACGACAGCAACCACAGCAACGCCAACAGCATACTACCAGACTTACACCACCACACCCCAAAGAATCCATACAGCTCAAAGGCCTACGAGCTGAAGAAAATGAAGATTCACGACCTAATAAGACTGTATCTTTATTTGTTAAAAAATTTGTATCAAAAATCCCCAAGGAGAGCTCGTTAATTGCAAGAACTGAAGAAAAAGAAACTCAGACTGATGTCAAGTTAGAGCTTCAAGTCTGCCAAGCTTTCGGTATGGAACCTGAAGTATCTCAAGCTTCCCCCATGGAACTTGAAGTATGTCCTGCTTTCGATGCGGAACCTGAAGTATCTCAAGCTTCCCCCATGGAACTTCAAGTCTGTCAACCTTTTGGTATGGAACCCGAAGTATGTCAAGCCGTTGAAACCAAGCATGAAGTATGTCAAGTTGCTGAAGAACCTGAAGCATATCCAGTTGATGCATCTCAATCTGGCGAAGCAGAACTGGAAGTATGTCTAGTTGACGAAGAATCTGAAGCATGTCAAACGGAATCAGAGTTAGAGGTGCAAGAGTTATCTGTATCTATGTGCCCAGATACTCCCAAAGCATCTGACACATGTGAGTCGAAAGCAACTCCATCTTCACTCACCACGATTAAAGGGGATGCTAAGCCTCAAACATTTGATATACCCACACAAACCAGCATTACATCATTATCATCATCTTCACTTATACCCATTCATGAAGCAATTTCGTTTATTGAACCTATATACCACCACTCACCAACCGACGAAATTGCGATTGTGGACGAAGATACCCTTACGGAATTACCGGAGCTTGTACACGAACAAAAGGAAGACACCTACGTTCCTTATTCCGAATCCATCCGCCAACCATTCCCATTTTCCTTCATGGTTAATCGTTATACGGTCTTCTGTACCATCATGTATTTTATGGTACAGTTGAACGTATAACGGTTCAACCATGACTTTTTAACCACGGCAAGTTTTGCCGTGGTTGTTATAATTGTAAATAAAAAAAAACTTTCGGTTTTGTTTAAATTATTGTGTTTGTATAATAGAAACTAGTGTGTGTAACTGCTTATGATTAGGTAACTACTTCATGTCATAATGCAGTCATTGAACACCTCCTTACTCTAACAAATCTTTTGGAATTCATACAGAATATTCACTTTTATAGTTTAAACGGTTAAAGGATATTTCAAAGCTAAAACACACAAAAGAAAATGTCAATAATGATAATAAAAAAGGAAACAACCGTTGACAAAAGTTGCCATGATTAAAAATTAAAGCTGTTGTCGCTAAACTGTATCAGGATTAAAAGAAATGGTTATCACAGTTTATTAAAATCGTTGGCAAAAAGTGTGATGACATTTGATTTTTAAACATTGGATGTGAATCAAGCTTTGCAATAAAGATGATACAAAGTTATAAAAAATTACACGCATTAACTTCTGTGATACATATAAAGTAATTTAGACTAAACAAATTATTATTTGCATTGATAACAACCACGGTAAGTCTTGCCGTGGTTAAAAAAATTATGGTTAACTGTTATACGTTCAACTATACCATAAAATACATAATGGTTCAGAAAACTGTGTATTGATTACCCATTTTACCAGTGATGTGAGAAGAGGACTCCGCCTAGCTTTAAGTTAATGCCAAGCCATTCAGAGTCCTCAAAAAAACCAGATATTATTTTCCCAAAAGATCCCTTAAGATATGGCAGCCCTGCTATCACCTTATAGCATAACATTTTGCTTGCACGATAGCCAATAGCAAGCTCTTTGAAAAAAAAACGCCCTATCAGCTCCAGGGTTGATTTCTTTTTCATGAGCATTTGAAAAGTAAATTACACAAACATGGCTTTCCATGACGCTGACTGTTTAAAGTATGAGGCCAGCCAAAAGCTCCCTATTTGACGAACTTTCTGGAAGGGCGTGATGGACAGAAAACAAAGGTGTTGGGGTATAACGTGTAAAAAGAAAAATGAGAGAGAGAGAGATACATTAGTTACTGACAAAAACTAGTTTACGTCAGGATAAATAATTATTTTGTTCAATATCAGCGACCACTTCATAAAGGTTTCAAAAATACAAACAAGAGCAAATTTACGTGATTCAGAACATTGTTTTTATGTTTGTTCATTTACAAAGAGCCCGGATAGTTTAACGTCAATTCAAAGCATCAACTGTTTATGCGATCATGTGAAAGGCATAAAAGTAAACGTGACACGACGCTCGCAGGCATTTTGGATGCATCCAGATTTTTATGGCATGTCAGTCTTACGCATTGTTTGTTTTAGAAACCGGAAAAATAAGTCACCGAAAGTTTTAGGGTAAGAAATGACACCCCTTTTTAAACTTACATTTATTAAAAGCATGTTACAAGAGATGGAGAAATTTTATAGTTTTTTATTCACAAGCGACCTCTATTTATGATACCCTTCATGGTCATTAGAGGTTCTGGTTTTCCCAGCCCAAATCATCATTGATACATTCGCCTTTTATGATCACTTAGGCCGTCCCATCACTACCTTCAACAATCTGACTCTGTTCTCATCCAATTCACTTCATATTTTGCCAAAGAGAGTCTTGGTTTTACGTCTCTATACATTACATTAAAAAAAAAGGTTATGGAGTAAGAACCGAGGCTGTTTAGGGTGGCATACGTGCACAGGGTCTGTCGATGTGAGTCTATACCTGGCGGGTTTTGAATGTCTCCTTTGTGAGCTGAAGGGTTCGCTCCTAAAGCATGCAACTGTACGTTAGTCTGTTTCGGACAACTTAAGGTTTTCCTCTGTGATTTTGGCAACAGTTTGCTTCCAACTTGTAATGCAGTCAACGAATGTAAAACTAGGTATCGCCATGACGCGTTCAATGTCCCGCGGGACTTCGATCATTTAAATGGTCCAAAGATCAAACCACAAGTATAATCGTCGAATTGCCTACGTTGCTTGGTAATGTCAGTTAAAGGCATTGTTAACTTTAATAAAAAACAGTAAATTTTTTTTGACCTAAAATAGCAATAAAGATGACGAATTTGACTGCACGGGTAGGCTTTGTTCCATAAAACGCAAACACAAACATATCCCGGCAAAATTAAGGTTTTGTAATTAAATCATCATTTTCCAAAAAAGGTAACATGATGTAAAACTAGTTGCAGCAAACAGAGGTTCTGCTTGTTTATTCTACAATAAATCACATCACTCCTTCGGGGAAAGGCTGGACGCACGTGTGGTAATGATTCTGACGTACTCCAATGTAAATAAGAGCTCATACGACATTAAGAATTACGCTATCTTTAACATGGGTTATATAGAAGTGCCCTTGGCTCCATCGGGGGTAACTTCCTTCATGACATGAAGCGTACCTGAAGGGGAAGATGTGCCTGTGACTGACGTGTGTGAGACGGAAGGACCCCATTGTTGTTTTTTTAATCAAAGTCTTGGCATTGTTTATAGTTTGCTCTCAAAATAGATAGCTAGTCATTGTATTCGACTATTTACTGATAGAAAAAGAATAGGTGCAAAGTAGTAAGCGTTTATTTTATTTTTTTCCATGATTGAAGCCGAGAAGTGTTGTATAAATGCGTTTCAGATAGAATAAGGGTGGTTGGAATTTGCAGGATTTTTTTTTTTTTTTTACAGAAAGCCAAAAAAAAAAAAAAAAAAGGAGATGAGTGTGTTACACAGTGTAAACTTAATGATGCGATTCTAAAGAGGGGATAAACGCAAAAAAAAGTTTCATACTTTAGTCGGTGGATAAAAAGTAGAGGGTCGTCTCGGGACTAGTATCGGTGTATAATTTATATCAAACTTTTTGTATAAAAAGTAATTTATTTGTTAATATTTTTTCCTTTCCCTTTTTTTTTTGTATAAACAAACAACGCAATGCATATTACAACAGCTATTTTGGCAATTTTGGCCACAGTTGCGTTAGGAATTGAGGAAGGGATTATTCGTGCACCCATCATTCGTAACCCCAATGGTGGTAATCCTTTACAAGTCGCCAAAAGACGTCTTCAATCCATCCAAAGGAGACAACTTGATAAACGAGATCCCTTTCAAGCTCCTCTTTACAATGACCAAGGCTCACAGTATTTAATTGAAGTCGGCATTGGTTCTCCAGCTCAAACATTTGCTGTCACTCTCGACACTGGCAGGCAAGTGTTTATTAGAAACTAAAAAAAAAAAAAATTACATCAAGTATGACTTACCGCCCTCCCCCTCTCATTTTTAGCGCTGATCTATGGGTGCCTTCTACAGCATGTCCTGCTTCGAATTGTCCCTTTTCTCGTTTCAATTCAGCCGCTTCATCCACCTTTAAAACGTTGAATAAGCCATTTGGTATTCAATATGGTATCGGTAGTGTCAATGGTACCTATGCTACAGACACCGTGACTGTGGGTGGTGCCACCATTCCAAACCAACAGTTTGGTCTTGCCTCAATCACACAAGATATTTTACAACCGCATACATCCATGAATAATGACTCTTCGGGTAATCAAAACCAGGTGGAAGCCAACGGTATTCTTGGTATGGGATATCCATCATTGACACAAGCGAATAGTCAAGGTGAAGGAGCTTACAACCCATTTGTATTTAATCTGGTGGCCAAGGGATTGATCAAGGAGCCTGTCTTTTCCATCTATTTAAACAGTATTTCCAAGACGGGTTGGGCAGGCGAAATTACATTGGGAGGTATCGACACAACCAAATTCGATGGAGATTTAACATATTTACCGGTGGCGTCTTTAACCAGTAAGTCATCTACCATGTCTGGTGGTAATAATAGTAGTAATGCTGGGTACTATTACTGGATGGTGTATGGTCAAGGATTAGGTGTAACAAATTCCAATACGGGTACAAATCCAAGCTGGAGATTACGTGAAGTGGGAGCATATATTCTAGATACGGGTACCACTCTAACTTACTTACCCACCTCTGTTGCTACTGAAATTGTCACTGCCTTTGCTGGACCCAAAGGATTTGCTCTTGATAAACAATCGGGCGTGTTTATTGTGGATTGTGCTACCTCTCAATCACCCGCAAGGTTTGAATTGGTCATGTCTCAATCTAGTAAAGTGAGTGAGAATCCTATTGTGCTGAGTGTGCCAGCGAATGAGTTGGTGATTCCTATTGATACAACAGATGTGAATACGGCAACCATGTGTATGTTTGGTATCGCACCTTTAGGTGGATCTGGCGGAATTGGTGCAAATATGTATTTGATTGGTGATTCTGTGCTTCGCTCTTCGTATATGGTTTTTGATATGGGACAAAATCGTGTGGGGCTTGCTGCTACCAAGGGCATTGGCGGTACATTGAGATTAAATGGTACTACCACAGCTACTTCTAATACATCATCGGGAGTTCCCAACAGCCAAAGCTCGTCCGATGCTGTATTTCAAAAACAAAGTCTTGTTTTAACAATGGGTGCTTTAATATTCACTGCGGTTCTTATTTAATAGTATGACTGCTTGTATCTATATATTCTATATATAAAACCTCTTTTTTAAAACCTTGTTTATACGCACATACACACACTTAATGATAATAAAAAATAAAAAAATTGATCTAGGGTTTTAATTAACTGAAACTTTTTTTTTCTCTCTCTTTTTTCTTTATAATAAATAAAATTTAAAAAAGATTAATTGATACGTCTGCTCTTTTCTACATAATTAATGATTGCACTTGTTTTTCTGTTTGCGTGCGTCAGTGCGTCCATGATCAGTTTACCCATTACGAAAAGATACAACACACTGAATGGAGTACAAAAGCGCGGGTTACACCAAGCCACGTTATTTAATGACCAAGGATCTGAATATTTGATAACCATTGGGATTGGTACACCTATTCAAAATTTTACATTGTCACTGGACACAGGAAGGTATAAAAAAAAATTTTATTATTTTATCTCTGCTTTCGCTGATAAACCAAGAAAGTGCTGATTTATGGGTACCGTCGATAGAATGCCCTACAGAGCAATGTCCATTAGCGCGATTCAATGCGAGTGAATCCTCTAGTTTTCAGCGGATAAATTCGTCTTTATTCCACGTGCAGTATGGTATTGGAAGTGTCAACGGAACGTATGGCCGAGACGAGATCTATTTGGGGGAAGCGCACGTGTCACAACAACAATTTGGACTGGCGAGTTCTACACATGACCTCATTGTGGTGACATCGGAAAAGACCAATGAAATCTCCAATGGTATATTTGGACTGGGACATCCATCCCTGACCACCAGCAAAGAGAAATACGAGCCGTTTTTGTATCAATTGGCCAAACAAGGCAAGATTGATCAGGCCATGTTTTCGATCAGTATGGGGGCTAGACACCACGATGGATGGAGTGGAGAAATGCTGATTGGAGGGATCAATAATGATAAACATGTAGGCGAGATACAATATGCAGCAGTCATGGAAAATAGCACTTATTGGATGGTAGGCGGTCAATCCATCCAGCTTATAGAAGAAGACAAAGTGACGATGAATGAAACATTTGATGGTGTACGAGGGATGATTATAGATACGGGTACGACATTAACGTATGTAGATCACCCATTGGCAGACAGGATAGTACAATCTGTGGTGGGTGGCCAGAATAATGTGGCACTGGATCAAATGTCAGGTACATATATCGTCAACTGTCAAGCAGAAAATTTAAGCAAAGATAATCAGGTACACATCTTGCTGGAGAATGACATTGTCTTGGAGATTCCAGTTAAAGACCTGATCATCCCATTGGATGGTAAGACAATACAAGAAGCTACACAGTGTATGTTTGGCATCGCACCATGGATGACCACAGGAACAAGTGCAAAGATGAATGAAAAGGGTTGGATCCTGATAGGCGATTCTGTGCTGAGATCCACCTATCTTGTCTTTGACATGAAAAAGAACCAGATTGGGTTTGCAAAGGTAATTATTAGAGTAACACAATGAATAAACAAAAATCGCGTGTTAAATTCACTTTTATAGGCTGCCCATTTACAGGAAATGATGCAATCTTATGCAAACAGTGTATCACCGCCATCTTTAGCCTTTCTCTTATTCTCCGTTATAACATTAACGTTGACATAAATATATATATAAAAAAAATAACGTTTCTTGTAACACCCTCTCTATTTACATTCCCCGCTTGATTGCTGCTAAAAACAACAAATACATGGTCCGTGCCACTTTCTGTACTATCTTTTCTACCGTGTGACTCTTTTCATGTGGCTTGTTGCCGACTACATATACGTCATTCGTAGGGGGGGGGGGGGAGAGAGAGAAGAGGGCGGTTTTTGAAACACCTCTATTTTTCATTTGTCTCGAATTTGTTTAAGAGGTTCTATTCGATTAAACTCCGCCTATATTTCATTTGTTCCTTTTTTTAATATTTTTTTCCTTTTCTCTCTTTTTTCTATTTTTTTTTTTTTTTCAATTTTTTTTTTTTTTTTTTTGTGAAATACTCTGGGGAAATGACGCTTGATAATAAAGAAATGTTAATGAGACGCTTGGCAGATGCTAGTCAATATAAAATATACCCATCGATTATTCCTAGAAACGAGCTGCCTTTAAGAAAAATCTTATTGACCACGAGGTAATTTCCCACACACACAAACACAGGAGTAAAAAAAAAAAAGAAAAAAAAATAAAATTTTAATTTTTTATATTTTTTTGTTTTTTCATTATTATAGATTATGGAATCATGTACGCAGACAGCAAGCGTTGATACCCTCTGATGACTGGTTATTTGATCAGCAACAACAAGAAGCACTCTTCATGTTTAACAGCAGTGAGAATAATATACCCAGCGAAGAGAATAAACTCGCTACCATAGCAACCACAAATAACAGTGATTGGACTTGGTTTAACGAGGAGCAACGGGAACAAACGAAGGAACAAGTCCTTTTAGACTCGATAAATAATACTAGCCAAGACGAAAAAGAACAACCAAACAACAACCATCATAACACTCATACCCAACAACAACAGTTGCTGCTAATCAAATCGACGACTAATTTGTTATCTCATGATACATTAACAATAGAAAGAAAACGTTCTTTTGAAGACTCCGATGAATCAACCAAAAAGCAGCAGAAACTCAACTACCATCATCATCATTATTCAATCGATTCCCCGGCTTCACCGGCTGGTCCGGCTTCTTCCCCATCTTCTCCAAGTAGCCCTGCAGTCTTATTAAGCGCATAAAGTAATATATATTTTTTTTAAGAGAACCCAAAAAAAAAAAAAAATAGGTGCGGAAAATCCCTTTTTTTTTTAAAAATAAAAAAATAAAAAAAATAAAAAAATCTATTTTTATAATCACGGTAAAAGGTATACCCCTATTTCGACCAATGATAGCTTAATGAGGCGTATTTTACCATGAATGGTAAAACCGGGGATTATAAATAAACATTGCACAAAACAGCATGAACTGGTTTAAAATGTCATTTTCACCACAAAATGTAACCAAAAAAAAAAAAAAAATCCATTTTTTTATATACTAAAAAAAAAACAAATACAAAGTAACATCCCCGGTCGATCTTGTCATACTTTAAATTGTTTGGTAGAAAACAATATACAATGCAACACATAGAACTATCCACCGATTAATCAAGATTGAAAAAGGTAATACTTGGTTAATCGATCTTGAATACGCAACGTAACCATCATCATCTTCCGTCGTTGCCTTGGTTATGATCACATCACATGATTGGGTATCAGCTGTTGTTGATTCTGCATCACTGTCATCACTACTATTACAAACAGGATTCCTATTTTCCCAGAAACAAGCTTCTTTTTCTTTACTATATAGAGCTAAATGAAGCATTTTTTCTTCTTCATCCGTGGCATAGTCAGGTACTTCATCTTCTTCCATTGCCACATAATCGGGTGCGCTTTCTTCTTCGTAATCAGGCACCTGCTCTTCTTCTGCCGTTGCGTAATTGACACATTCTCTTACATCCAAACATTCAACAACCTCCTCGGAGACACTTGCAGGTGTATCTTGTAACTCAAAGCAGTCTTCCTTCTCGACAGAAACATATTCTTCTAGCAGCTCTGGTACAAACTCTTCCTCTTCAATGATACCAACTGCATGTGTCAGTGGGAAGGGATTTCCAAATTGGAGAAATAGCACGGCTTCCTTAATCGGAATAAAATCTGGTGTAACAGGGAGCGAGGTGTGAATGGCGTTTTGTAGTGCCTGCGTGATGGTATTTTTGGGGGTATCGACATCACGTGGTTTATTTAAAATGGTCGATGCCACCACGTTTTGGAATACACACGATACAGCGCGCGATATGTCCACCTGAGAGTCATCTAGCGTAGGTTCCCTTTGAGAAGGAGGAGTCAGACCTGTGGTGATGGCTTCCGAGATATGCTGGACGGATTGGACAATAGCGGGGGTAAGATCGCTCATGGGGGGTGTTTGTGTAGCGGAGTGAGATGCAGGAGTCGGATGCGTTTGAGTCGATGTTTCAACCGTCTTTGGTTTGGCTCGTAGGTCGGCAATGAGTGCATCACGCTCGGACAGAACCTCTCTCATAATTTTCATATCGGCTTGCATGGCTTTTACATGAAGCGTCATTTTATCCATTTGGATCTCGTGAGCAAGGATTTGTGCAGCAAACCCTTCTTCGCATCGAGCCACTACATCACGCATGGTTGTTTCTTTGCTTAAATCATCTGCAGATAGATTGGCGAACTGTGAAAACTTTATAGTGAGATTAATAAAATTATTCTCTTTTCATTGTTATCTTTTTTTTTTTTTACCACTTCTGACTGGTCTATAAGCTGGTCTTGGTCATTTTTCGAGCTTGTTAAAATAAGGCCTAATAAACTCTTGAGACGCTGTCTTGTTTCAGCTTCCAGCTGGAATAAGTATGTTCGAGTTAGCTATGCAGGATTTTTTTTTTTTATCTTTATCTTTTTGTTACGTTATTCTTTTCTTGCACTTTGATTTGTAATTCAGCAATTTTCAATAAACAATTCTCGAGTTCAGAATTATCTAGAACACGCGTCATTTTAGCAGCTGTTTTGATGAGTTTGGCACGTTGAGCAAAACGTAAGGTATTTAATGATTCATCCTTGGATGATAAGGTTGGATTAATGGTACAAATAATGGCTATTCTTGCATTTCCGGATAAAGAAGCCTGCAAAATCCGTGTTAATTTTGAGTCACGATAAGGAATATGGCTGGCACTAGAGAAAAAAAGAAAAATGAGTGAGTGGGGGGACGTAAAATTTTAATTGGGTAAATAGATTAAACGCCTACGGTTCGTCACTGGTAAGTTTGGAAATAACATTGCCCAAAGTCAATAAACTTTTGTTGATATATCCACCTTCCTTTCTTCTCTCTAAATCCGTAGCGACCTTTTCAGAACCTGCTAGATCGATTAAATTCTGTTGTAAACAAAATAAAAAAGATCAATAAGAATTGGGAGATGTGATAATTAAAAAAAATATATTTAAACGTACGAGTTGAGAAACGCGTACACCTCTGCTAGGGACACCTCGGGGACAACTTTCGATGACCAATTGAAAGATGGTATGAGAACGACTACTGTGTTCGTTATAGTCAGTAGCACTAATATGACGATTTCCTTCGCCATCCTTGATATAGTTCATGACTTCTTGAGCGGTTTTGACTGTGACTTCTTTCAGATTACGCACATTGACGCCCTTTTTTTTGTCTTCGATGATTTCCGGACTCTTGTTTTCTGAATTCAACAAATCTTTAATCTTTTCATTGTAGATTTCCATGTACGACACCCGCAGCATATATTCTCTCCCAGCTGTGTCCTAATATGTGGATTTTTTTTAGGCGTTTGTTTATTTGTTTGTTATCTGTCGAATGCTAAACTTACCTCCTCGATAAAAGAAAACACTTGCTGGATGGCACGTGGAATTACACCTGGTTCAGCTTCTGTGCCCATCTTTAATTCAAAAAAAGTTAGTTTATGGGGAGGGAGGGAAAAGTGACATAATGGAGCATATGTAAGAAAAGTATTACCATTGTCTATACATATTAAAATGCTGTGTTAATTTAGGCACATTTTATATATATATATATATTTTCTGGGTATCTTACATAAGTTTTACCACTTGCAGTTTGACCATACGCAAACACAGTGCCTAATAACATATTTAGTGACTATATAAAAATAAAAATAAAAATGTGTAAGGCTACATACCATTGTAACCTACCATGGAGGATCTGCAAATACAGGACACATTAGCATTTATGTATGCCATCTTTCTTTTATTTATTTATTTTTCGTACCTGACAAGATTATAAATACCAGAGTTATAGACTTGTTCATTATTTACACCTTTTACAACGTTATCTGTGTACAACCATGGATAAATAAGTAATCAGCGGATTTATTGGGAATTGTTTGCGAATTTACCATAATTGAAAGCGGCTATATTGGAAGGTCTAGCCAAGCCAATTGATCCGCCTTCCGTATTTATCGCCCAGCAAGGTTCTTCGCTTAATTCTTTTTGGGACCTTGGCGGTCTACAACGAACCATGACTTGCACATGTTCTCGAATCGATGTTGATTTTGAAGGTTGACGTGAGCTGGAGGATGAAGATGTGGGACTGGGATATGCTGATTGGTTCCATGAAGCGTGTGTGGATGATGATGTTGACATGTTGTGATAGGTTAACTAAAAAAAAAAAAAAAAAAAAAAAAAAAAGAGAGAAAGAAAAGAGGGGACGCCGTTCTTAAATTTTCACTTCCATGTTTATATGTGTTTATAAAACAGTCCAATTCCCAAAAAAAATTGGGTAGCGAGATTAGAAAAAAAAAAAGTGTTAAAAAAACCTTATTGGGAAACCAACCGTATATTCTTTTCTGTACTCCTGATGACATCTTCTTTCCCCTTGTTTTTTGGGCTTTCTTTTCCTCTTAACCTTTCTTTTTCTTCTCTCCCTCCCTCTCTCTCTTTCTCTCTCTCTGGAGGGGCCCTCTGTTTTTTTATCCATGCGCTATTAAAGGGAGTAAATTTGAATGCGGACAACAAAGCAAAAATGAACAGGTTATTTCTTGACAGCTGTCGTACAACCGAATTCTTTAAACTTTTTGTGTCCATATCACAAAAAAAAAAAAAAAAAAAAAATAGGATTATCATGTAATGCGTACGCATGTGGTTCTTTACAAAGTGTTATTCTCTCCCTTTTTTTGCTTTCATCTTGGATAACTACTAGTTTTCTAGGACAAAAAAGACGATACACGAACAAATCTCAATGAATATAAAAAAAAAAAAAACTTTGCACACGGAAAACCGCGACGTGTACTACATGTTACATTTCGATCGAAATTAGATTAGCTTTTTATCCTTTTACTTTTAAAAGCTTCTGGAGTTAAAACATGCTATTGATAACTTTAAGCTTTTTGTGAAAAAAAAAAAATCCAACTTGTTCTCTAAATAGAACGTTAATAGTGATAAGGATCATCCTTTTTTCATACCTTCAAAAATCATCCAATTAAAATGTTTTCTTGTCGTAAGTAGATTACTCAGGAACAAGAACGGAGCATGGATGCATCCAATGTTCTACGTAAACTAACGCTAAACTCATCATCCTGCAAAGTAATCGTATAAAGTCTCCCCGCAAACAAATATCCCCCCACACCCACGAAACCTAAACTTACAACTGTGTCTAAACAAACAATTGGGGAGGCCTTCTTTTGTTTGACAGCCTGCGCCGCTTGAATAGCACGTTTCACTATTTCATTTAACTTTCATAACCCATTTTTATAAAATAGCGAAAACCTTCATTTATCCCGAGATAAGATTCCAGATATTGAACTTGTTCATCAATATCATCTTGGAAAGATGTTCTAGAAAGGGTTGGAGGACCAAATAAAGAAGAGATAATGAGCTGACAGCTGTAAAAATAATGCCGCTTCAATTTTTGCTTTAGAAAAAGTTGGGATAGATGAACCGCAAACAAGACTGTAACCGGCAATCGATCAAAGTTTGTAAATATGCTAAATATTTGGGTAAAGCTGTTTTACTCGGTGGGTAATTTATTCTAAAAGAAATGCTGGGCAAGTTAATATAAACATCAAATCAAATGAGAATGGAAAAGGACAGCATATTTCACTAATCCGGGAGGGAGCGGTGATCAGCGTACATTCAGAAAGAGAAAAGGGTGACACAATCAACACTATACTCGATCTATATATGTGAAAACATAACATTCTGGTTTCGGGAGAGCCTGCAATGATGTTTGGGCGTAGGCGTAACGTATAAACACATGATGATTCATTTTATTTATTTATTTATGGGAACAATCTATCTACGGATTTATATTGGGACATAGTCATCCATCATGAAAAGAAGCATATCAGATCCTTATCATTCTTTCAACGCACTTTTTTTTGAGTCTCATCTCAAACCTGACTGTTGAGAGAAAGAAAGAAAAAAAAAGTGGTATACGCAGTTTGGATTGTCATCATGACATGAAATGTCTTCATTGTGAATGTAAATGATATATATAAATTTGATACATTCCGTTTTCTAGACTTATAAGATGTATATACCCTTTTAATTTGATGATGGCATGCATCTAGGCCTTACTTACAAAGTGGATGATATCACTTTTTCCCTTTGGATTATGCAGGTCTATATTTGAGGACTATATGCAAAAGGCTATGATAAATTATACATTAAAGGGAAGAGAAAGATAAGTAAATACGTCGCACTTTTGCTCCCGAATACTTGCTATATTATTTGTTTCACATAATGTTTAATTGGGCACTGTTTTCAGTTTACCACTCCCTAATGATGATGTTTCTGCTCCAGTTTTTTCTGTTTTTTTGTTTGTTTGTATAAAGCCAATCATTGGTGCTTACAAGCCAGACTAAGAAACCAAAGGGCGCAGAAGTGCTTTTTTCTATTTTCTTCACGGGCAAATTAAAATAACCCTGTGAACCAATCATTCTTCATTATATCAGACATTTATCTTGACCTTATCCGTTTATGTAAGTAACATGAGGGTTGAATCAATGTAGAAAGGGGCACCCGACCTCCCTCTTTTTATATAATGTGGTTTGTAAAGAATAATACAGTTATACATAGTTGTATATATACTAAACTTTGTAATGTTACGTACTGTCATTGATATTCAACAATGATGCTTCTAAAACCTGTTCCATATATTAGACGGCACTACTACTTTTTTACAGCCTTTACAAATCTGATTAACTACGTAATGGTAAAAAGTGGAGTAAAGGATCCAACTCAATGAGCATATAAGTCACTTTATTGAAGCATTTTTTGTAGTTTAAACTGTTCCTGAATTTGTTCTTCTATTTCAAAATAGCTGAAGAACGTTTAAGAATATAGTGGGTAGCTACAAAGTAAATCAATATCATACAATGTGTCTTCTCTCTCGTTTATTATTAATTTATTGTAATGGATTTAAATTGATTTTTTTTTTAAAAAAAAAGGAACATCGTTGTATGATTGATGAATCATGTATAGTTCTGAGTAAGTGAATTTATCACGACTGTCGTCATTTCTTTTACGGATGTGTTGTCTGTATTGAGGATTTGAATAGAGGGGTCAATAGTCTTGGGATCTAACAGATGACTGTTCCATAATAGGTATTGTGGATACACAATTTGATCGAAATAACCTGGTGGATCTACCCAATAGCCTAAATAAAACAAATCAACACAATGACTCAAACAACCCTAGATCCATTCCTTTTACCCTGTAAAGTTTTATATCCTGGTCTACTCTCTCTTCTTTTCTTCAGGACTTGCCTTGAAGCCGTGACGAAAAATTTGTTATCTAAATTAGCACACACGTCTTCATCGCAGAATAATAAAAATCCTTCTACGATAATAAAAATAATGTCCTCCAGGAACTTTAATTGGTCGGAAATGTCATTGAAATCTTGTTTAGTCATCAGGTCAGAACCATGATGATTATTCTGCAGCTTTTTTTCTTTTTTAGTCAATAATGCAAATGGATCCCTTCTTGCCTTATCAATGGCTTCATTTAAACTTTTGAAATCAATGGCTGCTGGTGAGTCCCAGTTCGCTAAGCCTGTATTTTCATCAATCGGAATTTGATCGTCAGACTATTTTCAACAATGAGTTTGCTAGCTCGAATTGAAAAAAAAATACGGATATGTAAAAGGGTTCACCTTAAAATACTCGTCTTGGTTAATAACAATAACTCTATTTAAAAGCTTTTTTAAGAGCAACGCTAATGTCTAGATAATGCGAGAATGATTTAACAAGCCAATGAAGAAAGACAAGATCACGCCTGGCTTACTGTTTTCCCGGAGCAAGAAGGTCCACTGTATTAACAAAATGAGAAATGAGAAGGTGAATTAATCGGGATCACGATCATGTGCAGGTACCTTATGCCAATGGTGACAACCTTGGTCAATTGCATGGAATGAAAATAAAGTTTCTGGAAAAAAGAATAGAGTTAAACTTACGGTCCCTAATTTGTCGGTTTTTATAAATTTTTTATGTTTATATACAATATGTTAGACTTTAACATTCGTTGGGTTTCGCAAGAATGTACAGTTGTGGCAAAGTCAATAGGCTATCTATTTGCATTTTTTTTAAAAAAAAAGCTTAGCCTGTGAAATGAGTAATGACTTTCTAAAGAAACGATACATGCAAAAGTTTGAAAAAAGGTCCAAGGGCTTTAATGAATCAGAAAGAGTTGTTTGCGTCCGAAATGATCAATAAGTATTATAGTAAGCCAACAGGTTCTCATTGCTTGTCAATTCAAGTCGATAAAATTTATGCCGCTGCATAATCTCAAACTATAAATTCAGCATTTGATAATTGCAGATTTGGCACTCATTTTAAAGCCAATTTGTACCAATCATGCATATATACAAAAGACACGAAGACTATCTTTTTAACAAGGCAGACTCGGAGCATCACTTTTGTATTGCGAGAAGAATTGGCCTTTGGCAGATAAAGAAAATTGTGTATATACTACATGTCATATACTTAAATTAGGTATATTACGCAAAATATCAATTCGGTTTTAAGCAATTTCATATCCTAAGGTTTTGATTTCATTTAATTTGAAGCTGTTGCGTATTAACATAATCGAGCAACAACTACAAGAGAGGAAGGTAATGTTTGGCGTTCTGCGTCCGATAGTTTTATATTGTAGACTTTCAAGCTTAGGTCTTCTATTGGAGCTGTCACTCTAAACATATGCTATATTTACACACCGAATATTATGAATTGAAGTAATATAGCAAGCCATATGCAACAGGACATGATATTTATTGTCATGGAAACAAATCATGGATTGATTTTGGTTGGACAGATGTAGACCGTGACTCGATAAATGTAGCCCTTTTTTTTTTTGGCGGGGGCAGCGGGGAAAAAAAGACAGCCCTCCTTGTATTCTTTGAACCCCTTGTGAATTTTTTTTTGCTGGTCATGTCTGTTTTATCTATTAGTATGTTCTCCCATGGATCAAAAATGACAAAGGATTAACGTTTTTACAGCCTCAACTCTCAAGGCATTACAGCCATTTAAACAAGCCAGCACCCTTCGTGTGTTGAGGTAACCCCCTTTTTTTTTTTGACAGCTATAAGTTCTTTTTCTCTAAATTATGACAAATTTAGCTTCTCCACCACATCATTGAGACGTGCCGAACAACCCACACCCGACAGACCTCAAATTGGAGCTTCTTCACTTTTCGACAATGTTCAAGTTGAAGCACAAGAGAAATTAGCTAAGCAAGAGGGCAAAATCATTGAGAAAGAAGTAAAAAAAAAATGGATCTATTGTGTGGAATGGTTGAGATACTCATGCTTTCTTTAATTAGTATCAATTCTCTTCTGCCAACTTCAAGACCAGTCCTCGTAAATTAAACATGCTTGCACGTTCTATCCGTAATCTTCCTGTTGAAGAAGCCATTCGTCAAATGGAATTCTCTGACAAACGATCCGCCAAAAAGATTTTACACAACTTAGCTTTTGCCAGAAAGAATGCCATCGACCAAAAGGGCATGGAAAATTTGGTTGTTTGTAAGTGATATTTTGGAGTAAAAAAAAAAAAGGAGGGGAGATATGCAGACATTTAACATATTTTTTTTAGCACAAGCATGGGTTGGTAAGGGTAGATATGTTAGACGTGTCAGAGCTCATGGTCGTGGTCAATTTGGTGTTATGCATCATAAGGAAGCACACATCAAATTACTTTTCAAAGAAGCAGCTGCTGAATCCAACGAAAAGACAGACAGAAGAAACATTAGAGGTTGGAAGGATCCTAAAAAGACTTGGACTTCATTGAACGAAACTAAGCCTATTTATAACGCCAAACCCTTTTACAACTGGTAAATTCAGCTCCTCTTCTCTTTTTTATACATAGATGCATTTTCCAAAAAAATAAAAAATAAAATAAAAAACATCAGTAAATTCAACCGGTGCATTATGTAATTTACTATGCAATGACAAAGAAGATGACTAATGGATGATTAAACAAGCCTGACGGACGTGATGACAAAAAGAGATTTATGTATGATTTAAAAACAAAAAAAGAGAGATAGCAAATGAGATTATAAAGGCAAGAGAGAGAAAAAAAAAGGGTAAAAATTAGATTAGATTAGTATTGCTTCTTGTTCTTCTTGTAATGGTTAATAAGACCATTGGTAGAAGCATCATGAGAAGAGACGACACCGGGAGAAGTAAGTTCAGGCAAAATGGCCTTGGCCAATTGCTTACCAAGTTCAACACCCCATTGATCGTAAGAGTTGATATCCCAGATAGCACCTTGTACGAAAATCTTGTGCTCGTACATGGAAATGAGGGCACCAAGAGTAGTAGGAGTCAATTTTTGGAACATGAAGGAGTTGGTGGGCTTATTACCCTTAAAGACCTTGTGGGGAACAATGTTTTCTTGAACATGAGCACCCATCTCAGCACGGACTTGTTGTTCGTTCTTACCGACCATTAAAGCCTCAGTTTGAGCAAAGAAGTTGGATAATAAGATATCATGATGAACACCATGATTGATGGGGTTAAAAGTCTCAATAGGAGCAAGGAAATCACAAGGGATCATCTTGGTACCTTGATGAATGAGTTGGTAGAAAGCATGTTGACCGTTGGTTCCGGGCTCACCCCAGATGATGGGACCTGTTTGGTTTTGAACCTCCTCTCCTGAACGAGAAACGTACTTACCATTAGATTCCATGTTACCCTAATAATATAAATTAATATTGGGTAATTCACATGCAAACATTAAAATAACTTACTTGTTGGAAATAGGCAGCGAAACGATGCATGTATTGATCATAAGGGAGAATGGCTTCGGTTTGGGCACCATAAAAGTTGTTATACCAGAGACCGACAAGACCCATCAAGACAGGGATGTTGTTTTCAAGAGGTGTGTTAAGGAAATGTTCATCCATTTCATGACCACCACGAAGAAGATCTTCGAAGTTTTGGAAACCGATGGTGATAGCAATGGATAAACCGATAGCAGACCAGAGAGAGTAACGGCCACCAACCCAATCCCAGAACTTGAACATGTTATCAGCATTAATACCGAAAGCAGTGACTAACTTTGTGTTTGTAGAGAGAGCAACGAAATGTTTGGCGACGTGGCTGGCCTAGAAAAATAATTTGAAACAAAAAAAAAAAAAAATTATTAGGTCATTGATTTTATCGCGATAAGATCTTTGCAGATATCACTTACATCTTTAGCTTCAGCAAGGAACCAAGCTTTAGCAGACTCTGCATTGGTAATAGTTTCTTGGGTAGTGAAGGTCTTTGAGGCAATAATAAAGAGAGTGGTTTCAGGCTTAATAGTCTTGAGGACTTCGGCGAGATGAGTACCGTCAATGTTGGAAACGTAATGAGGAGTTAAACCTTCTTGAGCATAAGATTTCAAGGCCTCAGTGACCATAACGGGACCAAGATCAGAACCACCAATACCGATATTCACAATATCAGTAATAGCCTTACCGGTATAACCCTTCCATTCACCAGAGCGAACAGATTCGGAAAACTCCTTCATGTGAGCAAGCACTTCGCGAACTTCAGGCATAACATCAACACCTTCATCATAAATAGGCTTATCAGAAAGGTTACGAAGGGCGACGTGAAGAACAGCACGATCCTCGGTGAAGTTAATATGTTCACCAGCAAACATTTTGTTACGCATTTCTTCAACCTTAGCCTCCTTGGCCAATTCTAACAAGAGTTGGAGAGTTTCATCGGTAACACGGTTCTTGGAGAAATCAAACAAGATATTGGTGTTGGTACCCTCGAAGACGCGATTGTACTTTTCGAAACGTGCGGGGTCTTGTTCAAACAATTCCTTGATGACGATATCCTTACCCTCAGCATCATAATGTTGTTGAAGCTTGCTCCAGGAGTTTAATTTAGTGGCTAAAACCATATTGTTATTTTAAAATAGATTAAAAGAAGAACAAGAAATTTCAATAATGTTTTTCAGACAATTTATACCCTTTTTATTTTTCAAGGGTTTTTTTTACCGGTCCGACCAGCTTTTTTATTTTTTTAACCAAGATTTACCCGGGCTTACTTCCAATCCATTATTAATCTTAACGTAATAATCCCTTTGTTCATTCTACCGGATGCCATCTTTGACCAGTGCAAAATATAAGCGGTTATCTAAATAAAACTCTCAGCGGTTTTTTGTGTAAATAACGCCCCATTTTCAGGCTTGTCTTATCCAATCAGCAGTTTTGCAATGACGTCGAACAACCGGTGGTCTCTTTGTTTCTCCCCCTTGAGTGTGCTTTAAATTACAAAAGGAGAATTTTGTCCTAAATAGGAATTTCACACGGAGATGCTGTTACCCTCATCGTAACTTTTTATTTAGGTGACACGTTTATTTAATATCAACACTCAAGTCTTCTTTACATTATATGCTCCTTTCACTTTTCTGTTTTGTTTTCAGAAACAAGAGCAGCTAAAAAAAACCTGGTGATGTCTGCGTGTAACTGTCGCTAGCTGCCGTCTTATCTAAACTATATCTACGTTAATAATAGCATTATTGATGGATGGCAGCAGATACAGCCGAATAACTGAAAATAGATGAATATGATATGACGGGTAGATTGCATATGTATTAAAAATGTGATAACAATGTACAAGACCTTCTCTATAACAAGTGGCTATTTCCTTCATTTTACGCGCTTTTAAAAATCCACGAAAAATGTGATTAAAAGATACTCAATTGTCCGATCTGATTCAAATCAGTCCTTGCTCATTATAGTTCCATTTGTTATAGAAAAGGGGCATTTTGATTGCCTAACTTTCCCTTCATTTGCAAGTCCACACCTTCTCTCTATGAAAGACTGTGTGGTCTCAGATTGTGTGGGCACTCATAAAAAATCAGCCAATGAAAACCCAGGATAGGTTCCAAAGTTCATCTATTTACGTGATTTGTCATTTTACCTTGTTTTTAAGCGTCTGTATAAACTTTACAGCTTTCTATTATAATTTCCAAAGCTGTGAGACGCTCAGTTTTTTTTATATGTAAACCATGCTACTCTATTGGTATATGCTATTGCTGAAACAGTGACATAGATTTACCAACATTACATGCATGTAAGTCTGGATGCAATCAATAACCGCAAATTTTAAACGTAATGGGCGATTAATTAATCCATTATCTTGACATGAGCTATCAGTTTATAAATATGACTCGTCCAAACCCTTTCTCATTTTATCTTACTTTTTTTTTGTGTATCTTAATAAAAAAAACGAAGTGACACACAAACCAGCTTTGAAATCTAATACTGTGAATCTCGGTGATCGATTTTTCCGAAATTAAAAAAATGCTTTTCTAATTTATAATTATGACATTACAAATTCTGTGCTTATAATTAAGTAATAACTTGACAAGACTAAAAACAGATTTTTGTGCGTATTCTTCCATAAACGTGACGCATAACTGCTTCAATGCAACATTCAAAAAACCCGTCAATGCAAAGCCCAGGGTAGGCATTCCCAAAAATAAAAATCTATACACGGGGTCCCATGGATCGAGAACTTCACATGCTTCTTAATCAACTACTAAAAAACCAAAGTGTACAGAGGAACGTCTTATTATTACCATGGAAATATGGAGTAATTGATCATAGAAACTATCACCCAACTATCGAAAATATTGATCATTAAAAGTCGCAGTAAAGGCTGAAACGCCTAACGGGTGTATTAAACAGACGAACTTGCCTATGACTTTGTTTAGCTATTTTGTTTCTTTCATTTTAAGGATGGTGCCCTGAAAACTAGCTGATCTTCTTTCAATTTTAAATATGTTCCAAATAGGGAGGAGGCCGAAAAGGACACAGACTCTCGACGTCATTTGAGTAAACATTATCAAATGGAGTTAATTCGACCACCGCCCTTTTTTTTGACAATAGGTGTTCTCAAAACAGTCAAGACCTTGAACCTTTTTATTTTTTCTGTTTTATTTCGGTTTACATGGCAAAGCTCATCATCTATTTATAATGTCGAATGCTTTATTATTGAGACTTTTTACTTCTGAATATTTTAATGCTTGGATCGCCATTTCGTATATATTTCGTTATCCTGACAATGTAGGAATTCAACATTATCTTTGTACTCAACTTCGAAAGTTCCCCATTGCAGAAATCGAGTTTTTCTTGCCTCAGCTCATGTATAGACATTATTTGAATATCTTGTAAGTAGTCTTCTAATTTTTATTTGTTGTGTAGGCATCTTTTAATTACTCGTCCTACTGAATCGGTTGCACTAGAATGTTATATCATTGATGCATGCGAGAAATCCACTCATATAGCTGTCATGGTAAACTTACGACAAACAATTTTTTTTTCTCGAAAATCTGACATATTCATTTAGTGCCTGTGGTATTTACAAGCATATATGTCTGACTTAGGTAGTACACCATCTCACCCGTCATTTCAGCTATGTAAACGAGTATTTAATCAATGCCAGAGTATTGTGTTTTCCGAAGAAGAACAAGGATATGCAACACAGCAAGTACGAGAAAACACATTCCCGGCCCTAGTTGGTATGGGAGCCTTACTAGCAGGTATTGGACAACCCCTTGCTACAAAACCCGTAGGCAGTGTTGCCCTTGCACAAGGAAGAAAAGAGAGACCATTTACTTTTCCCGACATTAGCTTCCGCAATTCGGCTGATATCAAACGAAAACAGTCATTTCAATCAGATTCTCAACTACAATCAAATGTATCCATATTGAGAGAGAAGCATTTCACAGTATCGCTAGAAGATTTACATCGAGGAAAAGCTTTTTCTGTATCCAGATATTTAAAGCAGGCACAACAAAAGATTAATAATACTGTCAGATCTACTCTTGTATCTCATGATTCTGATATCCCCACCCAATTGTTAAATGGCGGTGGTATGGATCCAGTTAATATGAAGGCAATGGCGCAGTCCTCTGTGCCTACTCCAGTAGATGATGCTCTTGGTCAAAGCCCACCAAAAAGATCGTATTCAATGGACTATCTACCACAAACAGAAGATGATATTGTTAACAGTAGTGAATCTGATGATGACGAAATTTACGCACTAGCAAAATTAAGTCTGGATGATCGCCGCCATCTACTCCGATCAAATTATTTCCGTTCCGAAATGCAATTCTTATTGGCTTTAGTGGATATCGCTACACGTCTTGTCATTGTGCCAAAACGTGCGAGATTAAGTGCCTTACATGCCGAGTTAACTTTGCTGAACCATAATTTGCCTGCTGAAATTTGTATGCCTCTTTGGTGCCCGGCAACAGTAGACAGACCTTATCATCATCGTATCGTCAGAATCAGTCCAACAGATGCCGTTGTCTTAAATTCGGCGGAAAGAGTAAGTACAAACGTATATAATCATTTATATGATATAAAGCGACTAACTTCTTTTTTTCAGGCACCGTATCTATTGATGATTGAAGTATTGGATGATGAGCTTTCATTAGAGAATGGCTTTAAATCATCACTGAGCAAAATCAAAAAACAAGGGCATAGACATTCCAGTGGATCCATGATCTTAAAAAGGAAGGAGGTCGTTGATGACATTGGCGATTTAGGCTCTCCAACCAGTATCCGCAGTTTTGATTTCCCGAGTTCGACTTCCTCCTCTACACTTGACACTGTTGAACATGTGCAAGAAAAGGACGAGAATTTATTCAATGCAGAGGAATTTGCAGAGAAGATGAAGACGGCTGCCATCTTGTTAGCTCAGCTTCAAAAAGATCATCCTCAACAAGAAAATACCGCCCTTCGTGTTAGTACAGATGGAATTCGACAAAAGATTATTGCGGAAATGATGGCTTTGGAAGACGATCGTATGGAGAAAATGGCTTTGGAGGGTGTTGATAGTGGTATTGGAGGTGGAGGAGGCGAGGGAGCTGGTAACGAAGGTAAATTAGACGACGAATCTCGTGTTGCGATGGTGGTCAATAAGGAGGATCCAAGTGGTAATTATACTTACAAAAATCTGTATGCGCATCCAAAGACAGCTAATCATACATATACATCTCTTTACAAAAAATAGCTGCTGTATTTGCTGAGAAATGGGAGACCAAGAAGGAGCGTATTCGTGCTAGTTCACCTTACGGTCATTTACCTAATTGGCGTCTCATTTCTGTTATTGTCAAAAATGGAGCCGACCTTCGTCAAGAACAGTTTGCTATACAATTAATCCGCGAAATGCAAAAGATTTGGGATGATACCAAAGTGAATGTTTGGGTTCAATAGTAAAGTTTTATGAAAATTTAAATCCATGCAAGTAAATATACTAACCTATTTGTTAGTGTTCGTATTTTAGTAACTTCGGATGACTCTGGTTTGATCGAGACGATTAAAAACTCGATATCGATTCATTCGATCAAAAAAGAAGCTTATATAAGAAAATGGAACAAAGAAGGACAAGTATTCACACTATACGATTATTATCAAAGACGATGGGGCACGCCTTCAAGTTCCAGTTTTAAAAAAGCACAAGACGCATTCATGAGAAGCTTAGCTGGGTATTCTATTGCTTCTTACCTTATGCAGATCAAAGACAGACATAACGGCAACCTTTTGATTGATGATGCTGGTCATATTATTCATATCGATTTCGGATTTATCTTATCCAATTCTCCAGGATCTGTTGGCTTTGAAATGGCACCTTTTAAATTACCACAAGAATACATTGATATATTGGGTGGTGTCAATAGTGAAAAGTTTGCTGAATTCAAGGCCTTAACAAAAGCAACTTTCATAGCTCTCAGGAAGCACAGCGATAATATCTTGCTGTTAACAGAAATGATGTCCAAGGATTCAAAATTGCCTTGTTTTGTAAATGGCCAGCATGCTCTTGCCCAACTTCGCGATAGATTTCAACTGCATTTAACGGATCCACAAGTGGAAGCCTTTGTAGAGAAACTTATCATGAGCAGTTGCTGTAACGTTTTCACGAGACTGTATGACACTTATCAATATTATTCGCAGGTAAGCAATGAAAAATAAAAAATAAAAAATAAATTACATGTTGAACTAACGCTTTATTGTTTATTAGGGTGTCTTGTAAAAACACAAATATATAGCATTCCATTTCCCTTTAACTCCCTTCTCTACCTCCAACATTAATTCCTCTAATAGAAAGCTCACAAGTGTAAAAAAAATAAAGTATTTGGTTCAGATAAGATCAAGTTATGTCAACAAATTTACATTTTCTCCAACGTGAAAAGTAATGTTCAGGACCTCTATTTTTCATCACGACAAATACATGTAATTATATTTTACACGAGTACCTTTTAGGTTTAACATTTTCGCAAGGTTTTTGTAAAACGTAAACACAATCTACCCAATTTTGTAAAAAGAATATACCAATATCACTAATGAGCAATGTCATTTCAAAATCCTCAGGTTTTATCTTCACGAATTAGTAAGATAGGCCATTTGTAGGTACATCTTGTAAGTTTACAAAAGAAGGGATGGTTTTCGCGATCAAGAACACAATAAAAAATGTCGAACAACAAAAAGAGACGAGGGGCAGACAAAAGTTTTTGCCGTGGTGTTTATTGCTCAAAAAAATTTGGCTGGGGGACTGCTAATTTTTCACGCTTCTAATTTTAGGGCAGACTATGTGCACGGGCAATCATACATCAATTAAAAGCAACTCGTAAACCGTTAATGGTATTAAGAGATTATGAGCAACTTATGCTATGTTTAATAATTCATATTAGATCCTTAAAAATTTACTGGATAAAAGGCTATACGATTCGTGGAAATTGACAGACTATCTTACATATCAACCCTTCCCACTTATACTCTTTTATAATTATAACCAACACTTCGTCTTTTGGTACCCGCTTTAATCGATTAGATATTCTTTACAGCATCCGTAGAGATTCAGAAGAAACATAATTTTCGAAAAGGATTCGTTCTAGAAAATCTCTGCGATCTAATTACCGGCGTAACCAAAAACTCTCGGAAGCATTAAAACAAACATTTTCTCTTCATCATCAATTTTTGACATAAATGTCTTTTGTTTTAAAAATGCCCTGATCTTCGCAAAATTAATAATTTCGCCGATGGAGCACGGAATATTGACTTATTTACGTATGACGGATGTACCAGGCCGTTTGCTGTAACTTGAATACATAGCATACGGTGAACTGATATATATACACAAGTTAAAATTGCCATCATTTAGATTAGAGAAGACATATGAATGAGGCATGGTTCAGCGTTTTTAACAGGCATTGAATTTTTAAATAGCGGAAACTAGAAAAGAGTAAGATCAATTGCTATGACAAATTAAAACCAAAAGTTATACTGACCTCCGATATAAGGCTTTGGAGGTTATTTTAAATTGAAAAGTTCTACCGAGCCCAGGAATCGACTCAATTTGTAGGTCTATTAGTAGTATTACTAAATTCGTCGGTGGTGTCGGATGAAACTATACCCGTGATCTTCGTTTCAAAGATCGAGAAATGCATTTCAATCACGGAAATAAAAAAAAATGTACATAACTATGTTGATTTGTTTTTTCTCCTCCATATCTCTCATCTTCTTTTCTTCTTCTCAACATTTTCTTTTCAAAACAGAACATAAACACAATGGATTTATTTGACGATTGCTGGGATAACTCTGAAGTAAATATAGAATACGATGACATACATTGGCTATACTGACAGAATTTCATAGAGCTATCAACATGAAATTAATATGCAACAGGTACAAGATCAAATAACTCTGACCCCGGGATTAAATACTAATTTTATTTATAAATATAGGCTTATAATTCACAAGAAATGATGGCCGGTTTAGTCCAACCTGTACTCAAAGTAGAGGGTGTAGTTCAGGTACTATTTTTCGTAGTTCTTCGGAAGATTAAAAAAGACACTAAAACGTTATTTTTATAAGACCCCATTATCAGATTACTGTGGCGGATTATCTACATGCCCTTCACCATACATGGTAAATACGTAGTATAATTCCATTATGTGTTTTGCTAAAAAAAACGTGATAGATGTCACCTAGTAAAAGACGTTATTCACTCGGAGGTTATGATGTCCCTCGATGGGCTCCTTATACACCTTTTATGTCGCCTATAGTTACAACTACGAGAAGTCATTCTGTAAAACGTAACAAAAGGCCTTCGACGTATTCTCGTTGGACTTTGGAAGAAGATGAATTATTGCGCCAAGCTGTGCAAGTTCACGGACCTCATAAATGGTCTCTAATTGCTTCTCATGTACCGAACAGAACTCCCATGCAATGCTCTACAAGGTGGCTAGGAGCCTTAAAGTAACTATAATTGATAGTGTTTTATACAGTTGATTTTAATCATTGTAAATTTAGCCCGAATATTCATAAGGGAAGATGGACAGAAAACGAAGATGCTATACTACGTTATTCTGTACTTGAATACGCGAGTGTGACCGATCCAGAAGGGCGAATTCAACCTATCCCTTGGAATAAAATAGCTGAACGAATTCCAAACCGGACAGGTATTCAATGTCAAGCAAGATGGACCGAAGCATTAGATCCTTATGTCCGTAAAGGAAAATGGGGTTTGGAAGAAGACGCTTTATTGAGAATGGGTGTAACTGATTTTGGCCGTTGCTGGATAAGAATAGCCGAGACGATTCCCGGGAGGACACAGGTAAAAAAAAAGAAAAAGATATTCAAAAGTCAGTTGATGTCAAAGCTAACTTGTTATACCTAGAGGCAATGTCGCACGCGTTGGATGCAAATAAAATATAAGGAAGATCGTCAGCAAAGATCAGAGCAGAAGAGAAAGTTAAACGAGGCCGATGATGCTTCTTCTCAAAGCTACATTTCTTCGGACGAGGACGATGTTGATGAGGTAGAGATGCAACAACAACTTCAGCAACAGAAGAAATCGCATCATCAGCAACAGGTTCCATCTTTTTTTATTGTTGATGATTTCGACACACAACTTCATCAATCCAATGTGACTCCTCCTCCACCTCCACCTGCCCCCGTAGTTGAGTTTTTAAAAGAGGAAGACTTCTTCTTATCAACAGATTGGTCTTTGAATGACTACCAACAACAACATAATTATGATTTTAATTAAATACAAAAACCCCTACACACTCTTTTATGCCCCCAACTAAATTAATTACATATGCAATATCCACCAACCACTCAAAAAAAAAAGGCTTACCCTTTTTCTATATATACATATAAGTTATCCATGTTATTCCACCCTTTTTATACTTGCGGTTCTCAACACGTATTTTTGTACAAACATATATATTACTTACCCAACTTTTCATAAATTATTTTTAAACAAAAAACTAAGATTTAAAAAAGATGTTTATTGAATGTTTGTTTTTGTGAAAAAAAAAAAAAAAAAAAAAAAAAGTCAATGGGAATGACATGGTGGTAGGATTTAGATGCCATAAGCAGACTTGGCAGCGGAGAATCCAGCGTTGATTTCGGCGACATAACCATTGGCAGTGTCCAAGTAAGATGTGGGGGTGGTAGGGACCTTGGAAATCAAAACGGCGTTCAAGGCAGCAGTCTTGGTATCCAAGTTCTTGATGTCAGTCTTGACGATGATGGTGGCGAAAGGAATGGCAGCAAATTGAGACTTCTTGCTGACAATGGAGTTCAAAGAACCAGTAACCTTAGGAACGAGTGTACCAACATTGGCAAGAATAGCAGTAGTATCCTCAACGTTTGAAGGGGCAGTGATGGTGTTACAATCAGTAGTGGCCTTGACAATACGTGCTTCGAGTTCAGTTCCCTTGTCATGAATAGCAGTTGCGCCACTATAACCAGCGGAAGAAACGAATGCATCAACCTTTTTATATAATTAATAAACAAATTCTTTTTTTTTTCAATTATCAATATAACTTACAGCAGTCTTAACAATGGTAAGTTGTTCAGAAACGGAAGTAAGGTCAGCAATACAAAGAGCTGCAGCAGTGGAAACGGCACGTTTGTCAACGGCAGCAGCATTGGCTATAATAGATAAATTTGTAAACAAGTTGTAATTAATGATTTCATGTTTAGCTTACCAGAGAGAGCTAAGACAGCAGCAATGAAGATGGTAGAGAAGGCGCGCATATTGATAAATAAACTTGTTGGATAAAGAAAAAAAAATTTGAATGCCACTTGAGGTGGTATTTATATAAATTTATTTTGGTCAGGTAAACTGTCAAACGCGAAAACCAAAAGTGATCGGTGGATCCATGAAAATGCATCAAGTATAAACATTCCCAACGGCATGTGCGAATCACGTCAATTTATTCCATCGTCTCTTCTAAATATAAATGGTTGTGTTTGTCTTTCTTTGTACTTGCACTATGTTGTACGATGTATGGTTGATCATGTTACCTATATGAGACAAATTCTCATATATTATTACACAGTCATGAAACTCGTACGTACTCTCATAGGGATTTAATATCCAAAGTACTATTGTTGTATATCCATACTTAAAATATGCGTAGTTTGCTCTCCTTGAGATGTGACACATCCTACCTAAAGAATATAAATAAAATGACCAGTTATATAAAAATGTAAATGGAAATTTGTGTGCCCCTTTCTGAAAAAAAGACATCTTTGCCGTTTTTTAAATGACATTTTACACTTTGTAATGTTGGTACAATTGGTTTAGGCTACAAGCCTAATCTTTGTTGTCTTGCCAAACATTAAATTAAACTTTACAGTAGAACAAATTAATACTTTTACACTCAGTGTAACAGCTCTAAAAAAATTGACCAAACTGTCGGTTTCGCTTTTTACCTCTTCCGAAAAAAAAAACATCTGTTCACTGTGAGGATTGCCATAATGTGCCACAAAAACTTCGACAAGAAAAAAACAAATCATATATCGGAACATACTCGATCAGTTTTATGACGTCTGGGAAATGGGCATGCACACCTCAATAATGGTCATCAGTCTCACTTCTTTCTTCAATAGATTTTTATTATTTGAAATACCCATGCACCAAATTATTCGAAAGGCCTATGTATTTAGGTGCATGAATTGTGTAACAAGACAACAGATGATGGTTTTAATTTAAATAGACTATGTATAGAATCATCCAGAGCGAAGCCTTTAAATTTGTAATGACGATATCCATACATTCATCGGCACAATTATATTTAGCTGGAAACTTCATTACATTTAGACGGCTCTATATTCAGACATAAAGGGCTGAGCATTTAGTTTGTAAAAATTTCTCACGCACGTTTATTGTGCGGAAATCTCGAGATTCAGGTACAAAATTACCAAAAGTTTCTCATAGGCAGCAATTAATGGAAATTGGGTATTACTTGACCTGTGCGTCTACAGTAACTTCTTTTTTTTTTTTTTTTGCCTTTTTGGGATTGACTCCCTGTAAGGTTTCCCTTTTTTTTGTGCTGCGACAGATTCCTTTCGACCCAATTTTGAATGCATTTTTGTATGATGTTGAAATAGTGTTAATTGCTAAGAAAATAAATAGAAAAAAAAATCTGGTCAAAAGTGATGGTGCGCTTCTAAGTATAAATGGAGATAAGAAGTCTTAAGTAGACACCTAGAAAAATATTTTGCATTCGCGCCAAAAAACCAATGTAAAATTGAAACACCTCAACGATTATAACCCAGTAAAAAGAAAAAGTAAACATCTCATGATATATTAATATAAGATTGGCATCATAACTTCTGGAATGGATGATTGTGCGTATAAACTGATGTGCTAAAACTTAAATACCCTTTGACGTTTAATGCTAACGTTACAATACGTTGATAATTTTATCTGGATCATTCAGTGTCACAAATATAAGATCTCCGAACATTTGTCAAAACAGTTCAAAGAGCAGGAGCTGCAAAGTAAACTGGATAAAAAGTTCTGCTAAAAAGCTAAGTGGATACATGGAAATAGTAATACTGATGTTGGATAATTTCTTTCTACTGAAAAGTCTGCTTTATCAACACCGGGAAGTTTTCTTAGGCGACAAGTTTTTTTCAGTACGCCTAGTAATAGGAGCCAATATATTTAAAGAATAAAGGCGATTTGAGTATGGTGACTTAAATAAAGTGACTATAAGCCTATATTTTATTCTATAAAATATTGGGATCAATAGATTTTACAATTTTTAAAACGATATGTAAACTATGTCTATCTACACATATATTGCCATAACTGAACAGCCTTTTAGAATAGAAAGCTATACTGAAATCAGAAGGTATGTTTTAATTAATGATCCAAATTCCTGGGATATACTTACTGTATGAAAAAAACGGGTACTACAAAAGATGAGATGCTTTTCGTATTCCATTGAATAATATCAAGTTAAAACATTCAAAACCCTTTTCATAGGTAAAAAATTGCAGCCATACACAGTCATTAAAATGAGCTTCAACAACACTTTCTACAATAGAATCCAGTTTTATTAACCCGAAAACGTTTCTACAGTACATCGCAAGGAAATAAGCAAGAAAAAATTTATTACATGGCAATGAAACTGCAAGGTCTAAAGAAAAGTATTATCATGAATTTTTACTTTCAAGTAGACAAAACTGGCAATCTATGTTAAGAAAAAATATTTGCAATCAAATGCTTTAGATTTTTATCGACGTAAAAACCACTTCACAACTAATGTAGAAAATTCGCAAATAGTTGTTGCTTACATGGATTTAATGTCAAACAAAATCGTATAAGAGGAAGGCTAGAAAGGAGCAACTTTCAGTACGTAGGTTCCAGAAAGGTAAAAAAAAAAAGAAGTTACTGAAGACGCACAGGTCAAGTAATACCCAATTTCCATTAATTGCTGCCTATGAGAAACTTTTGGTAATTTTGTACCTGAATCTCGAGATTTCCGCACAATAAACGTGCGTGAGAAATTTTTACAAACTAAATGCTCAGCCCTTTATGTCTGAATATAGAGCCGTCTAAATGTAATGAAGTTTCCAGCTAAATATAATTGTGCCGATGAATGTATGGATATCGTCATTACAAATTTAAAGGCTTCGCTCTGGATGATTCTATACATAGTCTATTTAAATTAAAACCATCATCTGTTGTCTTGTTACACAATTCATGCACCTAAATACATAGGCCTTTCGAATAATTTGGTGCATGGGTATTTCAAATAATAAAAATCTATTGAAGAAAGAAGTGAGACTGATGACCATTATTGAGGTGTGCATGCCCATTTCCCAGACGTCATAAAACTGATCGAGTATGTTCCGATATATGATTTGTTTTTTTCTTGTCGAAGTTTTTGTGGCACATTATGGCAATCCTCACAGTGAACAGATGTTTTTTTTTTCGGAAGAGGTAAAAAGCGAAACCGACAGTTTGGTCAATTTTTTTAGAGCTGTTACACTGAGTGTAAAAGTATTAATTTGTTCTACTGTAAAGTTTAATTTAATGTTTGGCAAGACAACAAAGATTAGGCTTGTAGCCTAAACCAATTGTACCAACATTACAAAGTGTAAAATGTCATTTAAAAAACGGCAAAGATGTCTTTTTTTCAGAAAGGGGCACACAAATTTCCATTTACATTTTTATATAACTGGTCATTTTATTTATATTCTTTAGGTAGGATGTGTCACATCTCAAGGAGAGCAAACTACGCATATTTTAAGTATGGATATACAACAATAGTACTTTGGATATTAAATCCCTATGAGAGTACGTACGAGTTTCATGACTGTGTAATAATATATGAGAATTTGTCTCATATAGGTAACATGATCAACCATACATCGTACAACATAGTGCAAGTACAAAGAAAGACAAACACAACCATTTATATTTAGAAGAGACGATGGAATAAATTGACGTGATTCGCACATGCCGTTGGGAATGTTTATACTTGATGCATTTTCATGGATCCACCGATCACTTTTGGTTTTCGCGTTTGACAGTTTACCTGACCAAAATAAATTTATATAAATACCACCTCAAGTGGCATTCAAATTTTTTTTTCTTTATCCAACAAGTTTATTTATCAATATGCGCGCCTTCTCTACCATCTTCATTGCTGCTGTCTTAGCTCTCTCTGGTAAGCTAAACATGAAATCATTAATTACAACTTGTTTACAAATTTATCTATTATAGCCAATGCTGCTGCCGTTGACAAACGTGCCGTTTCCACTGCTGCAGCTCTTTGTATTGCTGACCTTACTTCCGTTTCTGAACAACTTACCATTGTTAAGACTGCTGTAAGTTATATTGATAATTGAAAAAAAAAAGAATTTGTTTATTAATTATATAAAAAGGTTGATGCATTCGTTTCTTCCGCTGGTTATAGTGGCGCAACTGCTATTCATGACAAGGGAACTGAACTCGAAGCACGTATTGTCAAGGCCACTACTGATTGTAACACCATCACTGCCCCTTCAAACGTTGAGGATACTACTGCTATTCTTGCCAATGTTGGTACACTCGTTCCTAAGGTTACTGGTTCTTTGAACTCCATTGTCAGCAAGAAGTCTCAATTTGCTGCCATTCCTTTCGCCACCATCATCGTCAAGACTGACATCAAGAACTTGGATACCAAGACTGCTGCCTTGAACGCCGTTTTGATTTCCAAGGTCCCTACCACCCCCACATCTTACTTGGACACTGCCAATGGTTATGTCGCCGAAATCAACGCTGGATTCTCCGCTGCCAAGTCTGCTTATGGCATCTAAATCCTACCACCATGTCATTCCCATTGACTTTTTTTTTTTTTTTTTTTTTTTTTTTCACAAAAACAAACATTCAATAAACATCTTTTTTAAATATTATTCCTCTCTTTCGAATGGTATGTAGGTTTTTTTTTGAAAAAAATAAAGTAATGGTTAAGTGTTTCGTTATAAAGTATCTCTAACTTTTGGCTATTTGCTTACTATTTCTTTATTATCAACATGCGTTAATACTAATGTTGAACCCATATAATCATGTGTAGGTTTAAGGCAGCTTATGATGTTCATATAGTACCACTCATAAGGTCATGAAGAAACTAGTTCAGAATGAACGCTTGGTGTATTTTTTTTTTAGAAATCTAATATAATTGGATATAAATATCTAAGGTGGCACTAATTCTTGTATCTTGTATAGTTGTCAGAAAAATGATTATTTATTTGGTCGCCGCTGATCAAAAATCAAAGGAAATAGCATGTGTAGCTGGGTATTTTATTAGTTTAATTAGTTGATCGTCAGCTTCCTCTTTTAGCTCATCATCATGCTATGATCGATATAGTTGGTAAATACATCTTTGAATGATTTTCCTTGGGTATCAATAAAATGTTTTGTGCCAGAAGTCTTTGATATGAAATGGAAATTGTATGTTTATTTATGTAGATATGATAGAAATAAGAAGCTTGTTAATGAGACTGTGTAGTGAAGATTTTTTTTTATCTTCCCATGGCATGTGCCACAGTTGGTAGTTATAGAATGTTCACTTACAGTAGTATTCCCATCTTCATCAGTAACCGTAGTACTTGTTTCAGAAGTTGAGGAGGCAATACTTCCAGAACCAGACACGTTGCTTGTCATTTTACCAGATCCAGTCTCCTGTACAATGGTTCCGGGTCTTGCTTCGGTAACGTTGTAAAATAGGGCGATGAGTAACAGGGTAGTGACGGTAAATAATCTCATTGTAAACAATTGTATAAAAAAAAAAATAGTTGATAAATTGGACTTTATATAGTCGATCCTTACAATTGTCAGGATAACAGACCCGAGTCTACAATTAAAGGAGGGACTAATAAAATAAAGGGGTACTTTTTATTTATAAAAATGACCAGAACCTATTCATTCTAGCAATTGTTTGAATCTTCTGTTCACTGCTTAAATTGGGATTTTCCAAATCGCGGACGTCCTCCATAAAACGTGCCCGAGTTGAGTTTTTTAGGGGTAAAGTACTAGCATATGCACGTAATAAATGCACTTCGCACAATAAAATACCCTGTGTTTCGCACTCGGTTTGATGAACACAGTCTTCTCCAGACAATGCATTCCATTCACTTAATTCATTGTCTTGGGTTGACTCGTTAAGGATCAATTGTCTTTCTATGCGTCTATTCTGTAATATCAGTACACTATCTTAGAAATAAATTTTCAACAAACCTTAATGTTTCACGCATGGGCAACCCAGTTTTCTTGATCTTTTGTTGTGATCTTCCTTGTAATGTATTTTTAAACCAAGAAGCCGAGGCCCATGTAAGAAGCATAGAAGGTGCAACAGCTAACATACAATCAAATTAGTTAATTTAAGGTTCGCATGATGTGTTATTGCTGAAATTACCCAAAAAAGCAAAATTCAGCTCATTCGATTTCAAAAGCTTATCAAGAGCTGACATGGCAAGATCCACATCTACTTTTGTCTTTTGGACTTGAATGAGGATAGTTTGCAGTAAATCACCTAATGTTCCGATTAGCTGAAATTACTAATATTAGCTCTAGAAGCAACTTACCAGCGATAACATTCTTTAAAGGATTCTGCAGTAAAAGCAAAGTAAACATTACTGCTGTGTTACAACAAACAAATAAAACTTACCTTAATCTCTTTTTCGTATTCCTTCAGTAAAACAGACATATCACCTTCACGAATATCGATAACTAAACGGGATAGATCTAATTCTGAAAGGTGCAAATTGTCTTTTGCGAATCCAACTACCATGCGTTCAAGTGACTAAAATACGTATATAAATTAGCTTATGACAATCCGAGAGAGCTATGATCCACTTACGTCCAAGTCGCTTTGAAGCCCTTGCTTACTCAAGATACTGAGTCTTTGATCCTTAAGTCTAATTGTCTCGTAAACTTTACGGACGGGTTCCCAAACCCAATTCAAAATAAAATCGTGGCCTGTTTTTCCGAGTTCCTCGAGGCAATACATAATATCCTCTTTTCTTTTAAATCCGTAGCGTATAGCCCAGTTGCCTGCAAAATAGGATACGACTGCAGGGATCCAATATCTCGTCAGTACAGAAGGAACTCCGTATGAGGATTGCACGCATTTTAGGTTATGATGGTATCCCGATGACCAGTTTTTGACAACGCTACGCAATTCCATAGTAACATCAGATGCAGAAGAGCTGTGGATGTCAGACATTGAATCTAAACGTTTTTGAAGATGATGCACATTTTTTTGTTGAAGCGTGCCATCTTGACCGTCATCTAAGGGTGGTTCCATGACATATTTAATCATTTTAATACATGTTCTTGCTTGACTGGCTACAGAACTGGCGAATTCACCTTGCTCTTGATTGAATTCAGGGGGAGTCAAGAGCAAAATACCTAAACTGGCTGCTTGTTGGGAACGAAATTTCTGTAAAGATTTCTTTTTCAAATCAACTTCGTCGCGAATTATTTCAAGTATAAGTGGACGGTTATGGAAAGTAGAGAGCGTAAAGAATTTCAAGGCATTGAAAGGCTGCGTTCTGTTTGTAGCGATACTGTTGGTGGATGCTTTTGTTGTAGAATGTATAGGGAATAACTGAGTCAATATAAAATCGCTCGAGGAGAAAAGAGATTTTGCTTCCTGAATCGCAGTTGACGTGTTGTTGATGTTTTTAACTGTATTCTTTAATAGCGTGAAGATACGGAACGGAGCGACTGTAGACAGCATCAGATAACAGTCTTTCATCGTAGTTTACAATTTACCTTGTAATGCATAGTATATTTCTTGAACGGTATTCCCGTGTATGCCATTCCAATAATCGATTGATTCAGAAATAGGAAGCGTTAAATTCAGCACTTTAGAGAATACTTGACCATAGATGGCAATAGTACATTTGGCGATGAAAAGCCATTCGAGTTCTGCTGTTGCTTTATTGTCCTGATTAAATGTCTCCCCGTACTTTTCGAGATATTCTTGAACCTTTTCAAAACTCGGCAAGCTATTCCCAGAAAAGTCAAGTGCTTGGGATGCTTGAAATAAAAATTGATCCTTCTCTCCTAATGAAGACAAGTTTACAATTTTTGTTCCTTGGAGATTTTTCTCAAAGCTTCTCGATAAAGCAGTGTCAAGTTTTTTCACTTGTTCATTTACAAAGGTTGTCATTTCGTAAACAGTAAAACTTTACTCTAGGCGATAGCATTCCAAAGTAATTAATCGTTGGCGGAGTTAACATCATTGGTAAACATGACGTGCGGGTACAGATGATGAAGCTTGGGCTTAATCAAATTAGGTTCCTTCATCGAAGAAATGTTGAATTCAAATTCTGTAATTGGAGTATATCAGCCAATGCACTGTGAGTCAAAGGCTGTAATTGCATATTCTGAAGGGACCATCATCGTTTCATTACAATATGGATGCGCTAAAAAAAAACCGTGGTCCTTTGCGAAGAAATTAAAACAAAGAATTTGACAAGGGTTCAAAGTAAAAATGCGTATTGAAGGACAGACCGTACACTTGAAAATGTATTACAGTATTATGTCTCTTATAAGAGAAAACATAAATTTTTGAGATTTGAACTTCTTTTAGTCCATATGTTACTTATTCTGGTCAATTGTAAATGTTTTGCTCGTACAAGAAAAGAGCAAACTTGAAATTCCGAGGTTGACATTGACGGGTTTGACAGCTTCGTTTATATACATACCGAGGATAATGTTACAGTTTATTCTTTGATTTTGCGGTCACGGTTACGGTCATCCAGCTTCAAATAAAAGAGACTTTTAGTGAAGCTACGATTTTATGCTTGGTAGTACCATCAAGTTCACTAAGTAAAGGGGTATATCTACAATTATTCAGCTGCTTCTTTAGCAATGTCACCTTGGCAATATTCATAAAATAAATCGATTTTGAAATACATTATGTCTGTGATCAGAAAGATGCTAAAAAAAAGCTGGCCTGGTCAGTTCAAGCTGTAGCTTATTTTACATTAAAACCTCTCGTGTGACATACATTTAGAAATGCTTTTTATGAAATAAAAAAAACTAGAAAAAATCTCTTCGTTTTGTTCACAAAACTTTTTAACTCATGACTACAACATCTGTTTCTTCAGAACCACTGTCCTCTAATTACTTGTCTAATTACACATCAGCTTCTTCTTTTCACAACTTTACTCGTCGCCATTCCATTTATGGCACAGAAGATAGAGTGGTCCTTGACATAGGTTCGCTTTATATCAAATGTGGATTTTCTGGCGAATCTTCACCAAGACATTCAGTCCCAACTTGGTCATATCTCAGTCAATCTCGTGATTCAGATGGAGAAGTCATTCGAGTTAATGGAGAGGTAATTAACAGAAACTCATCAAATCGATAGAAAATAACACTGATTCATTAATTTAAAAGCTTGGCGAACTGTATCATCTTGATATTATGGCTAAAGGAAACCTTACTCAAATCGAAGAGAGATTAAAGAGATTATTACATGACATATACTTCAGGTACAGCAAAATACTTACGCTCGGTGGTAAAATTTTATTAACTGCTTTTTCAAAACCAAATAGATTATTACTGACTGATCCGAAATCCCGAAAAGTCATCATTTGCGAGTCTCCTTTAGCACCTGTTGTATTAAAGCAGATGATTGCAAGACTTTTATTTGATTATTTTCAAGTACCATCCATATCATTTGTTCCTATACATTTAATGGCTCTATTAACGACCGGTTTAACAACTGGATTGGTTATAGATGTAGGCAATTTGGAGACAAGTGTACTTCCTGTAAGTTTATGATGAGTGTGTCTTTTATTTTATACATTGTTACTCATATTCAAATAGATTTATGTTTCTAGACCCTTGACACCCTATATTTCAACTACTCCGCTTGCCGGTTTTGCAGTGACAAAACGACTCACAGAATTATTATACGACCATGGCCGTTTTATTCCACCATCGAACCTTCACTTATCGCTTGCCCCTCATAATAACATACCCAGCAACTTATTGACGCCCGAAGTCTTGGAAGACATCAAGACTCGCGTTATATTCTGTTCCCCAGTTATGATTGGACAGCAACAAGGATTAACATTGTTAGAATCGTATAAAAAGTTTAGCAGTGCGACCGATCTGTATTATCCTATTACATTGAAGGATGGCACTAGAGCCAATTTATTAATACCTGGTTGGATTCGTGAAAAAGCAGCAGAAGTCTTATTTGAAGGTGATGAGGATGAGCCCAGCATTGCACAGTGTATTTTGGATTCCTTGTTAAAGTTACCCCCTGATTTGCGTAAACCTGCAATATCGTCATTGCTTTTCATTGGAGGAACGTCTCTTTTACCAGGATTTCAATCAAGAGTGAAGGAAGAATTGTTACGTATAATGAAAGATCCAGTTGATTTTGAAAAGCGACGCTACGGACCTTTACTTCGCTTGCATAAATCCATTAAGTTTATCGATAACCCCGAAGACAAAGGCGCTGGCCGTATTTTTATGAACAACGTTCGAGGATGGATAGGAGGTAAATGTCATTCACAATTATTTATTGTTACAAGTTTATGTAACCTGGATGATCAATAGGGTCTTTGGTTGGATCGCTGAAACTCTCTGGGGAGGAAATTACAAAAGAGAAATTTTCTGGAAGTGTTACTGATTGGTCCATTGGAAATTGGAGTAACCCTCTGGACACTTTAGATCGAGAGCTGGGAAATGTTGGTAGTAAATGATAATGAATCAACACCACTGCAGCTAAATTTTATATGCAGCTTGGGTGGATGGGGGGGGGGGTCACCGCTTAAATAAAGTTACCACATAGATCTTTGCCACTGAAGCCAATGATTTTATTAAGTGTGATACAAATTATAAAATATAATGCTCGTTCGTAATGCGCAATACGTAACTACTGCGGCTATCTATTTGTCTTGGATATCACAAGTGTTTCCATACAATTTTTTAAATCAGTGGTTGAATGAAGTACGCCATAAAAGGCAAAGTTGTTATTAACATACGTTGGTCCTCTATGTAGGTTTTTTTCTCTTTTTTATTTTTTTTTAAAAAAAACATAGTGAATATGTGTACTGATAAAGAAAGTATGCGTCAAGGCGTACAAGTTGAAAGATAAAATAATGCATTAAAATTGCGTTAGTTGGGTTACACGATTCGATATCATTTAAATGAAACCACCTTGTGCTTTAAGAATAACCCCCTTAGTCGTCTATGATGACTGTAAACACGTATTTTCCAAATTAAGCACATCTTCCATAATGATAACAACATGGAAAGCAATTGATCATCACCCCAATGGTTGATTGGTACACTTATCGGGTTTTTAATCTACGATGATAGCGCGCACCTCCTTCCACCCCCTGTGAATGATATGATTGTGTCGTGAGAAGTAGGTCAGCAGTGATAAAATGGAAAAAAAAAAGGCCAGCAAAAAAAAAAAAGAGATAATCAGCACCTGTTGTTTGAACTAACTCTACTGGAGAATGTCCAATTAAACTAAATATGTATTAAGAAAATAAACAACATTTATATAATTATGTACGAATAAATACAGTGTTTCCACCCTCAAACACAAAAAGTGAGGTTATAAAAATAAAAAAAATCATCGGGTGTGTGTGTAACCGGGCGTCACCTGAATCTATAACATCATCATCTGCTCCCGTCTTATCAAAACATATAAATAGTATAAACATTACTGGTTTTTTTCTTTTGATTATTTATTTTTTATCCAAAAAATACTTTTTTTAAAACATCATTATGAAACTCAGTCTTATTGCCAGTGCTTTGTTAGTCGCTACCGTTGCTAATGCAAAGCCTCTTTCTTTCCAAGAAGATGACAGTATGGCTCCTTTGTATATTTCTTCTGAAGCCGAAACTATCGCAAATTCTTATATTGTTGTCCTCAAAGATCATTTGAGTGTTAATGACATCAAGGAACACGCTAGCTGGATTAGTTCCATGTCGACCAAGGAACACGCTTTTGCTGATTGGTTGAATCCTCATACCACCACAGCTGGCATTGAACACGTATACGACACACCCAAACTCAAGGGTTATTCCGGTAAATTTGATGGAAATGTGCTGAGAGCTATTCGTCAATCCGAAGACGTTGCTTTTGTTGAGCACGATTCTATGGTTTATGCAAATGAACTTCAACGTAATGCTCCCTGGGGACTTTCTCGTGTATCTCATCCTGATCCTCTTACTTTCAAGAACTATCAAAAGTATCAATACGATCCCAATGGTGGTAAAGGTATCAAGGTTTATGTTATTGATACTGGTGTCAATGTAGATCATACTGATTTTGGTGGCCGTGCTATTTGGGGTAAGACTGTACCTAATGGTGACCGTGATGAGGATGGAAATGGTCATGGTTCTCACTGTGCTGGTACTATCGGTGGCTCAAGATATGGTATCGCAAAGCAGGCTACTCCTGTTGCTGTTAAAGTTTTGAGATCCAATGGTAGTGGTACCATGTCTGATGTTGTTAGAGGTGTTGATTGGGCTACAACTGAACATTTAAGAGAGGCTGCTCATGCTCAAGATAAGGGAACTAAATATAAGGGCGCAGTTGCAAATATGAGTTTAGGCGGTGGCAAATCGCCTTCTTTGGATTTAGCAGTCAATGGCGCAGTGGAATCTGGTATTGTCTTTGCTGTTGCCGCTGGTAATGACAATTCTGATGCATGTTCTTATTCTCCCGCTGCCGCAGAGCTTGCCATTACTGTTGGTGCCTCCACAATCAATGATGAAAGAGCCTACTTCTCTAACTATGGTGAATGTGTTGACGTATTTGCCCCTGGTTTGAATATCTTGTCTGTTTGGAGAGGTAGTAGATATGCAACCAATACAATTTCCGGTACTTCCATGGCATCACCTCATGTTGCCGGTCTTGCTGCATACTTTTTAAGTTTGGAAGAAGGAAAGGTTACACCTAAGCAGATCAAGGATAAGATTTTGAGATTGGCAACAAAGGATGCTCTTGATAAAATCCCTGCTGATACCCCCAACTTGTTGATTTACAATGATTCCGGTGAAAAGGATTTCAAGAGAAAGTTAACAGACGGTGTTGACGGTGTATTAAAGGAATTCTTTGGCGATATCTAAATTGGTAACGCTTTGTTTATATTTGTATGTTTCTTTATTTTGTATATGTAAATCATATCTTTCTCCCTCCCTTTGTGCCATTATTACCCTCTCTCTATGTACTTTCTTTGTTTCAATACCTTTTACGATCACACACTATGTTATGCTACCGTTTTTTTATTTCAACCAAATGTCACATTAAAAATAAAAAAAAAATCAGCAAAATTATCATAACCACTATATCTACTGTACTTGTCCACATGACCAAATGTTATCATTTACCACATTTATGATGGATTTAGAAATTATTGGGTACTCTCGGGTGCATAAAAATATTAATTTCTGAAAATAGTACATCAGAAGACGCACAAATTTCATGCATGGATAATTTTTACTGCGGTTATCTTTTTGCAATGTAAAAATCAGCTCACAGTTCGAATTTTAATATTATTGCATTGAATGGAGATAATCATATTCTGTAAGGTTGCGCAATTATTTTGCTGTTACAGGTTGATCAATATGTGATGGTGCAACTTACTTAATGTTGAACCATGTTCGATACAAAGACGCCGAAGACTTTAGACTTTTGGATCTTTATTACTTAAAATTAAGAAATTCTCGTCTAATGTGAGTTCGATAAATGTTCACCACTAAACACCTAAATATAAGGATTCGCTAATATTTATTTACTCACGCCACCACGTTGTTAAATTTGCAACACATATTTTCCTTCTGACCAATACATCCAATCTCGATCTGCAGCAGTTGACTCTTAGCCAATAGAATTGTCGTTGCCGATCAAATGATGGATGAATGATGCACTTATTTCAGGAAATTCATTTAGCACAGAAAAAATTGGCTCCGCGCGGGTACGACAGATTTACGAAATGTTTAACGTATTGAGCATGTTTCATACAAGGGTAGATATTGACGTCAATTTGCGGTCATCATTAGCAATATCCTGCAAAAAAAATAAAGGCCGTATAAATATGATAGAAGAAAAGGTTTATCTATGTTCATTAATACATCCTTACATTAACAAAAAAAATTAAAATGACAAACGTAAGCAGAGCAGCTAGTAAATTTGGCGAATGGGTTGGCTTAACAGGAGCTCCTGGTTTCTTCAAATCTGAAAACGTTATCGACCTAATCATTGCTGATCACAGAGAAGCTGAATCTCTTTATGACAAGTATAAAGCCACCACGGATCAAGACGAAAAGCAACTTATCGCAAACAACTTGGTCAAGGTTTTAGTAAAGCATGACGAATGTGAACAACTGCTGGTTTACCCCTTGTTAAGGGAAAAAATTGGTGGCGAAAGAGGCGAGCAGCTTTATGAGAGAAGCTTGAAAGAGCATCAAGACCATCGTGAGTTATTGTATAATGTCAAGTGTACCAGTCTTAAAACCGATCCTGAGTTTGACGCAAAGTTACAAAAGGCTATAGACTCTGTGTTCCACCATGTTAAAGAAGAGGAGGAGGAAGTATTGCCTCTTTTAAGAGAACATGTCACTGAAGACGAGCTCAGATACGTAGGTACGTCATTCAAGGCCCATAAACCTTTGACTGCTACAAGACCTCACCCAAGTGCCCCAGCTCAAGGATACCCCGCCGCTTTGGCTAATGTTGTCTTGAAACCAATTGATATGGTAAGAGATATGCTCGAAGGACACTAAACGCAAAGGAATATCGTGCATCATAGCTTTATATCAATCAATCAGCGATAAAATAAATAAAAAAATATTGATTAGTTAACTCTCGATGAACTTTTAAAATGTATGACTTGAAAAATGAGTCAAGTAAGATGATATTCCCTCATATTTAGGTTTCTGCAAAGTACTCTTGAAATTATGCAAACAACATGTACGATTTATTATTAGACCTGTCTGGCCACTTATGCTAAGGCTCTGGTTTCAGGATCGGTGATAAAGCATTATTTATAAAACAGCCACCGTTCAATCAACCTTCCGTCAAAAAGTGTTGATACAAACTTAATTGTTGTCTGCATCCCTGACCATGATGTTGTAGCTTTAAAAGTCAGACCACTCACCAAAGTTCCACATAACCTGATTTTGCCTAAGCCTTCAAAAGGTATTTAATCAAATAATACTTCTCGGATTCAAACATATTGAACAGGTAATTATGTTTAATATATCCTCTTGTCAAATAAATGACATTTTTGGCATTACAGGTTCTTTCACTATTAATTTACAGGGAATTTAAGGTTAAGTTGTATGTGTGCGTGTGTGTGTGTGCGTGTGCAAATAGGGAGGGGTGAGCGGATAAATTATTACACATAGATATGTATAACGCGACCCTGCATTTTGTTGAGAAATTTTTACTAGTTAAAGCCAAAATCACTCATCATTCGGTCCAAACCGGTGACAAGAATACAACGAACATTTAGAAAAACTAATACATACAAATCGTTCATGTACCTGGATCAAACTAATAAAACATGTGCGTAATTAGGACATAAGAGTGAGGTGTAATTGATCATTACAAATCAATATACATTACGAACATATTGTACTCGTTTCAGCTTTTATCATTGCTTAGGAAATAAATCCATGACCTGAGTACACTTGATATCATCATAAGGACCATTTCTTTTAGAAGAACAAAGTATGCAGGAGAGTCACAAGAAAGCAAGGTAAATTTTACTTGCAAATATCTTAATCATTAGATATTTAGAATATTTAATTAATAAAGATCAGCTCCGTAATAAGAAAACCGTAAATTGAATTTCAGGAACTAGTATTCCTTGATTGATTCACATCAAATGTGTGAAAAACTATCAAATGTCTTTTGAAGCTGCTTTTGAAATTAGGGTACGGTACACAAGACCAACACAATATAGGGCTGATGAGATCATTGAACTATATTTCAGGTCGTGGTGTCAACAAGTCATTTGTTAGGTAGTACATAGAACAGACAAGTAAGAAAGACTAAATCACATGGGTTCAACATTACAACTTTTTACATGTTATTATAATAGTGATATACCAAGAAAGAATATATCTGATTTCAAAAATTCAAATTATTACCAGTAATGCATTGGCCCGGCGTTGCGGAGGAAAGCAAGAAAAGTAGCAGTTAACTAATAGACTTTCGGGAATGCAATAATCTTCTTTTACCCCACGCTGTCCACATAAAAAATGGTCAAATCAGCTGCATTTAACTTTAAATTTTTATGACCTTTATAATATAAAATCCTATATTTGGCAAAAGAAATTTATGTATAAGTACTGAGGATTTTTTGAGGAAAAAATTATCATCTTCTCTAGTCAGTTTTTTTTTTAAAAATTTCTTCTCAATCATGACTACAAGCTGTGGGGATGGCGAATCGGCGGATCGGGGTAACGTAATACTGCCTGACGAAAACACGGCATTACTGCCCGTAGAAAGCAACGCATCAACAATTATAAACTATAGAACACGTATGTAAAAAAAAGAAATAATTGCCCACAAATATTTACATTTCCTAAAATATCATCTTTTGTAGCCTCTCCAGTAGATCAAAAAAGTACCTTTATTTACCAGTTCAAACGAACAAATGTTTACAAACTTTTGCCTTCGCTTTCTCTTGGATGTTTAATCTGGTTTGGAAGTACTCCTACTGATGAATTGTCAGTCACATCAATCAGGTTACTTGCGGTATTTATGAGGTAATATTATAAATTAGAGTACTTTTTATAGCCATTAATAGTTGTTATATGCCAGTTGTATATTTGCGTTAATTACCACATCAATTGATATATCTGTACTTGTATTGAGTGCACTCACGTTATTGTCCGTGACATATTCGTTCCAATGTATAGATCACACTACTGGAATTAGTACAGAGTGTCGACTGTGCGGGGAAGAAAATCCCTTGACAGGGCTTCCATATGACTGCTCAGGCGGAAAAGAGTCTTTCCATCATTCCCTCGAAGGCTTCTCTAGCTCAGTTGTCTGGCTCATCTTTGCTGCTTTTCATTTAGGAAAGGCCGTAGAAGTAACTCAACTCGGAAAAAGAATTTCCCTGATGATGATTCGTTCTTTTGGAAAACGAGTCATAGGTCTGGCTTATGCGGTTCTACTTTCAGGTACAACAATTTTTTTTTTAGTAATTTCTCAATTATTCACACAGAAAAATAGAGTTATTACTAGCCCCTTTTGTACCAAGTAATACTGCTCGTGGTGGTGGAATTGTGTTACCTGTAGTTCATTCAATCGCAACCACCTTGGGTTCTACACCTTCCCATCAACCAAAAGTAGGTGGCTTTTTAATGCTGGTGGGAGCTCATGCTAATCTGTTGTCTGCATCCATGTTCTTAACAGGTAAGCTATAAACAATATTTCTAAAATGTGCGGTCTTTAATTTCCTTTTTAGGTATGGCACCAAATCCTATTGTCATTGCTAAGGCAAACGCATTATACCCGGATTTGCAATTCAACTTTATGACCTGGATCCAAGGAAGTTGTGTTCCCGCGTTAATTTGTGCCGCCTTTTTGCCTTTAATACTCTCTTGGTCATGCGGATTATTCAAATCAAAAGACAATGACGAAGAGGAATCACAGCAAATAAAAATTGATGGTGATAGTATTATTCAACACGCAGCAAAACAACTTGGTGAAATGGGCACTATGTCTATAAAAGAGCTGGTACGCTTAAATAAGACATTTATCTTTTCAAAACTAACATTTCTCCCCTTAGCAACTCTGTTTTGTTCTTCTTGGCTGTCTTGTTCTGTGGATATCTTCTGGATATACCAATATAGACTCCACTTTAGTTGCCCTGATAGGAATTGTTGCATTGTTGCATATGGGTACTATTCAATGGACCGATGTTGCCAATAACAAAAATGCAGTAAGTTAATGGTTTTTTCTAGTGTTTATGTACAAATACTTACGTTGTATCATAGTGGGAAACATTATTCTGGCTTGGCGGATTTGTGACTATCGCTAGCCAATTATCTGAAGCTGGAGCATCACAGTTTTTAGGACATAAAATTTCAGCGACCATCATACATTTGCAGTTGCCTGCGGTACCTGCTTTAGCAATTGCTTATTTTCTCACAACGTTCATCTTCTCTTCACTCAGCGCACATACTGTTGCCTTTGTGGCTACCTTTCTGGATGCAGGTCATGCTTTGGGTGCAAATCCAATGATCCTGACCTGTTTATTGGCGTACTTTGGAGCATTGGGCGGTTGCATGGTAAGAAACGCCCCCTCTTTTCACGATATGTATAAACAAAGACTAAAATCAGAAACTACTTTAGACCAACTTCTCTACTGGTAGTTTGGCAATGTATTATGCCCCCGGATACATAACACGATCAAAATGGTTTATTGTTGGAGGTCAAATGGCACTGTTTTATTTGCTAATCTATTTTACAGCCGGTATGGCATGGTGGAAGTTGTTGGGATGGTGCTAAAAAGACAATGCATTACTTCACACTTAGATACAAATCCCAATAAAAAATATACCCTTTTTTTTTATTAAAGTAATTGAAATTTCACACATACTAACATGTATAAATAATGATTACTCTTAACGTAAGTCATATCTACATTCGGCAAAATTTGTATAATCCCGACCAAAACTGAAAATTGACATTAGTATTTTACTGACTATGGCTTTTAGTACCCCCATTCATAATATCTAACTCCACTATATCTGATGTTAGATGTGTATAAATCCAAATATTGCGCACTTCTTATAGTTCATATGTTTGAAATGTGAGGTTCTTAAAATGTTTGACAAATCTACAAACCCGAGCTCTCCATTGATATCTATATTTAGTTGACCAAATATAGTGTCTTTTTACTGCAGACAGGGTTTTTTTATAAATGTTTGCTTACAGATCTTGTTTACATTGATAATTGAAATCTGGCTGCATTCATAAAAAGGCAGAAAATAAAGCTTTAGTGTATACAACAGACCAGTTGAGAGATCAATACCGAGAAGTTATCAACACAAATATATGCGCTAAAATCATTTACATCTGATTTATGCTGTCTCAACGAAAGTGTTTGTAAGACAATAAGTTTAATTAAATATACAAAATAGTCCTTTATTCACTCTGGTAATTATTTGGTCTTGTATCGTTAGCTATGGGTTCTCCGTATTATATAGTTGAGACATTAGCATAGTGACTGGATAGATATGGTACATTATAGTTGATATCTTGATATAATATCTAAACAGATATTATAGTTGGGACCTTGACATAATGGTTGATATTAGGCAAATTGGTAAATTAGTAGATCATTACAGTAATTATGACATCAAACCAGCAATGGGAAGAAATAACGTGTGCTTGCTATTCAAAAGCCTATCGACTATATCCTTGCAGATAAAATAACTGGTACGTGGACGTTGCCAACATGGTTAAAATAAACTCTTTGTAATTAAATAGATAATTGCCAGCTTTAAATGTGACATACAATCACTAGCGGAGGCCTTTTTAATTGTTTTGTTAGGTTTGCAGTTATAGTGTAGTTCTTCCTCTTTTTTAGGCCACATAATTACAGTGACAAACACTGTTTTTTTATTTCTCGCGTAAAGAATCTTTTTCAAAAACAGATGCTTGCGTTTTACACACCAATATTTTGGACTTGAGCTAAATTTGTTGCCATGTACACACATACAAGTGTTGAAACCTTATTAACGGGTAAACCCTGAAAAACACGATAGCTGCCCGAAAGAAGAGAGAGAACAACACTATATGAGCGTAAAAGGAGGCAACAAGACTATTTGAGCTTGAGAATTGAATCCATATATCTGAGAAGAAATTATTATGACTATTTTTTTTTTTTTGATTATCAAGCAGAAAGGGTCTTTAGACCCTTTTTTTCAATAAACCCAAATTGGAAACAGGTTGGCGCACTTTAAAAAAAGACGTAGTAGTAGTAGCTTATGAATTGTGAGAAAATACTTCCGTAATAGTATGGGCGAAGTTTGCGGGATAATGATTTTGGCCATTTGGTATCAACAGTGATGTTCATTATATATATATATATATATAAACAGAAAATCTAGCATCAATCAAGTAAAAAAGTCACGTAGGGGTAGACAAGGATCAAAAATAAAAAGTAGACTTAAAACGAGATCTTACGAGACATACCTTTGTGTATACTTTTAATTTGTTTAAATTTTGGGTGGATCATCATTACTAAAAACATTGGTTCGTTACCAAACTGCAGGGCATCTCAAAGAGTATTAAAAGGCATTGTTAGCCTGTGATTTACAAGGTACCATTTTGACGTGATTAGTTAAAGATTATTTTGATTCGCCTGAAAAAAGAAAGTAAACTTGTCTGGTAATGCAGGCAGTGCTGTAAAAAGTATATAATCCAGCTGTTTCTATAAAGTGATATATTTGACAGCTGATTTTTTAGACGCTCGCACAGATTTGACATCAAACACCTCCTGTTTTTAGGTCAACTTTTGAAACCCCTTTAGCACCAACAACAAGCTTAATTAAAAATTCCATAAAGTCTCATTTTCCCTTTTATTTTCCTTCTTCTTTCTTTTCTTTATTTTTACTTATTATAAATGGCAGCACAATTATATGAGACCACAAGTGGTCGTTTGTTTCATGCAGGTGCAGTTGCAGTGATTACTGTTGGGTAAGAAAAAGCAAGTATTTTTGTTACTGTTTACGTTACTAAATGCCCATTGGCAGTTTACCAGCTCGTGGTAAGACTCATGCCTCCAGATCTCTTTGTCGTTACATGCGTTGGCTTGGTGTCTCTACCAAAGTCTTCAGTGTTGGTAACTACAGAAGAGAACGTTTAGGCTCACTTTCTGAAGATTGGTTTGATCCAAGTAAGTTTCACCTTGGTAATGTACTAATTTACAATCTATTCACGTCATGACTTTTCAGATAATAGCAAGGCTACTGAAACTCGTTTGCAAGTAGCCGACGAATGTCTTGATGATCTTATTAGCTGGCTTCAAACAGGAGGTGGTCAAGTGGCTATTTTCGATGGCAATAATGTCACAGAAACCAGAAGAAAACAAATTCACGATAAGCTATTAGCCAATGATATCCATGTATGTTGAACACTTCTTTTCGCACAGACTAACCAAACTAACTGTTTCTATAGCCTTTATTCTTGGAATTTATTTGTAATAAGCCCGACATCATTCTAGCTAATATTAGAAGTGTCAAAATTTCGTCACCAGATGTAAATATTTGCTAATTTTATATGGTAACTATATACTGATAATCATTTATCAACTTAGTATGTTGGATGGGATCCAGAGGAGGCTGTTAAGGACTATAAGGTAAGAAGAAGAAAAAAAAAGGAATTATAGGGCATAGAAAGTAATTTCGTCTATTTATTAGCGCCGGATTAAACAACATGAAGATAACTATGAAACAATAACAGATACTTCGCTGCCTTTTGTTAAGAACATGAACGCTGGCGAGCAGTTTATTGTAAACAACGTGATAGGATATCTCCAGGTAAACAACAGCAATATTTAATGTACAACTAGTATTTAACATTATGTAAATTTTATAGTCACGTATCGTATATTACCTCATGAATCTCCATATTCAACGTCGTACAATTTATTTCGCACGGGTATGTCCTCCAAAAAAAGTTGAAATGTCTTGTATTCTAACAACTATCATCATAGTCCGGTCCTTCTCTGAACGATAACTCTTATAAGGCCGATGCTAATCTTTCTCTCGAGGGAGAACAATATGCCGAAAAATTAAAGGAATTCATGTTGAACTATCATGAACAAAAAAATGCCAGTAGGGTACCCGATGAGCAACGTCCTTTAACAGTAAGTCATCTCTTTTATATGATATGGGATGGGGTTTTTAACGTCGCTATAGATTTGGACGTCAACGCAAAAGAAGGCACTGGAAACAGCCATTCCTTTTATTAATGCAGGTATTCCTGTTAGACAACAATCAGTCCTCAACCAGTTGAATCCCGGTGAGTCTGATGGTTTATCTCCTGCTGAATTAAAAGAACGTTTTCCTGAAGAAATCGCCAAAGTTCGCGAGAACCCATATCGTCATAGATATCCACGTGCAGAGGTAAGCGAAATTATACACAAAGACGAAATCATACTAATAAAAAAAATCATGCATTTTTATTATGTATTTAGTCGTACCATGATTTAGCTGTAAGATTGGAATCGGTCATTATGGAACTCGAACGTGAAAAGAATGATGTCTTGATCGTAGCCCATGAAACAGTATTGCGTTGTTTGTATGCATATTTGTTAGATAGACCTGCATCCGTAAGTTTTATCAATTCATACACACATGATCCATATATTAATCCTCTTGAATAGGAAATTCCAACCATTTCCATCCCTCGCTACTGTCTTATAGAAATTACACCTTCGGCTTATGGCTGCAAAGAATCTCGAATGGAAATAAATTAATTCTTTTTATTGTTTTAAAAAGCAAACCTGTGTCCTTTACGTTGCATGTACATATATTTAGATCTACATGACAAATCTGAACGGCCAGTGTTTAATTCCTTTGCGACAGTAGACCACATACTCTGCTTAGACGATTTGCTTCTTTGTAGTTTCGTTTTCTGTACAATTTCTAGCAACTGCATTTCTTCTTCATAATTCCAATGCCCTTTAGTGAAGCCGCCCTTTAAGGTGTAAGTCCACCGTACGCGACATTGCTTTGGTGTGCGGCCATGTATCATTTTTGATACTTGAGCCCATACGGATTTATCATCAAGCTCATCCTTATATCTGCTAACAGCAAATTTTAATGCCTTGTCCTCGTCCTCAGTCCACAATTTCGAAGCGTCACTACCATCCGCATCAAGTCCTGTCTTATGTTGGAAGTGCCACCAGCGCATAATTTGTTCTGGTGTACGCGAAGGTAAGTACGTCATTCGGATAGCAGCCCAATTACATCCAAACATCTGTATTCCCTCCTTAATAAGAGACTTTTCAGCATCTGATAGTTGTTTTTTCTTAATGATTGGAGGATCACTGTCCTTAAATTTTAATACACGATGCCATCTATAAACACATTGTCGTTTGTTTCGGTTGGGTATATGTTTTGCAATGGTGTCCCAATTAGATGCGCTGTATTCATTCACTAGTCTTAGCAAGATATCATCTTCTTCCTTCGACCATTCACCTTTTGTAATACTAGATACTGAAAGATGCTCATCGTACTGATTTTTACATTGATGCGCATCCCTTCCAAAGAATTGTTTGGATATTTTTTTCCAATCCTTGTATCCTAATGATTCTACACCCTTCTTTTGTAATTGCTCATTGACCAATTCATCTAATTTTACTAGGTCGTCTTGATCCCAATGACCAGTCTGGTGTATGTTTATGTTGTTATCCGGCAATTTTTGTATGGTTGTTTCTTGTTTGAGCCAATTACATACTAATTTAGCCACTCTTGCTCTCCAAAGAGGGCCATTTTCAAGACTTTGCTTTTCCAAAGCATCGCCATATAAAAAAGTAAATTCTTCGTCATAGCGCACTGTTGACCAAAACTTACGGAAACAGCTCAACCTATTTCTGCCAGGCAAATCCTCGGCTACCTTCACAAAGTCACCCTTGAATCGATCTACTCGTTCCCAAAATAACCTGGTCTCTTCGTTTGTCCACGGACCTTTGTTCAATGTAGGGTCCAATTCACTCATCCAGATCGCACTGCACTTCTCTGGTGTTCTTCCTGGTAACCCTTCTGCCACTTTGTTCCAATCTTGGCCAAATACAATGGTTCTTCGAAGCAACGTGTCCAATTCATCATCTTCCCATTTTTCTTTATTGACGTTGGGATCTAACTGCGAGCGATAATGATTTCGGATTTGACTGCGGCTTCTCTCAGGTAAGTACTGTGCAGCAATACGTGTCCATGCGTATCCATACTCAGCAACTCCTTTTAAAACCAATTCGTCTTCTTCCTTCGTCCAACGTGCGTTTTGACATTTCGACAAACTATACCACTCATTAGCAATTCTTCTTGAAGATCGTTTAGGTAAATACTGCTCACTAATTTTGGCCCACTGTCCTTTGCCGAATTTTGAAACGCCTTCCTTTAAAAGATTTTTTTCATCAAGAGAGAAGGGCCCTTTAGTCAGTGTGGGGTTCAATATATCAGACCAACGTGTTTGACATTGGTTGGGTGTTCGGTTAGGTAGACAATGTTGAACGAATTCATGCCATTTAGTGCCATTATGTGCCACGTAATTTCGTAATAGATCGTCCTCCCAAGGTACCCATTTGGCATCGGACGTTTGTTGAATAAAACGTCTTTGCAAGCTTAACGACATAAAAACTGCATTGTTCGAATTTCTGGTCGGTGGTTGCTTTATGAAAGGGTATTTGCGTATCAGAGATACAAGCATGGTTCGAGGTAAAGAGAACTCGTAAAAAAGATGAATTCCTAGACATGATGTGCCCAATCAAAACTCTGAAAATGACAGGATTGGCTTTTAAAGGAAATTCACGTCCCTTTAAAATAAATAGTATGGCAAAAGTTGCGTACAATAGTGATATTGACTACAATATTTGGTTAGTATAATTTCTGCCTTCAAAAAAGTCTTGATGTGTGCTAAATCTGAAAAACCTCGATAATTCGGATTTGTAACCAGTTGCCTTGGCCAATATTGGTAATAAAGGTTAGACATATTTTGGTTCAAATATATTCAGAGTGACCTTGTTTAAAAAAGGGGTATCTCCTTTGTGAAGGATGATAGTTTTTGGTTTACTAAAAACAGCGAGACAATATGAATGAATGTTTGATTCCACCCTTGTACAATTTAGATGCTTTGTGGTCATGACTTACCTCACAGCTTACACTACCAATATTAGGAGCTTTCATGGTTTGACTATATGATAGTGGCAGAAATCATAACGTTATTCTATCAGGAACTTTTATTATTGAACAACTAGTAGCATTCATTTGTTGTCTGACAAAATTGAACCCCACATATCAATGCGACTAACTTCAATTATTGTACTATAAGACAGATAATCAACTTATAATAGAGTGTGTCAATTGCAAGTATCAACAGCTTTGAAATTCAAATGTAAGCAAATCCAATGACAACATTCACTGACGGATAAATGATTTTGGTTTTTTTGTTCTCTGTTAATTCAATCTATTTTTTTTTTTTTTTTTTTTTTTTTTTTTGGGTACATTATAGGGATGACAATATGATGGATATACGTAAGATCTGCTCTATCAATTTCAGGAAAATTTTTATTCTAAAAAAATAATTGCATCAGCATAGACGTGTATTGCAAAATATGTTCCTCTCCATAAAATGTATCACAAAATACCGAGTGCAAAGCCATGACAGCTACTATTTTAGAGTCTGTACTATCAAAAAATTTTCTAGTTAGTCAAATTCGAATATGCAAAGTAGGGTTGCGACGAATAAAACAGACTTGTACATTATGGAAAGATTTCAAGAAAATGTAAAACCTAGATATGCATGAAATCCATATAATTTGTATCTTGTGACGCATAAACCCTCGTTTTTTATTTTTGGCAATGATACCAAAAGTACTTTCGACATTATCAATTCATTCTGATACTGTCAAAATAGAACGGGAGTTTCTTTATTACAGTCTGTACGGACTAAACCAAAAGAAAAAGGTATCTAAAAATAAAAAAAGGAGCGACCCAATCTAGGATAAAAAATCTGTACCACAAGTTATACATTTGGCGCTGTTGACCACATTTTGTAGCTTTTAATCAATGTCTTATGAAGTATGTGCTGAATTCAGAATCAAGATAGCAGATCTAATAAGTATAAAGCTTCCAAAATAGCTATTTAATACGACTTAAAACCAAAACCTACAAATGCTTTGGTCCGTTTAATTAATTTTGAAAGTAATGCGCCAATGTAAATGTACTCTATTATATTTATGACGTTATAAGTGATAGACTGATATAAATTGACACCAAAAACAGAGTTCGATTATCTTTTTCTTTTACGTTCAATAAATTTATTTACGAAATGATGGATAAGGATCCCATATGCGTTCTATGTGGTAAAGCATTTTCAGAAAAGTCTTCTTCTACTATGTGCGCTATTGTTTGCGGCCACACATTTCATCGAGATTGGTAAAAAGCTGTAACATATCCGTAAAAAATATCATACTGAACTGCTATAGTATCGATTCTTGGTGCAAATTGTTGGATTACTGCCCCGTCTGTAGAAAATTTCTAGGTGAAGACTTTCCGTATAATATCAAGTTCATGTATAAGGACTCTCCAGAGAAACAATCCCATGAAAAAACAGACCATATATTGAAGAAATTTAAGCAATCCCACGAACATATTGTGGTTTCAGAAGGTCTTCTTGAAAAGGTTAAAAAACTCCATGAAATTTTTGAGGAACTGAAGTCTTTCTTCGACAGTGACGACAGCGATTAAACGGTATTAATATGACTATATGCAAATATTTCTCTCTCGTATATCACATAAATAAACTATTGACCCGCCTTTTCTTTTTACATCATTTCTTTAACCCTTGGCGACTCTTATTAAACCAATTTATTTGTTACAGTAATTCATTAAAAAAAGGTTTATGTATATTTGGTTTATTCTGAAGTTGCTATAACGGCAATCTGTAAATCACTTTCCAATACAAAATTGACCAAATAAAACGTCTAGCACATCCTCTACATCAACCCTTCCTGTAATTCTTCCTAGCGCATTTGCTGCCTGTCTTAATTCTTCTGCTGATAAAACAATGTCCTCATCCGGCATATCTATTCAAATATAAGTATGATTATATTAACCTTTAAGTACGAAAATAAAGACTTTACTTAAAAATGTGTTTAATGATGCTACACACTCTTCCAAATGCTCTCTATGTCGAGCTTGCGTGATCAAAACAGGATTACCAATCGATGAATCAAATCTTTAGAGAGAAAAAGTGTTAAAATTAATCATAAGCATGTGACAAATCCATTTACTTGTTCTTCAAAATATTTATCATTTGTGTCAGAAATTTATCCACTCCTTGGCCAGTCGTACAACTCATTGTCCAGACTTTTTTTGCGCTTGTTTCTTTTTCTATACGTGTAACCATGTTTGCGATGTCTTTTGTATTTTTCGCAGCATCTTCCTTATTTAAAATTACATATGTATCCTTGTCGATAATATCTTTTACAATTGGGTCAATGGTAGCATCACCATCTAAAGATAGTAAACAGATCTTGATATCCGATGATAGGATTCTATAAACTAGTTTAATATTTATACATGTAAAGCACTTTTATATACACTACCTTGATTTAGCTCTTTTGATACCTTCCAATTCAATCAGATCGGTGGATTCTCGCAGACCAGCCGTATCGCATACTACTACAGGATACCCGCCTAAATTCAATTTTACTTCTACCACATCTCTAGTTGTACCTGGTATATCGGAGACAATTGCAGCCTCTCTCTTAGCCAATCGGTTTAATAAGGTACTTTTACCAGCATTAGGAGGACCAACAATAGCCACTTGAATACCATTTCTGACAATTTCACCGACATGACTATCATCTAAATGTCCAGCAATCAAATTTCTTAATTCAATCACGTCTGCAACCACTTGATCCATCACTCCTTCTTCAATATTTTCATCCTCTCCAAAATCAATTACGGCTTCGGTAGTAGCCATACATTTGACAATTTTCTCTCTCCAGTTTTCATAGGGTACTCTTAATCCACCTTCTGCCTGTCTTAATGCTAAACGACGTTGAACTTCAGTCTCCGCATTCAGCAAATCTGCCAAACCTTCCAATTCCGTCAAGTCCAGTTTATCATTATCAAAAGCTCTAATGTTTGGGGGGAAGAGAGTGAATATTTCCCTCTAGTTCTTGTTAAAAAAATTCTTGTACCTCCTAGCAAATTCACCTTGCTCGGCCATTCTAAAGTCTGTCATTTCATGTAAAGCGCCCAGTACACTTTTAACTACGGCATTGCCACCATGAATTTGAAGTTCCACAGAATCTTCGCCTGTGAAACTATGTGGACCGGGAAACCAAAGCACAAGTGCTCTGTCCAATACTTCGCCAGAGAAAGGATGTCGAATACGTCTAAAATAAGCTTTTCTCGGGTCAGTTATGCCACCGGGAGCCAAAGTCATTTTGTTAATGGCCTATACGAATAGTTAGTCATTTGGGACAAATTCAATTAAATGAGTCATACTTCTTTGGCGCTCTTTCCGGAAATACGAACGACAGCAACACCTGCTTTGCCGGGCGAGGAAGAAAGTGCATAAATCGTCTGAGGGCGTGTTACAACCTTATGATGCAAGTATCTTGCTTGGGTATATTGTTTGCAAGTTGTTAAAAAAAACGATTGTAACATTAAAAAAAGATCTAAAGATTAATATTTTGACAGCAGTGATAAAAAAAAAAAAAAAAAAAAAAAAAGAAAAAACCCCCGGTCTCTTTCATCGATCTCTTTTTTCTTTTTTTCTGAAAAATGCAACATAAATCAGCAATTACTCTTTTACAGAGATTCGGAACGATCGAAAGTAAACAAATCATTTCAAGACCTTTTGCTACACTCCCAAAGAAAACAACTGCTGAGAAGCCAGAATTATCTAATCGACAAAAGTTTAATCAAATTTCACCTCCCATTAAACTTTATGAAAAGCTTGATAAATTGGGCTTCGGTACCTTATTAAAAACAAAGAAATTCATTGGTGTCCACAAGCAAAGAGCAAAGCGTGACCAACAGCGATTGCAACATACAGAAAGAGTTGGTCCTCCACCTGAGCCAAAATATGCTGTAAGTTTTTATATATACATAAGGGGTAATTATGTTCCTGACGCTCCTGTAGTTTCCTTTACTTTCATTTTTTGCTGGTGCAAAAGTACCCACTTCTTTCCCACCAGAATCTCTCGATGAAGTTGCTTTTGTTGGTAAGCTCCCCCCCCCTTTTTTTTTTCGTCTACATGGTTTCTTATAATGATATTTACTTATTTCGCATTTTTGCATAAAAAGGACGATCCAACGTAGGTAAATCCAGTTTAATTAACAGTTTGGCGGAATCCAGTGTCGTCAGAACTTCAGATAAGCCGGGATTAACACAGCAGATCAATTTTTTTAATGTTGGAAAGTTATTTCATATGATTGACATGCCCGGTTATGGTTTTGCATTTGTCGATGAAGCTGAAAGAGAGACTTGGAGAGAATTGGTAGGCTTGCGAACGCTTTCCCCTCATACAACAAAATTAAATATACTTTTCTAACCTGTTTGGATAGATGGAAGAATATATTACAAAAAGAGAAACACTAAAGAGAGTTTATGTTGTATTGGACGCAAGACATGGCGTCAAAGTAGCAGATACCGAGTTCTTTAGAATGTTGAACAGCAAAAAAACAAAATTCCAGATCGTCTTGACCAAATGTGATTTACTTAAATTACCAGAGTTGGCAAAGCGTATCGTCACAATAGAAGACCACCTTAAACCTCTTCGTAATGCTGTCAAGGACGTTGTTGTCGTTAGCTCCAAGACAGATGCTGGTATTAACCAATTTAGAAAGGAAATGTTATTTTTGACGGGTCATTTAAAGCCCAAGGAGTTCTATGATGCTATTCAAGCTGCCCAAGATGAAAAAGAGGCTAAAAGAAATAAGGCCATCAGTTATCAAAGATAAATAATAAAAAAAAATATAGACGAATTTAATTGGTATGAAAAAAAAAAAGAGACTATGTGTATAAAAAAAGTGCATAAATAAATAGAAGGATCATATAAAAAAAGGGGAGGAACGAGGAGGGTAAGGGCTAAGAAACTGTACATAATACGTTTAAATATAATAGTAATAATTAACAAATGAGAATATAGTCTCAAATAAAATTCGATAAAAAAAAAAAAAGAAAAGAATGAACAATTGTAAAAGTTCCAGACCCCAATTGCTCTACTAATAATTTACTTTGCCCTCAGCTTGACGCCTGGAGGCTAATTGCATCATGGCTACTGCTGCGTCTACCTCGCCAATGCCGTCTTGCTGTTGATAGTGATGTTTAGGAGAATCTGGTTGTAGAGTATTGCTAGAAACAATTGAACGTAAAGGGGGCAGATGAATCACTTCCCCACTGCTTAAATTACCACCAACTCTGGATGGTGGATGTATGATTTGTGGATTAGGCTGTTGTAATGACATGCGCCGTGATTCACGATGATAGGTTGGATTGTAATAATTAGGATCGGCTGACTGTCTTTGACTGCTGTGGTTTGATAATGCATCATCCAAGCTGGATCTTCGAAGTTCTGGTTTGAATAAGGATGATTGGGGTGGTGGCGAAGGAATCATATTACTACGGTGGTGGATATTCATTGGATAATGATGCGGTGCCTGGTAGTGGTTTTTATGATTATAATCATTGTGATCATTTGATCCAATTACTACTCTACTACTGTCATAAGGTTGATGGGGAGGTGAAAAAGGGACGCTCGGTCTACGATCAATATGAGACAATCGACGAGGATTTAAACTAGAGTCACTACTTGCCGTCATTATACTATTTAGGCTACCTCTTCTGTTATCATATGAACTGCTGCCGTTTTCTTGGATAGGCGACCAATGGTATTGCGGGGTTCGCTGATAATGGACGGGATAAGCATTTGGCGGTTGTGGCTGAATAAATTTCTTTTGCTGTTGCTGCTGAAATATTGGATGAGACCGGTCAACAAACGAAGGCCTCTCATCTAATTCCAAAGCCTCATCTTGTGACGACAACTTTCTTTTACGGGATCCGGTCCTATATCATTAAGACGGTTAGTCAGTATGTATCGCATAAATAAGGAGAATAGTCGTGTTACATTTGAACTCGATGTTCCTTTCTGATTCGAATTCGGACACCTTGGTCTGAAAATGAACGAGATAGAAAAGTGGACTCAAGCATGCCAGGAAATGATTTTGAAGGATACACTTGAAATGGGTTGGAATAAATAGATTTCAGATTAGTTGCACCTAATTTAGATATTTCAAACATGGAAAATTTCAATCTAAACTGTCCTTCCAATTTGACAGAGACATCGCCAAATACAAAAAACCCGCCGTCTAATATCACGTTAATGTTAATTTTTTTAATATTTAAAAATATCTAATAATTATTACCATGATTATTTATATCTTTGAGCTTATACATGGACGAAGATGACTGTCCTGACAATGTATTATGATTGGAATTTATTATTTCTTCATGCGTTGTAGGGTGAACTAATGAGACACACATGAAAAGATACGGGTTTTGTAAAAAATCTCTAACATAAATTCATAAATATAAGATGGAAGATTTTTAGAAGGGAGGCTTACTGTGTCTCTTGTGGAGTCGAATTGTCTAATTCAATTTGGACAATAGGAGGAGGATCTAATGGTCTACGATCTTTTTAAAAGAATGTTAGTGATCATCACGCACATTATCACCGCGCCTCTTGGTACCTCTTTCATTCGTCGTACTAAGTCGAGTTTGAATAGGCTGTTGACGAATTTTAAGGACAAAGCGACTATTTAAAGAAAAGATAGATTTAGCTTGAAAATATCAGTAGCATTATTGTGTCATCATATATTACTCTGAAACAATTTGTTGAATTGCATTTGAATAAGTTGATATATATTCATAACTATGTGAAACACTTCCTCTGGACATTATTATTATATTATTATTGGGATTCTTGTAAGGAGAAAGAGGAGGAAATACAAATATTATTAAGAAAATATTTAATGGATTGAAATGAACGTTCTGCTGCTTTTTGTTCTGTAACCCGGAATACTGAGCGGCTTATTTATTATGAATTTCTTCGACAAAAACAAAGGGTTAGGATGGTCTGTCTTGTTTTTTTTTTGCTTTAAAAAAAAAAAGAAAAAGGAAAGAGAAAAGAAAAAAACCCAAAATCAAAGAGACAAATTTATACACAAATTTTCTTATTACGGGAATACAGCAACATATTTATTACATAAATCGAATTTATGAAATATCATGTAGGGCTGCGTCAGTAACTTTAATCAAGCTATGGGTTTTCTTATTTGCATTGTTATTGTAATGCGAACATCAAGTAGTCATGCACCCGGGAAGTTTTTTTTCTTTTTTTTTCTTTCATCGTATAAAAAATTAAATTGGTGACCTTTCAAAAGTAACTGGGAGAAGAAGAAAAAAGGGTACATAAATGAGCCTCAAACTAGACTTGAAAACAGACGTAGGCAGTCAAATACCACAAACAAACATTTATTTTTTGGCCGTTTATCTACCCGAGAAAAAAAATAGGTAGAAAATAGTCATGGTCAGAAAGAGTACAACTCCTCGTTTTCTTCTGTATTATGTAACAATGGTAAAACGAGAATTATAGTTACAATTACGACGTATGCTACTTTATCATCACGCCATGACTAGTAAGATGATCAGTGCAAATATAGTAATAAATTTATGCCATTATAAAGTACCTTATTCGTATTTAAATCCGAGGGAACCTTTTTATATTACCATCAATATCAATTGAATCTAATCGTCACGTAATATAGATACCATCATCGTGTCTTAGTTATTCCTCTCCTTTACAAATAAATCATGCTTTTTCGGTAACAACATTCATGTACATTTCGATCTAGGTTTCTCTCCTGTGCCTAATTCTTATTTCATTCTAACTTAATTACAAGGAGAAAAAGGGTTCTTGTTCATGTACATTAATGATAGGTATCTCGTCATTCGATCGAATATATACTTCTCAGCTATTGACGATAATATAAACAAGAGTCGGTTAATATTCCCGGCTAACAAAAAAACAACTATATATAAATCATTTCCTGTATTTGGAATACCATATTATTTATAAATTAATTATTTCTGTTACGTAATTATCTAATGAAATTATGATCGATGTCTATTTTTCATCATTTGACTGTTTACGATTGAAACTGGAGTATATACTTTTACTACATGGGACACATGTACTTTATACTATTATCAATAATTTTATAGAATCATATTATCTCCCAGTGTTTCCCTTGTCCCCCACCCCCTGCGCAAATATTCTCGGCAATCAAAGGGATCATGCCGTACAAAGGAGCATAGCTTTACATGAAGCAATTCTAGGATTCTTCCATGTCCATCAACAGTCACGTTTATGCAAAAAGGCAAAATACAACTTGATCTCCCTTTTGACAACTAGTTTTAAAGTTTCTGTTTATTCAAAACATGTTAATCCGATAAGTTATTAAAATGAGCCACCTGGGGTTGATGATCAAATTTATTTAGTGTGCTTAATTGAAACACATACGTTTTTATGAAGATATATTGCATGATTGTTGATACGGTTAGTTAGCTATATTTTTTTTTTGTGGAAGGATAGTCCAGAAGAATCTCGATTTTACTTTGCCGGTGCTTAAACAGCCAATATAGGTTAGGAGCTGTCAACATTGTCAGTGCTCCCTGGCTGCTTTTGCAGCATAATTTCTGCTGGTATAGACTTTCTCCGAGTATGGATAAGCATATAGACATATATAATGCTGGATTGGACATGCCAGTTTGAAAATCTAACATGCTAAATTTTGTTCAAATTTGGAAGCTGAAATGCTATCTTGATTCTGATGCCATTCCACTTGCGATATTAATTTCATTGTTTGTTAATAATCCGACAGGTTTTAGAATTCTGGGGAAATTTGTTTACATGCTTTACGAGAATAGGAAAATTAGAAGAAATATAAGCACATACGAGAAATCTTACAGTGCTTACAATCTCAATTAGCTGATTTTAAAAGACGCAATTTGCGTAAAAAAAACCAATTCACATTAAAAAAAAATCAATTAACGGTTTTGGAAAATCCAATCAGCGGATTTTTGTAGTCGATTCGCGTTAATATTTCTTTCGACTTATACAGACTCTATATTTAATCACTTTGAAAAAACCATTGACGGAATGTTGGATACAGTTTTTTAATGTAGTTTGAGGAACATTATTACATGCCTCAGTAATTCTTGTATGAAGATCCCTCAATAGCATCGAACTTACTACGCTTAACACTATTTTTAACAATAGCTCAAAATTGTTCAATAGGGCTCAATTCCGACGAATAAGGAGGCAAGTAAATACACTTGTATCATCTGCTAGTAACTAAATTATCAATGCCTTCGTGGGTAGTTGGCTTAGAAACGAACCGGGTACAATAACACGAAGCTTTGACTGGCTGATGTTTATTCTGAAGTCCCAAAGTGTTGCAAGGATGTGGTAGTCCTTTTCTATGGTTTGATAGAAGGTGTGGTATAGCCCTCTTGTCATCTCCACTAACGGCCCCTTCATAGAGAGCTAGTTTCAATAAAAAGCTTACTGATATTTCTTTCTTTTTTTTAGTTAAGAAAGCTTCTTTCCGCTTCAAGTCTTGGGTATTGGGCATCCAGTTTCCTTTACTGAAAGTATCGATTACAAAAGAAATTCTGAAATACCACCCTCCTCCAAGCTTCATCAACGATGTATCAAATATCATTCAAGTATTAAAAAATGTTCACTAAGACAACCATCGGCCATGCCAGCTTATGAAATACATACAAAAAAAAAAAAATAAAAAAAAATACAGTACACAATTAGAAAAAATAATACAGTTTATAATATTACCTTTTAGTGTCATTTTTTAGAAACGAAACGATTGATCCAAAAAATGGTTGGATTGGCTAAGAGACCAAGGGCTTTTGGCTCAGCTTGTACCAAACATAACGGCTTTATCCTGACGGAGTAGGGATCACGCTTTGCTGGATTCTCTTAAACCAACTAACCAATATTCGAATTGTCATAAAAAAATAAAAATAAATCTTCTTTGACTTGGCGCATATCCATACACAGGAAATGTCTAGAACTCCGTATTTTTTTCAAACGTTTTTTTCAATATTTATTTTTTAGAATCACGTGATGGTCTACACATCTTTACGTCGATTGACATGCCATATCGTTTAAACTTCATAGGATGATCAATTTTTGTTTTCCATAAAATCTGCCTCACTGTCAGTACAAGCTACTACTGGAACGCAGATAGACAACTACCAAGTTCTGACTTGCTGGGGAGGTTTTTGCAAGTATTTCTATTTTAAGTAAAGGCTCAAACATTACGGATCATGAAACAAGCAATTAAATCATCCTGACATAAGCTTGTTTATCAGCCTACAAATAAAGCTGGTTCACACACTTTGTTCTTCTCCTTTTCTTTTCCCTTAACATACTTCTTATATCGTCTGAAAGTAGCAGATAACGTAAAAAGGTTAGTTAGTAATGACTCTTGTTTCTTTCAAAAGACGCTAAATCGAAAAAGATATATTGCGATATTGCGGCTGCGGCTAGTCTTTGTTATAGGAGGGCGATCTCCTATAGCAGGGATCTTGAGTTTTTTGGAACTCACAGGCTGTGAATAACAGTGTTTTTACTGTGAATAACAGTGTTTTCACTGTGGATAACAGTGTTTTCACTGTGGATAACGGTTTTTTACTGTGAATAACAGTGTTTTCACTGTGGATAACGGTTTTTCACTGTGGATAACGGGTTTTCACTGTGAATAACAGTTTTTCACTATGAATAACAGTTTTCACTGTGAATAACAGTTTTTTCACTGTGGATAACAGTTTTTTTACTGTGCATTATAGCAGGGGTGCATTATAAATGGTTGTATTTATACTGGCTGGCTGGTCCTAGCCATAATTGCTGTAAGTGGTATAAAAAAAATACATTTAAAAACAATACGAAGGTCTAAACATTTCCAGAAAACAAAGTAGCAATCATTCTTCCCAGCCTCCCCGTCAAAGAATTATTGTCGACGGGGTCGATGGTTTTTCGTCCCTGGCTTAAGCTCTTCTATTGGCAGTTTTATTGGTACATTGGCAAGCAATTCCCAAATATTTGACAGAAAAAGCAGATATTTTGTTACTCTTGGTATGAATAGTATTCTGGATATGACGGACAAAACTACAGGTAGCCAACTCTCGCAACTTTCGGAAGAAGCCTCCCAAGCCTGCCAAAATAAGTTTGCACCTATCCGAAAAGCTGTGAATTTAAGAACAGTCCAAAAGTATGAAGACTTATTGGTACTCAATGAAGATGGCTAACGTTAATTCCTGAAGAAATCCCTTAACCATATGAAGTATTCAAGAATCCATGATGAATATGATATTGTTCGTGACGTATATCAACACATTCTAAAGGCACATCTCTATTCGCCTGAATTGTTTACTGAAAAGGCACGAGGCTTTCTATCAGAACAGGATTATATCATCAAGTTTTGGGGATATCTTGTTGAAACTGTATTTCGTTGTTCAGGTGTTATGGCTCATTGGGGTGATACCATATCATCTTATTCACTTGAAAATGGATCTCATGCAAGAATGGACCTAAGATTGAACGTGGGGGTAACTTTTACTTAGAAAAGTATGCCTGTAAGTGATTGTGGCGACCTATGCTTGCGTTTGTTTAAATGCTGATTTTCGAAATTTAGAGCGGGTTTCCAAAGTTTACGTAATACTTTTTACACTGTGTTGGTAACGCTGAGTTTGCCAAGAAAGAAACCGACAGCAAATATTACAAAGATCTTCTGAAAGCCGTAATATCATCAAAGATTCATTTGAACGAGCTTATTAAAGACTTTCCCGGTATGAATCAAGAAAAAATCAAGAATTTACAAATGCCTCTCTGTGTTGTGGCTGGTACAACCTGCTATGTATATGGTCTTAATCTCGAATCACGAAACCTTTATGTAATTAAAGATATCTGTAGTATGTCTATTCCATTGTCACTAAAGGAGATGAAAGAGGGAGGAATTTCTGAGTTGCTGAAGAATTTATTTATACTAAAGGAGCTTTGCTTAAGTGTAAAGGTTATGATCGCTGAGAAAGATGGTCCATTGAAAGCAGCAAACATACCCGTAATCGCAAAGAACAAAAAAAGGTCAAAAACTGAAAACAACTGCAGCACACTAAACTGGTGTAAGGAATTGTGGATCCCCCTATCTATGGATGATTTATAGAAAGGTTATCAAAGAAGGAAGAAAGAATTGATGATGGAGTTATATCTGTATATAAGCTCGATCACAACGATGATGCCGACGACAATGAATAAGAAGAAAAAAGGATATTCACTTTGAAAATAAAAAATTATTTCGATTGCTTTCCGCGTATACTGTTTGTATTGATATGATAATAAATAACTTTTTACAATACCAGAACGTCTGGTTCAAACTGCTCTTTGGGTAATAAGTTAAAGGCTAAAACTCAGAGGAGTTATGAGAGTAATGAAATATCCCTTCTTTACAAGATTGAGGTGCTACTTTATATTTATAGCAGAAAAGGATCTTTGAGAATTAAGTTATTACATAATTTAGCTAGCGAAAATAAAGACAGAGTACAAAATATTCTTAATAGATTGTAATATTACATCTAAACAGTTTACATGATGTTATTGTCAGATTCGGCATCTTGTCAATAGCTTAATAGTAACTGGGAATTAACGATATAATGACCAATTTATATAATGATAGGTATCTTCAAATCTATGGGTACAGTCATGAGCATTTACAGCAGTTTTTTTGTTATTATTATTAGAATTCAATTACTATGAATAATCATGTTGCCCAAAAATAGGTAAAAGAGAATATAGCTTACAGAGAGCTGATACTACAGACGAACTGGGTGAAGCCCACATGTTGAGAATCGTATTGAATTACGCAACAAAATCGAAGATAAAGGACTTCCACTCCACAATTTGAGATTTTCCTGTTACAGTACTCACTCGAGTTAAGACTAAATTTAAGACAACAGTGAAGCAGCTGAACCATAGTTGAAAGTTAAAATATTTTGCTTGAGAACACCCTTGGTCTTTTAAAATCCGCTAATTGAGACCGTAAACACTGTATGTGGATTAGTAGACCCATTTATATCAATCACGGGAGCAAAAAATGATACGGACAAACCATCAGGCCCTTAAATAATGCTCTACCGGTCTATTATCTGAATGTAGAGGTGCCTTGATCCCGTTTGATTCTATATGAAATGACCAAGACCATATGAGAACTCAGAAATCATATAAATACTGTGCGGTTCTCATAGTTCTCTTTCTTGGCAACAATCAATTTTTCTAACTATTAAATCAAGGATACATTTTATAATCCAGTATAAATGAAAGTTTTTTTTTTTTGTCATGATGGAACGTAATACTATACGGCTTACTGTCATAAGTTTTACAATTATTACATGTCTAAGTTTATTGGGTTTTTTCTGTAACCAAAGCGGGAAATCCAATATTGGTATCGGTAACGATGTGGATACTATTCCAGAGAGTTGAGCGATGTTTTTGCATACAAAAAAAGAGAGAAAAGAATTTGTTAGGGCTGTATGATTTAGTGGGTTTTTCTCTCGCCTTTTTCATATAAAAGTACATTCATACTTTTAAAAAAAAAGTCATACCGTATACACTTTGGCGTGTCTTTTAAAACGCATAATAGCTAGCTGAAGTTGCTAATTTTGTGACATATCAGATGTCTGAAAGCCTTTGGAGTTTCGAATCGACAGAACGACATCCGCCTGACTGAACTAAACGGCGCCTTTGGTGCTACTTCTAACTGAGCTTTCGAGCTCCGTTAAAACCTCACAACCTAAAAAAAAGAGGCATACAACCTCTTTTTTTTCAAGTAAATATAACAATTCACAAGATGTCAGGTTTTGTGGTTTACTCTTGCCACTGTCTCAACATCAGAATACATCTCTCCACAAAATATACCAATGACAACCTTTCGGAATTTAAAGCACAGGCTGCTATCAAAGAACCTACACCAGGCTGGGAGTTTGACTTGGGAATGGGAGGCATCGTAACGGTAAGAAACGAATGCCTGTTTTTGATCAAGATCACTGAAAGTACATTTGCATGCAGGAGTTCGTCACATTAACTCAGACTAAAGCAAACGCAGGCTGGAAAACAACCAGTTGTCTTAACTGTAACTGTGGTGAAATATATTCTCTTTCTGATAAAAGTGGGTATAGTCGTGTCGTTATTCATGAAAACGCAATCGTAAGTGCTAACAGGACCTTACAGCTACAAGTTTTGAACTTTTTATTTTTATTTTTAGTATGGTCAACAAATTGAAAATTTGAAGAATAATACAAACTATTCTCGAATTTTCAATATAAAGTTAGAGGATAACGTAGAGAACTTGATCCCAATGCCCAGTCTGGAAGGTTTGTTCTTAATTTATTTTTTGGAGCAGTAAACTGATATGATACGAATCAATAGACGTTCCTGAAAAACTTGTTTCTACTCACAAACAAATCGTGTCTATGATGGACCAATCGATCGAAAAGATTCGTTTGGAATCAAAATTACGTATCGAGGAGTTTAAGCTACAGGAAGAAAAGAAAACCCAAGAGTTGATATCTCATGCCAAGGTCGAAAATAATCAGTTATGGTCAAAGGTGATTCAGGTGGCAGACAGTCAGGTGGATGAAAAGAAAAATCATGTTCGATTTGCACCTGTCGTACCAGATGAAGAGGAACCAAAAAAACCTACAAAAAAAAGATTAAGTTTTGCCTTGGACGAATCCGCTATAAGTAGTAGTCTTAAGAATAAGAATCTTGATTATTACGGGTTGAATTCATTAAAAAACAAACAGGGTGAGTAATTGCCAAAGATGGCTTATGAGTGGGATGGCTGATGTTTTTACTTTAATAGATAGTGAATCGGAGGAAGAAGAGGAGGACATGTTTAATTTAGACGAAGAGTTTTCAGATGACGATAAAGAGAACGAACAAAAAGATGATGATGATGATCAAGTGTCAGAAGAGGAAAAGGAAGAAATCGAGGAGGAAAAGGATGTTGATGAGGAAGCAAGTTCCAAAAGCAATGATTTACTGTTATCTACTTCTTTAAAAAAATCTATCTCTGACATAGACCAGAAATTTTCTTGGATAAAGAAGAAGAGAAATACCAGTAAATACCTCACTCAAGATTTTGATTTAAAGACTGATTTGAAAAAAGACACTGGCACAAACCACAGCCAAAGTGAGGATGAAAATTTATCGATGTTTGCAACCTCCGTGCCAATAACAATCCATTATCCAGCACCAGATGAGGAAGAAAAAACGGCTGATGATGATAAGCATCATTCACCAAAAAGAAAAGACATTTTGGCCTCAAGTTTCGCAAATTATGATTTTTCGTATTCTGATAGAATGTTATCAGAACAGTTTCCTGCTCCACGTAGAAGAAAGAGTCTAGCCTCATCTTCACTTATCCGTCCCCAATTAGATAGTCTAGTAGGGAAATCATTAGATACTAGAGGTTTAATGAAAAAGAAGGCAAATGAAATAGAACCAAAGGATAAAGATGAATATGACTCAAGCTTACCACCTCATGTTTGGGCTGCTATGGAGTCTACAAAGGATGAAGATCAATAAAAAATTTGTTTGAACCCTGGTTATTTTGATTTGCCGATGTGTTTCTACTTTATCCCCTGTGCGGCCTCGTTTTTTTTGTGTTCTTTACTTACATTACCTTTTTTCTTTTTTTCTTTTTTTCTTACAACATGTCTGACACACCTAAAGAATGTCCAGTAGACCATAGTGCACCAAAGGAGTGTCCCGTTGACCATAAGAAGGTTGAAGAACCTACTTGTCCTGTCGATCATAATTCATATAAGAACTTCCTTCCTCCAACTGCAGACGAACAATCACAAACTTGTCCTGTCGACCCAGCAACTTACAAAAACTTCTTACCTGCCTCAAAAGAAGGCTGTGATTCGGATGCCATCGATAGCACGAATAACATGCCTAAAGTTTCAGAACAAAACGCTCACGCCGATCAAAAAATTGCTCTTGCTAAGGAAAGAGAAACCTCAACGATTCCTCGCGCCAATTCCGACGACAAGTTATGGGTCTACCCTTCTGAGCAGATGTTTTTTAACGCTATGAGACGTAAGAACTGGAGTCCCGAGGAAGAAGACATGCAAGTTGTTGTACCCATTCATAACGCTGTGAATGAAATGGCATGGCAGAAAATTTTAGAATGGGAAAAAATGCATCAGACGTAGGTCTTTTCTATCTTCTTTACTCGAAGCAAACAAATAATTAACCGTCATTATAGCGAGTGCAACCAACCCATGCTGTTAAAGTTTGAAGGGCGTCCTAAAGATATCACACCTAAAGCTCGCATTAGATCTTGGTTTGGGTAAAGGAAAATTAAAGTCTAGTAGAGAGTGGATATTAAAACTTATCATTTCTATAGTTACAAACTTCCATTTGATCGTCACGATTGGGTAGTGGATAGATGCGGAGAGAAAGTTACATACGTGATTGATTTTTACTCTGGAAAGCAGGATCCAAAGAAACCTATGTCTCTTAGTTTCTACTTGGATGTTCGCCCTGCAGTATCTCCATCCGGTATGTGGGATAGATTAAGAATGTCATTTAGAAAGGGAGAGTTCATGTAAACCTTTTACCCAATAAAAACCAACCTATTTATATCTGTAAGCTCAAATTGAGTTTATAGTAGCTATTAAATCTAATGAATGTAGTATATTTGAAAACGACACAGACATAATATATGGTCCTTTAGTGTCACGGTCTCATTTTATTCATTAGGGTGAGTATTTCAGCCAACTCTATTTTCTACAAAAATAAAGACCGCCATCAAAGGACTTGATAAAGGGTAAGGGTGGGGCTTCAAAAATAGAGTTACGGAAAGCGCAATTGCTGCTGAAACCTAGAGTCAGAAAAATCTGGGGATTGCAAGAAATGAAAGGAAGACACACACGTAGAGAAAGCGAATACATGCTTCACAAGGAGCAGAAACAAATGGTCAGTCAAATTCTACAACGACCATCTAGGAATATTCCTTATGTTATTTGTTGGAGAGTATCGTAAAACCTTAATCTTGAGTCCAACCCATCTTTATAACTTGGTAAAAGAAGTGAATTTAAATTTGTTAGGAATTGTTTGAATGTTTATTTTTATGTGGGTCAAATACATGGTTAAACACTTATTCTGGCAATGCCTAATATAAAATGCAATACGTCGCGTCAATTTCCTTATCAATGTGCGCATTAGTTAATCTAAACCGCAAGGCATTTTCTGAAACATATGCCAAGTTGAGAAAGGAAAGTTGTCACTGAACTTTAAATTTTTTGCATAATCGTACACGAAACCGTATTTTTATTTATTATCTCTCTTTTTCATTTTCTAAAATACTTACTTACATTATGTCTTCTGACAATACCGTATCATTGATCGTTGCCTTTAAAGGCTGCAAGGATATTGAAAAAGAAGGACGCATCATCCGCTTTGGACAGGGCGCCAACTTGGATACCATTCGCGGACTAGTCGCTGAAAAATTAGGTATTGCCAATGGTTATGGTGATGTCCAACTTTTAGATGAAAAAGGTAAATTACTTGCTGGTATCGATGAAATCAAGAGCCAACAAGTAGTATACGTTGACTTGAGAACACATATCAAAGATGTTATTCCAGGTCCTGCCTGCTTGCCTTTTGTTGGTAGCCTATACGAAATGCTTCCCAACTTGTATAGTATTCAATATTTTTATTGACTGTAGCACTCTTAGTTATAAATACTGACGCGTCTTTCTCTCTTTAAAGAACCGAAGGCTGGAATCGTCAATTTGCTAAACATGGCCCTCTTGTTGAAATTAATATATTTGGTCGAAAGATCGTTGGCACCAATGATCCACAAATTGCTGAAATCTTTGTAAAAGAATCAGAGTATTTCACAAAAAAAGTTACCTCCACTGGTCTTAACGAGATCAAAGCGTTTGCCGGTCAAGGACTTTTCACTACGGACACGGATGATATGGATTGGAAGCTTGCACATAAGCTTCTCATGCCTGCTTTTAGTCCTCGGGCCATCAAGGTGAAAAACAAAATATTACCATCAGATAATCTAATTCATTACTGACCTTCTCTATTGTACACAGGTCTATCAAGAAGAAATGGGCATTATTACGCAACAAGCTATTAAAATTTTAGAACAGTTTAAACCTGAAGAACCGGTTGAAGTACTAGACTGGACCACAAATATTACGTTTGAAACAATTGGGCGAATTGGCTTTGGTTACGAATTCAACCTACTAGCTGATCGTGACCAACCTCCCAATGACTTCATCCAGGCCATGTCATACTGTTTAAGACAGTCTATACAACGTATGCAACAAGCTCAATTTGTCAAATCCTTGCCCATTGAAGCAAATCGCAAATACGATCAGTGTATTAAGCTGATGCATGACACTGTAGACGAAGTGGTAGCAGAAAGAAAAAAATCGCCATATGCAACCGACAGTCAAAGAGATTTGCTTGGTTTCATGTTAAACGCACGTGATGAACACAACATGGGTTTATCAGACGAAAATATTCGTGATCAAGTCGTCACCTTTTTGATTGCAGGTCATGATACGACGGCCAACACATTGGCATGGACACTCTACGAACTTGCAAGACATCCTGATATCCAAGCAAAAGTACTTCAAGAAATCGCTGATAATCATATCACTTGGGACACGTTACCATCCTCTGAACAGGTGTCGAATCTCAAGTACATTCATCAAGTCATCAAGGAAGTTCTTCGCTTGTACCCACCCGTGAAGAGTCTTGGAAAGTATTGTAAAGAAGATTGTATTGTTCCCGGTGGTTACCGAATTAAAGCGGGTACAGTATGTGCGATCCAAGTCTACTCGATGCACCATAACGAAGACATTTATCCCGACCATGAGCGTTTTGATCCTGATCGTTGGACACCCGAAGAAGAACAAAAGCGATCTCGGTTCTCTTGGCTGCCCTTCAGCACCGGGCCTCGAGGATGTATTGGAATGGTAAGCTGAACAATTCTGTTTTTTTTTTGGATTTCAAAAAACCTCACTAAGTAACCCTCGTTTTATTTAGGCCTTTGCTTTACAAGAAGCAAAAACTGTGCTAGCCATGCTTTTAAACAGATTTGATTTCCGTTATGACGGTCCTGAAGTTACATATGATCCCAAAATGACAACCAAACCAGTGGATCTCTTTATGAATATCTATCCTCGTACAGACTTCCCCGAAGCCGGGTCTGAAGCTGTCGCCGCTAAAAAGCGCGCAGAGACTCCTTCCGCCACCAGTAAAATTCCTATAGTTTCCGAATCTGACAAAAATTCAGATGTCAAGTTGCCTCCCATCACCTTCTTGTATGGTACCCAAACCGGTACAGCTCAAGACTACAGTAATGTATTAGCCAACCAGGCTAAAAACTTTGGCTTTAAGAATGTCACCCTCTGTGAGATGGATAAATGGAAAGTATTACAAGATGGAAAATTTGTATCTGATGACAGAAGTAAAAATGTGGATAAAGAATTGGTCGTAGTTTGTACTGCTACTTATAACGGTCAACCTCCTGATTCGGCTGTCCAATTTGATAAATTTCTCGATACTAAAACGAGAGAGCAAGGCCATGAAACAGTTCTGCAAGGACTTTCGTATGCTGTCTTTGGTTTGGGTAATAAAAATTGGCGTACCTACCAACATTTTCCTATCAAGGTCACAAACATGCTTGAAGAATTGGGCGCTGAACGCTTCTTCTCTAGCGGTGAAGGCGATGCCGATAAGGATATGGATGCTGTCTTTAATGAATGGTGCGCACATTTCTGGTCGTATACTCTAGATACTTATGGCATCAAGGCTTCGGAGGACAAATCTGTCGTACCGGCTGCTGCAGCCACTACCAACAATCAACAAAGTGTCGTCGATATCAAGTTCATCCAACCCAGAGATAAAAAATCGTGGGAAATTTCCACCAATAATCATAACGGTGATTATAACTCTATCTTGTGCCGAAATGATGAACTTCAAAAAGATGATTCACCACGTAGTACACGTCATATTGAAATTGATGTATCTAAATTAACTCCGGTGGGAGACAAAGGTCGTTTGTATAATGCTGGTGATCATTTGGAAGTCTTCCCCGAAAATAATAAAGGGGCTGTGGAAGCACTTGCTATCAGCTTTGGTTGGATTTTGGATTCTGTCTTTGAGGTCAACCAAGAGAGTCTATCTAATGTTTCTCCTCGTTCCCTTGCTGCAAATATAAAAGGACCTTGTACCATCCGTAATATGCTTACAAGCTATGCTGATATTACCTCACCGCCTTCTCGTGCTATGCTTGCTTGTTTCGCTGCACAATTAAAGTTGACTGCTCCGGATACGGCTGCCACCTTTGAAAAATTGCTCATGCCGGATTCCAGTAATCAGGATCAGTACCCCGCTTTCGTTAAGAAGCATCGTACTCTTTTGGATTTACAGAACGCGTATCCTCAAGTCAACCGTTTGGATCTGGGCCAGTTTTTGGCCGCAGTTACGGTCATTCAACCTCGTCGCTATTCTATCGCCTCATCCCCCATAGCATATCCTAATTCTGTTCATTTAACCGTTGGTGTAGTAGATGATGTAGTGAATGATAAGCATTATAGTGGATTAGCTTCCTTCTTTCTCAAAAATGGTGATATTGGCATGTCGCTTCGTACTGAACTAAAATCATGTAAGAATACTTTTGATATGCCCGACGATCCTAGTGTGCCCATCATTATGATTTCTGCTGGTACTGGTTTTGCTCCTTTCCGTGGCTTCCTTCAAGAACGCAAGAGTCAAGTTGACGATGGCAAGCAGGTGGGAGAAACTGTTCTATTCTTTGGTTGTCGTAGACCAGATCAAGATTATATTTATCAAGATGAGCTTGAAGAATACGCCAAATCCGATGCGCTAACCCATCTTCATGCTGCGTTCTCAAGAAGCCAAGAGAAATCTCCTATTCGTTACGTACAGCATGCCTTGATATCTCATGCAACGGAGGTCTGGAATATGCTTTGTCCTACTGATGCAAATACAAAGCCTGCTGCAGTTTATGTATGTGGTAGTGGTGCTATGAGTCGCGATGTCCGTAGTGCGTTTGTCAGTATGGCTATTTCATTCGGAGCTGCGAATAACGATGAGGAAGCAAATGCGTTCCTTGATAAGCTCATGGACGAAAAACGCTATTTGTGCGATGTTTGGGGTTAAAGCATTATAATGTATTATACATTCTTATTTTCATTTCATTGTTAAACTTATAAAAGAATACTTTAATTGTTCACATAACAAAAAAGGTGTCAACTTCATCTGCTGAAGCATTTTGTATAATGAAATTGGATCTACTTACTGTTTATTTTTATAAAATAATAATAATATTAAAAGAATCGCCATAATGAACAGTAAAAGTCTAGACCACTTGAGGTATTGCTTACTTTAAAATGATCTATAGTAAATATATTATCCAAGACAAAAGGTTCTAATTGAAGCATGTATTGTTAACGCATTAAATCCTCTGTGCCAAATATGGTATATTATATTACGCTGCAATCAATGAAAATAAGAAACGAAAGTTGCGTGTATTAATTTTGCAGGATGAGCTACAATACGCTAAATAAAGTAACTCGCACTAAAGTCAGTAACACGTGAAGCCAGCATGTAAACGTGGCACTCTGTGAATCAAGCACAATGGTCTTTGTTAAACGTCCTTATTATGTTCGAGATAAGACTTGATAATATCCAACATGTAAAACAACAAGACAACATTTTGGTTTCTTGGATATGTTTGATTATAAGAAAATCAATACAAGTGTAGAAAGAATAAGCTTTTTGTTTGATTGTGACACATGATATGGGAGAATGAAAATGCTGGAGTCCAAATAAAAGAAAGAAAAAAATAACCCGCGTTTTCTTTTTTTTTGAAGGGTTTCTTCATCCATCTGTCTTTACAATGAATAATAGCGGATACGCTCAACCTGGGGTTCAAGCACCATCTCCCTTAGAACCATCCCCTCAGATGGATTCTAGAAAACAAAAGCGTCATTATCCTCGCTTTCAAACAGAACCTGCTGCTGCTGGTCCTGGATATCAAGCACAGCCTCAACCCGCTTTTCAACAACCTCATTCGCCCTACCAACAGCCTCGATCACCCTTTCAGCCATCTCCACAATACCAACAGCAGCCACAAGCTCCCCAACCCTATGCTTCACCTGTGCCTTCTCAAGCTACCTATCAAGCCGGATATAACCAAGCGCTACATGGTATGGCCAATATGACGACAGCACCACAAAGACAAGATGTTTCTCTGGTAGGCCAACCTGCACTCATTAAGGATTTCAAGAAGGAGCATTCTGGTCCTACCATTCCTTTAGAAGTAAGTCTCATTATTTGTTGCATTCGAATTCTTGTTGATCCCTCATTAAATAGATTACTGCAACTTCTTCACCTTTTGCTCAAGTGAATCCTTGTTTTAAACATGCTACAGTCAACAGTTTCCCAAACTCCAACACCTTATTGAAGAAATCTAAGTTACCTTTGGCCCTCATATTACAACCTTATCTTAGCTCTCAGGTCGAAAAGGTAATATAAAGACAGGTTTGAAACAGCGTGGAATTAATAGTTATTAGACACAAGTTCCTGTTGTATCAGATACGATTGTGACACGTTGTTCCCGCTGTAAAACATACATCAATCCTTTTGTTCAATTTACTGCTGGAGCACTGCAATGGAAATGTAACATGTGTAGCATGGATAATGATGGTAAGTATATATAGATATATATATAGATATAAAGAAAAGGCGTTTGATGAGGGAGGGCTCTAATACAAATTCGGTAGTGCCTCAGGAATTCGATTGGGATATTACAACCGGACAACAGACGGATCGTTATAGTCGACTTGAATTAAATCATGGATGTGTGGATTTCATTGCACCTGCAGAATATACCATTCGACCACCACAACCACCAGTCTATGTATTTGTCATTGACATTTCCTTCCAATCGATTCAGACAGGGATGGTCAGTGTAGTAGCGGATGCGATTAAGAGTTCGTTGGATAATATCCCCAACGAGGATGGACGTACAAAGGTGGCTTTCATCACTACAGATGGTGCGGTTGGATTTCATAAATTATCATGGGGAGAACCTGAGATTTTGGTTGTGGGTGACTTGGCGGATATGTATCTGCCAAGAGCTTCTTCAGATCTGATTGTGAATTTACTCGAATGTAGAAGCGGTGTAGATGATTTGTTGGACAGAATGAAGACAATGTATCAAACGACGCATTCTCCTTCCAACTGTTTGGGTTCAGCATTACAAGCAGCACGTAAATTATTGGTAAGCATAAAAAAAAAAATCAGGGCAAAAAAAAAAATTTATATATTGAGCGGGAATGGATTTGTTTAGTCTCCCACAGGTGGTAAAATCGTTTGCTTCCAAGCAAGTCTTCCTAATATTGGAGACGGTATTATCAAACCAAAAACAGACACTAACAAATCTACTTTGGATTCCCCATTGATGTCAGCATCAAGTACGTGGTATAAAACATTTGCGGGTGAATGTACTAAATCTCAAGTCTGTGCCGATATGTTTCTATTTGGTCCATCGACCGATGTTGCTACTTTGAATGTTATTCCTCGCTTCACAGGTGGTCAAACACACTATTACCCCCAATTTAGCTCGGTCAACCAAGGCGATACCTTGCGTTTAAAGCAAGAGGTGATCTCACTGTTATCAGAAGAGATTGGGTTAGAAGCAGTTATGCGTACACGTTGTTCGCAAGGTATTGTGTGTCATGCTTTCTACGGTAATTGCACTACACGAGTTCCGGATATTATGGCTTTACCCAATGTACCTCGTGATCAATCTTATTGTGTCGAATTAGCCATTGAAGAAGAGATCCAATCTTCATTTGCTCATTTTCAAACAGCTTTACTTTATACCACTTGTTTTGGTGAGCGCCGTATTCGTGTCATGAATTTGTGTCTCCCAGTCACAAAGAGTATTTCCGAATTATATAATTCTGTGGATCAAATTGCTATCGCTAGAACCTTGTGTCATCAGGCTATTGACAAGGGCGCCAACAGTAAATTGCGTGATGGCAGAGATCATTTATCCAAGGGAGTGACCGATATCTGTGCTGGTTATGGCAGTGAAGTATTAGGCATGAGCTCATCCAATGCTCAATTAACTATTTGCCGAGAATTAGACTTACTCCCGCTTTTGGTATTGGGTATCTTGAAAACATGTGCCTTTAATGATGCTGCCGTTCCTGGCGATCTTCGATCACAAACCGCGATTTTACTTCGTACGTTACCCACGGATGCCTGGTTACAGTTAGTGCATCCCAATTTTTACTCGCTTCACAATATGCCGCAAGTATCGGGTACAACTGTCGGCGGTCAGTTCATGATGCCACCGGCCTACAACCTATCCAGTGAAAAGTTAGAAGCACATGGTTGTTACTTGATGGAGAATGGTCAAGATATTTATATCTGGATTGGTAAACAAGCGGTACCCCAACTCTGTAAAGATTTGTTGGGAGCTAATTCGATTGCAGAAGTCAAGTCAGGTCAAGTGCCCATGTTACCCGTGACTAAATCTGCCATTTCCGAGCGCGTAAATAATATAATCGGACACTTGCAAACAGAACGTCAAGTCACGTATTATCCATCCATTTATATTGTCAAGGAGGATGGTGACCCAATGTTGCGTAGCCGATTTTTAAGCCTTCTTATAGAGGATCGCCAACCTTCGGGACCTACTACTGCTGGTGCAAAACAAGAAAGTGTGAGCTCTGGTATGAGTTATTTCCAATGGTTAGGATTCATTAGATCAAAATGTCAATAATAATAATACAAAATAATAATAATAAAAAAAAAATTGCTATATACAAAAAAGAAAAAAAAAACTCTGTTTATTCTTTTTTTGTGTTATGTATAAAAAACCTAAATCGCTTCTTTTATTCCTTAGCCATCATCAACTTGATCTTTGCAATAGCAGCACCAGGTTGAAGACCCTTGGGACAGGTCTTGGAACAGTTCATGATGGTATGACAACGGTAAAGGGCCATCTTGTTTTGGAGCATTTCACGACGTTGAGGACCGAATTGATCACGAGAATCAATCATCCAACGGTAAGCTTGCATCAAGACAGCAGGGCCGAGGTACTCCTCTTGGTTCCACCAGTAAGAGGGACAAGAGGTGGAACAACAAGCACAAAGAATACATTCGTAAAGACCATCCAACTTCTTTCTATCCTCGATACTTTGCAAGTTCTCCTTACCGTCAGCAGGGGGAGTGTTCTTGAGGAAAGGTTCGATACTCTTGTATTGCTTGTAGAAGTGAGTCAAATCAGGAACCAAATCCTTGACAATGTTCACTATTTCAAAGTCAGTTCGACTGCCTCTTTTTTAAACCCTCACAAATGACCATTCTTTGAGCTACTTACTGTGAGGAAGAGGATAGATCTTTGCAGTCTTGGAAGTATCCTTTTCAATCTTGGAAATACAGGCTAAAGTGTTACAACCCTCAATGTTCATGGCACAAGAACCACAAATACCTTCACGACAAGAACGACGGAAAGTCAAGGTAGAATCTTGCTCATTCTTGATCTTGATCAAGGCATCCAAAACCATGGGTCCACAGGCATTCAAGTCAACCTTGTAAGATTGAAGAACGGGCTTGTCAGTGGGCTTGTCAGGGTTCTATTATTTAAGAATTAGGGGGTTAGTCCATTTCCAACCGTGTTTTCTTTTTCTCTTTTCTCGATTATATATATATATATATGTATATATCTTGCTTTACCCAACGATAAATCTCGAAAGTCTTGAAGTTAGTTTCCTTGGCTTCAGCAGGTGAGGCCATCATGTTGACGGCACTGGTGTTGAAAGAACGGGCCAAGGGCTATAATAAAAGAAGAAAAAAGTAATTAGTAACGATACAAGATAAATGAACGGCCCATATTTACAGCAGCAGCAGAAATCCAACGCTTGTTGAGAGAGCCCTTTAAAGTTTGTAAAGCAATAGACATTTTTATTCAATTAACGTAATTACACAAAAGTAGAGTGGGGAGGTGAAAAAGGGAGGGTTTTGAAGAGAAAATGAAAATGCGGGGAAAAAAAATAGGTATTTGTATCAGATGTAACATTAACCAACCAAAACCAGGGGGGGTGGAGTTTGGAGTTTCTTACAACTTTTTTTTTTTTTTTTTTACAATAATAATTACTTGCTTTTAATGAGACCTGAGGCGATGATTCCTATTATTTTTTACTGTCCTTTTGTTTATAAAATTAGCTTTTGCTGGTAGTTGCAGAAAGTTACTACATATGCCACTTTTTTTTTTATCTTAGTAAATTCAAGCTAATACCTATAATTCTCATCATATCAGATAGATATACGTACCTGTAGTATCTGTACAGCATCCGTAGTGACTATCAATTTCACGGTTGCTAGGCAAAAGTGATTTGGTTGTCCCGTTTGGTATAATATCATTTGCTTTTATGATAGTATATCCAAGGCTTCCTTCGTCTGCTATAAAAGAAAAGTTACGGTATCTTTGAAAATCGAAGAGCACACTGCAGATCGTTGTTAAAAAAAAAAAAAAAAAACTATAACCGTACCTGGAAACCTATTTTCGTCAATGACAAGAAAAATATTTACTCCGGCCCTTTTGATAAAACCCGTTTGCAGACTACACACGATAAACCTCGTATATTCTATCACTTCAAAGCCATCTATAGAGGTATATTAATCTAATTGGATAATTAATTGATGCAACACTGACGGGCAGATAAATATATAACGAGTTAGTTTTTTTTCATATTTACAATTTTTTATTTTTTATTTATTTATTTATTTAAAGGGGGTGTACAGCAACAACAACAACAACAACAAAAAAACTACATGGGCCGATATACAGGTGATTGAGGTCCTTCACAAACAACTTGGAATTTTTCTCGTGCATCAGCAATTCGATTGGCAAAGACGATTCTCATAGATTTATACAGATAGATACGTTTCTTTTCTGTTCTGGCAAACTGTAGATGAATAGCGTATCTCAAATGTCTTGTGTCAAGCGTATATGATTTTTGTCTTAGAAAGGTCTTGGTATTCTTTGGCATATCCTGAAAATCGTAGGGGATCAAGAATAATTTGACTGCTGTCTTGTTAGGATTCTTCACAACCACTTGCAATTGTCCTTTAGGTGGGATACGATAGCCGGGCTCTTGTAAATCGACTGTGCCCACATAAGGTGTATTTCCTTCTTCTTCTTGTCCCAATTTAAAAAATGTGGCAGGGAACACAATGGAGCAATGAGGTGGACACTTTAGTGAAGGCTTACAGTCTCCTAAGCCTAATACGCCGATTTGACAATGAAAAGTAATAGGTTTGGATGGCATAGAAGACATTCTACCAGACAATAGAGATTCTTCGAAACTTCCTACCAGACATCGCTGATGAATATCGCTCGTCAATGAGTTCCGTCTTCCAAGATCAAAAAAATTAGTGGGTGGAGAAGTGGAATAGGCAATGGTAGTGCGAAAGCTTGTGTGATGGGTATATTGCATTCTTGGTGAAGGAATGGGTATTGAGGGTATGTCCTTTTCCTCCTCTTTTGTGTTATGGTGGTGCTGGCTGTCTGACTCCATGGCAGATAGTGATAGTCGTGATAGTCGTCGTACGGCCACAATGGGATGCGCAGGCTGCAAACAAATCATGGGTTTCTTGTAATATAAACTAGCTTTCTCATCAAACACTACCTCCAATGATAGATTAGGTAAATGGAATCGCTTTGCCTTCAAGTGTGCCTCCTGACTGAACTCAATTAGATCTTGATGAGAAGCAAACGAATGACACTGTCGGTTATTAGAAATAGCAATCGTATACATTTCAATGCTAGCTTGCTTGGCTGGCATTCCATGAATAAAATCAGACACATTTTGAATAAAGTGCAAGGTATCCTTATTAAACTCTATTTCATCCATCACATCAAACGACATGATCCATCTTTCTAATAGAATGTCCGTGTGTTTTTGCAATATATTAAGGACGATGGAAGAACTTGTCTCATCCGCAGACATTGGTGTAAGACAACAAGTGTCGTGTGTCATGACACATTGTCTTTCTTGTTGAGGCAGTCTTGACGATAACACAAGTTGTACTACTTGGGAGAAGACGAGTTGAATAGTTGGCATAACATGAGGTTGGATATTATTTACAGGAATGGGCATTGATTTTTATGTAAAAAGAAGTTTGGCAAACATAAAATTTTTTTTACCTGACCAATCATGGATTTTTTTTTTAGTGCATTCTTGTGACCCCAATGGATGTGATACAAAGTCTTTTTTGTCCTGGAGAACGTCTTGTAGCAAGCCTATTTGGGCGCAATGCCAATCTACAGTTAGCGCAGCTGCTTGAAAATTAATTACCCCGTAATTTGATCAGCTTCTTGTCAAAATGATTCTATCTAGGTTAAATTCGATACGACTCTACATATAAAGCTTATAAACGGATTTTATATTTATTTGAAGAAGGCATGGGAGCAATGATAAGTACATATTTAATTATTGTTATATGAGGGAAAGGGCCTAATATATACAAAGTTTGATTACATATCTAAATTCTTTTTCGATTTTGAGTTGCTGTTGCATAACAATGAACAGCTCAGAAGGGGTATTTGTCTCTCTCTCTCCCGTCCACATTGTTTATTTTTTATCAACAAAAGATTTCTTGAACGATAGAGTGGATCTTTATGATAATATAGGGGTGTGGCAATAATTGACAAAAGCTTTATAGACGTACTATCAATTGCAAGCGTTTATTTTTTGTTTTTTTATAAGAAAAAATAAATAAATAAAAGAAAACGGATTCTTAATGGTGTGACTTTATTTATTTTTTTGTACTGTTTCGCTTGATGTTGTTGGCATATTTGGGAGAGGCCTTCTCTCCAAACAGTTATCCAGCCATCCAATGTCATTTGTATCGGAGTTGTTCTTGCACGAAATTATCTCATAAACTTCCTTGACCATTTCAATACAAGACCAAGTAGAAAGAATAACTGCGAAATGTTTAGACCTCCATATTTTTTTCAAACGTATTTTTTTTATACTACTTACAAAAATTCTGGCTAGGACCAGCCAGCCAGTATAAATACGACTACTTGGAATGCACCCCTGTTATCCACAGTAAAAAAACTGTTATCCACAGTGAAAAAACTGTTATCCACAGTGAAAAAACTGTTATCCACAGTGAAAAAACTGTTATCCACAATGAAAACACTGTTATTCAAAGTGAAAACACTGTTATTCACAGCCCGTGAGTTCCAAAAAAAAACTCAAGATACCTGCTATAGGAGATCGCCCTCCTATAACAAAGACTAGCTGCAGCCGCTATATCGCAATATATCTTTTTCGATTTAGCGTCTTTTGAAAGAAACAAGAGTCATTACTAACTTACCTTTTTACGTTATCTGCTACTTTCAGACGATATAACAAGTATGTTAAGGAAAAAAAAGGAGAAGAACAAAGTGTGTGAACCAGCTTTATTTGTAGGCTGATAAACAAGCTTATGTCAGGATGATTTAATTGCTTGTTTCATGATCCATAATGTTTGAGCCTTTACTTAAAATGGAAACACTTGCAAAAACCTCCCAAGCAAGTCAGAACTTGGTAATTGTCTATCTGCGTTCCAGTAGTAGCTTGTACTGACAAAGAAGCAGATTTTATGGAAAACAGAAATCGATCATCCCATGAAGTTAAGATGATATGGCAAGTCAATTGACGTGTAGACCATCGCGTGATTTTTAAAAAAAAATACGTTTATTTGAAAAAGAAATACGTTTGAAAAAAATACGGAGTTCTAGACATTTCCGAATAACGGATAACAGTATGTCCAAACTGCTCCACAAAGTTACTTATTACCAATGTCTTGCATCTTGAGACACGCGAAATGTACTTGGTGGGCCTGTCCAATTCAATTAGCGTGCTTGACAAGCCAGAATGGATAAATCCGACAGTGCGAATAGCCTCTGAACGATGAAATTCTTTTGGCAGCGTGAGGACTCTTGTAGTGCTTGCGTTCAGTCGTAGTGTCTTGTATCGTTAAAAGTCTTGACACGTCCGATTTGGGTACTACATGACTTCCTTGAGTAACGAGTCCAGCATGTCTTTCAGGATACGTGGTAATTTGTAGAAGCCTTCATTCATAAAATTTGTACCAGATTCATCCTCAATCTTTGGCTTGGCTTCACTGGCACCAAACTCCAAAGGGTCAGTATGTTGATTTTTAAACTGTCTAAAAATCAAGTCGCACTTGTGACCATACTTGGATCCACTGATTTTTGAAATGGATCCAATAGTTCTTGTGTTATTCTTCCTTTTCTTAGTCCCACAGTATGTCCAAACTGCTCCACAAAGTTACTTATTACCAATGTCTTGCATCTTGAAACACGCGAAATGTACTTGGTGGGTCTGTCCAATTCAATTAGCGTGCTTGATAACCCAGAATGTATAAATCCAGCCGTACGAATAACCTCCGAACGATGATCAAAGTTGATTTCTTTGAGTCAAGAGTCCAACATGTCTTTCAGGATACGTGGTAACTTGTAGAAGCCTTCATTCATAAAATTAGTTCCCGATTCATCCTCAATCTTTGGCTTGGCTTCGCTAGCACCAAACTCCAAAGGGTCAGTATGCTGATTGTTGAATTGTCTAAAAATTAGGTCGCACTTGTGACCATACTTCGATCGACTTATTTTAGAAATGGATCCAATGTAGTGTTCGGAATGAAAATCGAAACTCTCAAGCGAGCTTCGATCGTGTCCCAGTCAAAGCTCTCTCGAACGCGTTTTTTTTTTTTTTTTTGCAGCTCAAGCTCGCTCGAAGTTTCTTAAGCTCGGCTCGGTTGCAAATACGATAGCTCGAACTCGCTCGCCCTTTTTATTACACAAAGTGCACGTCAAAGTGATAATAAAATTGTTATTTATTGAAATAGAAGTTGGAAAAAGAAAAAAGAAAAAAGAAAAATTTTTTTTTTCACCAGTTCAAGTACAAAAACTCGGTTCGAGCTTCGTTCGAACTGGCGCAAGATCGAAAAGTTCGCACACTAGTTAGGGTGATGTAAGCAACGCCATTTACTTGCTGTATTATTTTTAGAAACCGATTTTTTCCCACATTTAAAAGAACGATCTTTAGATTCTTCTGTAAACTTCTAAAACATACACCGATCGCAATTAGCTTGAATATATTCTAACAGTTTTCTCATGTTTGAAGTTAAGATTCAAATGAATTTTAGATAAGTTTAATGTCTGTTCAAAGAGCAAATCATCCTTCTTGATTTGCAGTACAAAATAAAAAAAAGAAGCTGTTTTGTATTCTCCACTTCAAACCTTAATATGTCGGCCAATGATCTAGACCAGTCATCCACAGCCTGCTATGATATATGGCAGTCTACCCTCCTGTCGTAATTTATCAAGATCATGACAGGAACGATCTATTTCCATCTATTGTAAGCTATAAAGCGTTTTGTCTTTGCAATTAGACGTTTATGGAATATGCTTAACGGACATTTGTAATCAACATCTACTATGCTTTATACTACAGCGATATGAGGACCGCACGCATACACACAAATAAAATTAAATAAAAGTCCCTTGAAATTTTACGTGAAAAAGAGTTTACAATATGGTATTATTTTTATTTACAAGAATGTTAAAAGGGAGTTTAAGAGTTGAAGGTCTTTTGAGCTTCGCCCTTCTTTTCTTGGACCTTGTTACCAGCTTCAGCAGTGGTATCACCAGTAAGGGCATTATAGGCACCCTTGACAGCACCTGCAACCTGATCAGCAGCACCTGCAACGTAACCTTGAACAGTAGCAGCAGTTTCTTGGACAACACCAGCATTGTTTTGAGTCTTTCCCTTGGCTTCGAGAGATTCATTTCCTACGGCGCTTCCGACATTTTCCTTGACGTTACCAACGAATTGGTCTTTCTTGGCTTCGGTTCTTGATGGAGAGGACATTTTATAGTGTATTTAATTATTTATTTAATAATAATAATCAAAAGGAACAGTGTAATTGTCGACCCTTTATATACGTTTTTCAGAACAATAAGATTTACGTCATGGCCATCCAAAAAAGGATGGTCGAAAAAAAAAACGTCATTGTGATTTCACTTTAACCGGTATTTGAAAAAAAAAATTATGCAGTTAGCATGTCATTTACATCATCCTCAACAGTGTTTATTGTAGAAGCTACGCTATTTCCATTCGTAATTGTAAGCTATGAATTGGCTGGTATTTTGATACGTACGTATCATACATTATAAAACAGATAGTATCAGAAAATATTAGTAAGTTTCGACTAATGACGTATCAAGATATTTTTCATAGTACTTGGTATGAAATGACAGAACCGATTACATTGTAAAAATTATAAAACAAGACATATAAATCACCTTTTTCAATTGATGCTTTCTTTTACTTGTGCTTGATGAGAACTTGATTAAACGAGCAAGAATAATATTAGAGTTGTAGAGCGAAGAATCTGGGTCTCCTTTTTTTCCAGCCAGGAAACCACTGGCCAATAAGCATCCCGAGCTTAGCTCACAAGTTTCCTATTATTTAGAAGATGACAGATATTTCATACGAGTATTTATTCAAGTAAAATAACGCATTATGCTACGCTTAATCCTACAACCGCCCCCACTTGATTATTGCCAAATACAAGTTATTGTTCCATGAATTAAAAAGGATACCCATATAAGTGAAAGGACTGTTGCAATAAAAGTTTATAAAGGATGTTTTACAATACTTGATAATCAATCTCTAGATGTCTTCCCTTCAAGGCCAATGAAGAAGACTTGAATGCATTAGGCAAGGGCTTTTTATCAGGGGGTAAAAACTCTTTGGTAGCCTTGGTAGAATAGAATAATTTAAAGGAATAATATTCTTTCCAGCAATCTTCCTGCAATGATTTACAGCATCGAGCAAAAAAATCTTCGAAATGATTATCTTCACCTTCTAAGAGAGGCGACTTCAGTAAGGCAAAGGAAACCATCTGGATCCAGAATAAAGTTTGTGTTTCTGAGTAACAAATAGAGTTTTCGTTAGGAATGGATTGTGACAGAATCTCGAACAAATGAGATAATTTCTTGTTCTTCTTTCGAATGGATAAATAAATAATTCGAATCAAGCAGTAATGATCAAAGAACAAGAAGGGCTTCTCTTCATAAAACCACTGCTTAAATTCAACATCGTTTAAATGAGTAGGGTTCGGTAGATTATCCCATGGTGTAATGATGGGTTCCTCTAATTTCACTGTGATATATTCCAAGATTTTATCTATGCCTTGTCCAGTCAATGCATTACATCCAAACAAGCGCCAATCATGACCTTTTAATAATCGGATCAACTCTTTATCATGCACCCACGAACTTCCCATCTCTTGTATATCCATCGATTCTTTCTCGTATTGTTTATTCGCCACAGTGATAATGATTGTATTGTCCAGTTTGAAGTTATTTAATAGCCACACCATGTTTTCTCTCGCTTTATTCGCTACTCGTTCCTTTTTGTATTCAATCGAATCTACCATATACATAATCACTCGTGTATTACCCTTGATATGATTTAAGCATGAGCCAATTTCTAAAATGAAAAAAAACTGCACGTTAATGAGAGGAACGAACCAATATCTTTTGTATTATTTAATATTGCCTGCAAAATCCCATAATTGATATAGTTGTGTTTGATAGGGTATAATCTCTACGTTATGACTAGGTGTTGGCAGCACATCGAAATGGGTATCTGGCTAGATAAGAAAGAGGGATAAATGAAAAAAAAGGGAATGGGCTTGTTATTTTTGTGATATTATACGTTGTCGGTAGCATATTTAAAATAAGCTTTGTAAAGAAAAGAAGTTTTTCCACAACCACGTGCTCCCAGCAGTAAAACTGAAATAGAGTCTGGTGTTTCGTTCAAGGTGGATTTACTACTCTTTCGACTCATCATGGACGAGATTCGCTTCATTGTGAATAATAAAAAGGGAAAGGGGAGTACAAAAATAAAATGGGATTTTTTTTTTTTTTTTTTTTTTTTTTTATTATTATTATTCTGGTGGGGCGGGCCCTTTTTGTGTGTCTGTGTCAGGATATTTTATTTTTTCAAGCTCCTTTGGTTACTTGCATCAAAAATCGAATCCTGCTGCATATCTCATCTAATAAACGAAAATAATTTATTAGAGTTAACCCCCCCTGCTAGGCTAATTTATCTACTTACTGGCTTCTTTAGCATTTTCCGCTTCCAAATCATAGGTTTTAAAATCCCGTTCTTTCAGAATCATGACTTTGAAATTCGTTGGTGCTTTTTTACTCTGCTTACACGATCGAACCGCACTGGCATGAAACGACGTCTACACAAAAGCTAGCATCAGATAACATACAACACAAACACAACTATATATAAAAAAAAAACTTACGGTTTTGACAGAATCAAACATGCCTTTATGTTCCGGTGGCATTAAATGGATATAATCTCCATCAATGGCTAATATATACACTCGCTTACTTACAAACATTGGCATCTTTCGACTCACCGTATACTTTTTATACTGAGACAATAATCCTTCATTTGCTGTCGCCGTAGAAATGGCCAAGGGACTTTCGCTTGTGGAAAAATACATTGGATGATTCACTTCATCTTTTTTACGCTTGATGGGTGATCGCCAAGTATGAGATGTACTAGGGATCGTTAATGCTGTTCCCTTCTTCGTCAATGTCAAATCATTAATTCCCTTCATACTCTCTACTGTGGTATCATTTGGTACAATCACTTTTGTATCCGCAATCGTCAGCATATATTCGTTAGGATCTAATTTACGTTTCCTAGATACCAGTTCTAAGACATCACCAATAAACATTTCAGCATACACAGGGATGGCTGTAGTAGCCGATACTTCTTCATTTGTCATGAGTTTAATACGAAAGTATTTCAATGGCGTCATAGGCATAGTTGCTTTCGTAAGGGTTGCCTTGGAAGATGGTATAGGTACTGCTACCGTGGAAGCATCAGGTTGTTGTTGTTGCGTGATCAAGTGTGTAGTAAAAGAAGCCGATGTAATTTCATCTTCCCCTGTCTCTAATACTTCATCCACTGTAGCAGGTGCTTGTTCCACATGGACAGAAGATGCTTCCTTCTTCTTTCTCAATGTCTCTCCATCTGGTTTAGATCGACCCATACGAGCACGATCCAAATCATTTTGTGCAGCCTGTGTCTTTGTTGCTCGACATAGTGCAAACTGTTCAAACGAAACACGGCGAATATTTTGTGTACGATCAATTGCCGGTAAACCCTCTTCAATCTCACCATCGTCTTCTGCAATTAAGAGTACCCACTCTGCTAAATCATAGGCATCTTCCTCTAATTCGGGCTGTCTCTTTTCTTCCACATAATCGTACAAGATATATCCAATCACATCATCGGTCACCGCATCGGGTCTCACAATAATGTAGCACGGTTTATACGGTTCAGTTGAATGAGGGAAATAGACACATAGCTTGATGGATTTCGATTCTCCTTTGCCTGATACAAAGGAGTACTCTGCAAACGGGTTCTCTGCTTTGGTTGCCTTCTCCGCAATCAATGCGGATAAGGCAGAGGTCACGGGTGGTGGACGACTGGGTTGTGTTTTGGTATAGGCCAGTGGTTCCAAACTGGCGCTGTCTAAAGAAACAGGAGGAGGTGGAAAACTCGTTTGGGTGTCAATGGAAGAACGTGGTGAGGGGTCAATAACTGAATCGACAGAGGGATGTAAAGACGTGGTATGAAACGACCGACTGGCTGTTACTGCAATCGCTGACATCTTTATAGTTTCCTGCTTGCTGCTTTTATTTTTTTTTAAAATATGTTATTTTTTTTCTACATCCCACCTTTTGGCATTCTATGATGAGTAGTTACCTGGAATTGGAGGCTACAATATCCTCATCTTCGCTATCAGGCGACTCCTTTCTTGTTTCAACATTGGTGTTCATGTTGGGGTATCTTGCTGAAAAGTTGGTTTTGAGCGTGGTAGGTAAACGCTGGCGGTAATTACGTTTGGTAGTGCGAGGACTACAGCTGATTCTATTGCTGTTGTTGTTGGAAATGCCGTCGTAGACGGGTGAATAACAGTATTGCATTTCAGGGTAGATGGGGGCTGCCAGTCGAACATAGTCATCCGACATGACCGTCGGTGGGAAGCTAATGATACGTTCACCTCGTTCTTCAATACGTAAAAACTTGATTCGACTGGTGTGAATGAGATAAAGAGGATCGGTTATAAGTGACATTTGTATAAATAATATATATATATATATATATATATATATTTTTAAAAAAAACAAATAAACTGCAACCTTTTATTTTTATTTTTCATGTGTGTGTCTTTGTGTGACTATTTAAGTTTATATGGTGTAGTAACAGCATGAAGCCAAATATTCACGGTAAGAGATGCTTACATTTTACGCTCAAGTGATACCTGAATTGATGAGTTGTACTTACCTTTACATCGTTACTATGCTTTAGAAACAATAAAAGGAAAATAGGATATTTTTATAATGCTAGGAACGTCTTTTTTATTTACAGTGCGCAAAAGACGATAAGGCAACACTGAGTTAAAATTAGTATAAACATTATTAGGGATTAAGGGGATATAGCTGTTGACGTTCCTTTTTTTTTTTGATCTAGAGATTATTCCTTGTTCAGAGAAGCAGTAGGAACTGCCTCTCCGACATCCTTCTCAAGGTCTTCGCCTTGTTCTTCTAATGAATGACCATACAATTCTCTTCTTTCCAGTTCAGCCTTTTCTTTAGTAAAAGTGCCAATATCAGGAGTAGGAGCAGGGAAAATATGATAGATGCCGATACCAATAATGATGACAACATAGGCAAATGGATACATGATGGACACCTTGTAACCGAATAAGCCCAAACCAAAGATCAAACCATAAAAGTCACTGGTCAAGATAGACAGGTTATAAAGTACAGCACTACCTAATCGAAACATGACGGGAGCCAATGAATAGAGCACGAACATGCAGACAGTATAGACCACCACCATACCAGCGATCTTGGTATCAGCAAAATTAGCCCATTCGCTGCGTTCAAAGATAAAGATTTGCACCAAATTGATAAAGGTAGCGAAGAAAGTAAACATGCCAATGACTTCATAGAGCGGATGTTTACGAGCCATCAATTCTTCACCAACATTGGAGAAACCATAGAGTGTAGCACCCAACAGACAGAAGAGATCACCCTTGACAGCATCAACTGCACCATAGTTCTTGTCGGTAATCACATCAGAGGCTACCAGCATGCCTAATCCACAAAGAGCAATAAAGACGCCGAGATATTGAACCCAACGGTATCTTACTTTTAACAACCAAAAGGATAAGATCATACAGACGGGCGTACTCCAACAATCCAATAACATAGCGGATAATAAGGAAGTGTACTGAAAAGATTTTACTACAAAATAATTTCCCTCGACATCGATAAAACCCAGAATGAAGTAATAGATGCCTCTGCGCCAAAACTGAAGTAACCAACCCTTGATCCCACGCTTGTAAATGGCGATGGAGTTATAGACGATGGCTAAACAAGCATACACGAGGAAGGTCTGGGTAGTAGGAGCAGCAAAATTGTACTGGGTGCTGAGAATAGTGGTGACTACATTGGTACCAGTGATACACAACGATAGTACTACCCTTGGCAAATTAGTAAATCATGACCGATACTTTTATATATATATATATATATTTTAAACTTACATTGGCCCAAGAACAAGACCTTGAGAAACTTTGGATCCTTGATAAAGGCAAAATGATCCTTCCAGCTCTTTTTTGTAGTTGTTTCCATATCGCTCATCCTTAGTTACAACACAATAGTTTTTTTTATATATAAAAAAAAAAAAAGAGTAAAAGAAAAAAAAATGAATTTAGATGAATTTGAGAGAGAGCGAGAAAAAAAAATTAAAAGAAACAAACATGGTCTTTTTATACTAAAAAGGAACTAGTCATCCTCCAGTGACGAGCTTTTTTTTTTTTTTTTTTTTTTTTTTATCAATAATTTTTCTTCAGATAGTCGGATCGTATTTTAGTAGGAGCCTCTACTTTATTACAACATGACCTGAGAGTAAAACCTCTCAACTCATTATTTATGATAAATTAAGCTCATTCGGTTCCCATGATTACTGATTGATATAAACTACTTTTACGTTTATTTATTGATTTAAAGAAAAAAAAAAAAGAGATATAGGTGTAGGAGTGCACACCCCAAGAATAATAAAATGGAAATATGATACATGAAAAGAAAAGGAGGAAAAGATGAAAAAAAAAAGGTTTATACATAATTATTTAGGGCTTTCTAAACTCGGTGAGTACAGGATATATAGCTTGGAAAGCCTGATAGATCTCTTCTCGTACTTTGGCACCCGTCAAGACAATCTTGCCAGAAACAAAGATCAGCAAGACGATTTTGGGCTTGACCATACGATAAATGAGACCAGGAAATAATTCAGGTTCATACTATAGACAAGCTCATCTGGTTTAGACGGGTGGTAAAAAATAAATAAAATTTAACACTTACGGAACTGAAGTGACCATGGGAATAGGCCAACCCTTCAAGACGAATAGGGAATTTGACATCACACGAACCCACAATATTCTGAATTTTAAAGTCTGTGAATTTTGCTTGGAATCCCAATTTCTGGATGATACGAGCGTATTTACGAGCTGCCAATTTTGAGTCATCCTCACTTTTAGCTCCAGTCACCACCATCTTGCCAGAAGCAAAGATCAAGGCTGTCGTCTTTGGGTCTCGAATACGCATAATCACAGCTGCAAAACGCTACAAGTTGGGAGAATTAGTACCTTTTTCAATTATATTCAACAACCAAAAAAACAAAAAGGTACCTTTGGATTATACTCTGCATTACGTGCATGAAGTGCAATCGTCTTCAGATCCAAACGACAATCCAAATTCACAGTGGCCACAATATTTCTTTATACAACAATTAAAACAAAAAACAAGGAAAAGAGAGAGAGAGTAAAAAAAAAACAGAGAAAAACACAATAAGTAAAACTTGAAAAATTTATGCTGATTGGGTTGTTGAATTTATTGTAATTGGGGGTAATGGAACAGCTAGAAAAAAAAGAAAAAAAAGAAAACAAAAAAAATTTTGTAGTACTTACTGCAAGGTTGGTGTGATGCCAGCTACGGCATAGGGATTAGCATCTCTACTTGGTGTGGGTGCATCTAAAGGAGCTGGTGTTGAAGGTAATGCAAATGGAGTTGAATTGTGGTTAGGAGTTGGAATAGAGGGTGTCTGCATAGCAGGTGTTTGCATAGAGGGTGTAGCAATATTAAATCCAGACATACTATTTTTTTAAAGCGATTTGATTGGTTGTGAAAAAAAAAATTTGGGTTGAGGGACATGAAATACTTTTTTTTTTCTCTCGTCTATTTATACCTTTTTTTGAAATGTGGCTTAGACTTCGGATGTTTTTTTACTCTCCCACCCGAAGCCCTTTTCAACCTCCGATTACCCCCCCTCGTTTTTTTAAATGGAGCTCTCCTTTTTTTTCCCCAATCACAATGAATGTTGTCAAATGGGAATAAAAAGGAAATAAAACGAATGAATTTTTTTTTTGTTTTTTTTAGTTGTCTTTCCCCCCCCCTCTTTTTTGTGTTACCCAATCAAATGTTAGTACGTTGTCTGAGTCTAGACCTTAATGACGCACTGATTTGTTTATGTTTTTTAAAATCCCTTCTTTTTTTCTTTTTGTTCCCGAAAGGATGAGTGAAGTGATTCAAGCTATTTTTATTAGAGAAAGTGAAGTACGAAGCACACCTAAACCTCATGTCGTATATAAAGTAGAAGTTCATGCAGCAGTTCGTAATTGGGTAGTTTGGAAACGCTATTCCGAGTTTTATAAATTGGATTCCCAATTCCGCACGATATTTCCAAAGCAGACAACGCCGGTGCGTCTACCTCCTAAAAGTTATTTTCCAAGCACCTTTTCAGACCCAGAAAAGATTGAAGAACGTAAGAGAGGATTGGAAGCTTATTTACGTAGCATTCTAAGCTCGCGTGACGACCGTTGGCGTTTAACGGACGTCTGGAAGGACTTTTTGGCCATCCCAATAGGTCGAAACTTGGACTCTTCGACTCACTATACCTCCGAGACATGGCTCGACGAATTCACCACCATGTCTTCCACCGCTCGTGAAATTAGGTCCCTGATCAATAAGAAGAGCACTCATTTAGGGAGAAACGAAATATCCGCCTCGCATAATTGTACAGTACAAGCTAAAAAGCTCTTGATGAATCTATCAGCCAGAATATCCAATTTAGAAACAGGCTTAAACACCTTGGCTAGTTATGAAGGTGGTATGTCTGAGGGTGAACTAAGAAGACGACAGGATATGTTGACTTCTCTCAAGGACGAAAAGGATGCTTTGATGAAATTGGCTAGTACGGGTAGACAGGATCAGGATTTACTTTACAAGACAACTATATCAGACACCAAAAAGAGCGTCAATTTGGGTGATCGAAAATCCCTGTTTGGTGATCATAGTGGTTTCTATGGAGCTACCGATGATAACTATGGTTTCCCACAAACAACAGCAACAATAACAGCTAATGAACAGCCACAAAAGCAGAATTTATCCAATAATACTGGAAGAGCATTTGGTGCAGCTGCTGTACAGAGAAAGAAAGATCAGTTAGCTAAAGAGACAGAAGTAACGAGAGGTTTAGATAATGAAGGTCTTCTTTTAAATCAACAGCAAATTATGGGTGATCAAGACCAACAAGTACAACAATTCGGTTCGATCTTAGCTAGACAGAAACAATTGGGCATTACTATTGGTCATGAATTGGAGACACAGAATCAAATATTGGATGAATTGGATGGAGATGTAGGAAGAACTCAAACCAAATTGAAGTTTGCTAATAAAAAGCTTCAAAAGATCAAATAATCTTTTTTAGTGGAGTTCTAATTGGTTTTTTATTTTTATTTATTTATTTATTTATTTTTATTTTTGTTTCCCTGTTCTTTTTCTTTCTCTTTTTTTAAACACATCTTTAGCATGGAACAACCTAAACCTCATAAAGCACCTGGCTTTGAACTGGGTATTTGTGAGGATCGCAATAAACGATGCCGTAGAACCATGGAAGACGCACACACCTTCATCTTTAATTACATGGGTGTACCACGTCAAGGCTTTTTTGCTATTTTTGATGGCCACGCCGGAAAAGCAACTGCTGAATGGTGTGGTGCCAATTTCGATAAAGTAATGAAGAAACACCCCCTCCAGCCTTCATCATTGGAACTAAACCTCTGTTAATTTTATTTTTATTTTTTCAGGTACTGGCCAACGTCATTCAGTCGAGCCAAGACGAATCTGTACCGGAAATTTTAAACAAGGCCTTTTTGGCCGTTGACGGAGAAGTTAATCAACGTGAAGGTAAATTCTCTGGTTGCACAGCTATCATTGCTTACATCAAGGTGGTTGACGACAGAGTAAGTATGCGATATAAATATACATTATAAATGAAATGGAAGACTAATTAAACGAATCTTGTAGCGCATATTATATACGGGCAATGTGGGCGATGCGCGCGCAGTGTTATGGTAACATCCCTTCTATTTTGACGTGGATATCAATCTATACTAACTTGAGTTAACAGTCGTCAGAATAAGGCAGTGAGACTTTCGTATGACCACAAAGGATCGGATAGCCAAGAAGCAAAACGTATTATGGATTTGGGAGGATTTATGATGAATAACCGTGTAAATGGAGTATTGGCTGTGACAAGATCATTGGGTGATAGTGTGATGAAAGAATTTGTTGTGGGTAATCCATTCACAACAGAGACAGAATTAGGTCCCAACGATGAGTTTATGATTTTAGCTTGTGATGGTTTATGGGATGTTTGTGAAGATCAAGATGCAGTTGACCTCATCAAAGATATGTCAGATCCACAGGCTGCCAGTCAAAAATTATTAGATCATGCACTTGCTAATTTCAGTACAGATAATTTGAGTATCATGGTGATTCGTTTCAATTAACATAAATTTATTATTCCCTTATATTGTTTTTCCTTTTTTTTTTTTTTTTTCTTTTTCTTATAAACGTTTATTTACTACACATCGTGGAATTCACCTTCTATCACTCTTCCTCCGCCATTTTGTTGAAGTGGGATTCGAATACGCTCGCCTGTCATTGTCATCAACTTAATATCTGTCAAGGATACATTGCCTTCCACATCCATTTCCGCCACTGCAATCAATACAGATCCTGATTGTCCCAAATCCAATTCAATCTTGATATTCTTACTCCCATCAACCAACTTAAAAGATGATCCTCGCATAGATACGTTCTCAATCATTCGTTGTGGATGCATCCCATGCTGGATAAGCCAATCTCTGCCTTGCTCCGTCTCTGTCCATTGTTTTAATTTGCCCAACGCTTCTCCTTCTACCTTGCGTTTCTCTTTACCAAACACCTGCTGTTGTCTTTCAAACACACCTTGAACAAATCCAGACCAATTATCATTTCCTCGACCCGATTCAAACTGTCTTTTAAATCGCCAGAACCGAAATGCTAACACGGCTCCTAATCCACCGATACCAACCAGGATAAAGGGTCCCAGTATCACAATACCCATTAATCCCACACTACCCACTGCCGCCAGTGTTACAGTACGTTTTAAAGACGTGTTCCATACATTTCTTTCTTGTTGTCCCATGAACCGCATACTTTGCACCATGCTCATCCCTTGCCATGGAGCACCTCGCACACCATTTTGACGTCCTACCAAACGCGTTGTTTGCATCTTTATCGCATGTCTTGTTGCAAACATCTTTTTTTTTTTTTTTTTGTAATTAAAACAAGATAAAACGGAGCTTTTTTATTTTTATTTTTTGAATCAGCAGGGTTTAAAGAAAAAATTTTAAGCAGAGGGTCCGCCCACACGCAGAAAAAAATATCCTCGTTTATTACATACATATAACAATGAATCATTGATACCAAAAAAATCTTGATCAAGCTTACAGATTCAGTCTATTTTCATTATGTTACTTTTAAGATATCCCTCCAGAAATAAATTTTCATACAAATAAACACATCTTTTATTTAGTGGACAGCAAAAAAAAAGGGGTTATACTGGTTACAAAGTGGTTATTGCACGCACAATGTGAATAGACCAATAGTTAAGAATTGTAACTTTTCTATGGTTACGCATCAGAATGCATCTAGTAAGAGTGCAACCTATGATTCATCCACAAATAGAAATGTCCTTTGTTGCGAGGTTAAAACCTTATCTTGAATAATGTACTGATAAGGTTAAAGTTACATGCGTATCATAGAAGGAATCTTGTGGGTACTCTGGGCGTCAAGTTTAAACACGTAAGTTATACATGATATTACTTTTTGTTGCTTAGACTAGCTTGTGTCCCTCGCAAGCAAAATGATCAGTAGACTCGTCAAGATGGTAACTTGCTTTTATACAAAACGTGATTGAAGCAAATCATGCAAGTTAAATAAGCTCGAGCTGCTTTTTTAGAAGGACTGACGTAAGAAACACTACGCAAAAAAAAAAAAAAAAAAAAAAAAAAAAAAGGGAAAGAGAATCAACATTTATGCAGTGTATCCATGGCATTTATAAAGGAGTCAATATGCTCTTGGATGATCATTGATCTCGAAAAATAGAATGTCTCTCTTTTCATTGTTGATTTTTATATGTTATCACTCTTGAGGTTGCAAAACTTGACCAGGTCATATACTTTCTCAATAGAACTATCAATGCGCTAATTCGAAATCATTAGATGTATTCACGACAAATAACCTGGGCATAATGATTTCAATATGCTGTTATTCTTTTCATGACAGACGCCTCTTTTTGCTATTTAATAACATTTAAAAAAAGTACATCATATAAGAGTTAAAAGATGGATACACAGAACAATAAAAAATAAATTCTTCGACTAGGAATGATTATTCATCGTAGTTCCATCAAAGCTGCGATAAAGGGTGATCTATTTCGCATGCATGTTTATTGCTAAACTTTTAAATATGACGCTAGTTATCCACCCCCGTTTTCTTTTTAGACGGGCCGAGGGAAGGTCCCTTTAGGGTAATGTCTATTTCCTTTAAGATTGTAAAGACGTACAATGTTTCTCTCCTTCAGTCAGGGTGCCGATATGTCCCCTTTTTTTTTTGTTCATATCCAATTCCCCTTGAAAAAAAAAAGACCGACACATGTAAGAGGATTGATCAGTGGTATGTGATTACATCGCATTGTTATTTCAATGAGGTCCTCCCTTCTTTTTAGTAAACGCATTCTGGTATTTACATTCTTGGACAAATAAAAAAAAAAGTGGTGGGGATACAAAGAAGAGGAGGAGGAGGAGCAGGAGGAAGGGTGTGAGTTTACTTTTTTAAATGAGACAAGAGTAAGATAGCTTCGTTTTGAAGATGAAGATCAGCAGGATAAGTCTCGGGTTTAAGAATAGGTGTAATCACTCGATACATAATCATATCACCCAAGCGATCCAACTGGAATTTAGGCACATGTCGACGCCACACCATGAGAGTTTTTAAATATTTACATTGACTCCAAAAGAAGCGATGTTTCGCTTCTATTTGTTGGCCTTGAAGATCTGATTTAAGAATAATATTTTCTAATGTATCTGCAAATCGAAGCATTTGCTTTTCCAATACTTGCATCAATTCATCACAAAGATCCTGTTATAAAATAACCATTATTATCAGTTACTTTCCTTTTTTTTTTTTAGGTTGCATGTCATTTGTTTTTAACTTTACTTTATACGCTTTTTCATGCGTATCGACATAATACGAGATTTGTTCGATCACTTGCGATGCATATCTCATATCTCTCGATGAGGCTGCATTTAATGTATCCAACATACTCTTAACTTTCTTCACCATGGACTTTTCAACAACCTTATTCAGCATTTCAATGTCAGGATCCTCATGTTCGACAGAAACACCATACTCGGATAAAATACTGTGCCACTGCATACTATCAAAATCCATTGGATCCTACAAAATGTAATTTAGTTACGATACATGTTACATTGGAGACACAACAAAAGACCTACCGAAAAGGGATCCCAAGAGACAAGTTCTGATCGAACATAAAACTCAAAAGCACCTGGTAAACTAAGACTACCATAAGCCTTTTGATAATCATCATAGTACTCTAACTTCCAAGCCTCGAACTTGTCCTTGACAATACGTAGTGATTTAAACTCTGCTCCTACATCCGACATTAATTCATCCAATTTCTCTGTCTGAATCGAAGCTAATTTTGTATCTTTCTGCACAGAATAATCTTCGCCCATTTCATCATCTGTCCATAAACCTTGTTCTCTTACTGCCTCGTCCGCTTCTAAATCGTCAAGACCTGCTTGTTGTTGAACACGCCCAAGTCTTTCGGCTCTTCTACGCTCACGAGCAGCATCCGAGTTACGTAATTCTCTTACTCTTCCAAATTCATCCACTTCGGGTTCATCCATATCTTCATCCATTTGAGAGGATGCTGGTATATCTGCAAACAAGCATAAATCGTCTAAATTATGTTGCCATCTACGCGCTGTTACCACTTCGGTTTTAGTAGCAATGACATCGTGTACTTGAGATTCTAATTTTTCTAATTCTGGAAACTAAAACACCCATCCCCCTCACAGTTAATAAAACAAGTTCCTTTCTAATCCCCTTCTTCCGTCCTTACCTTGGCGTCTAAAAGTTCGCCCAAATCATTCACATATTGTGCGAGTTCTTGAAAGTAATTGTATCGTTTACTTGCCTTGTTGATCTCTTTAGTTAAATCGGCTTCAACAATATGTGAATTTTCAAGCGTCTTTAAAGATTCTTCGAGATTGGATTTATAGTGGTTCATGGATTCGGTCACTTGCTCTGTATTAATATCGAGTGATTTCATCACGTCACTTAGTACAGGTAATGTTGATGACTCGGGAACTATAAGAGAGAGTTTAGTACATGTATACAATAATTCATATGTATCCTTTACTTTGAGCGGGTCTATAGTTTAATGGAGGAGCATAAGGGTCGAAATCTTTTGTCTGTGCTCTGGCTCCACCATATTTCATCATTTCCTCCTCCCATCTCTCCATATCCTCTGACTGATTATCGTCTTCTGCCTCTTCAATTAATTCACGTACACCGGCTCTACGCTCTTTCTCTTGTGATTTGGCAGAGCCCTTATTCAAGGTGAATTTATCCCCCACGTATTTTTCAAACTCGGCCTCGCCGTCATCCCCAATATCATCCTCTTCTCTTGTTAAACGAGACCCGGTCTTATCTTCCTCTGTATCGTTTAATGAAATAAATCCATCATCTTCTGTGATCGAAATTCCTTTACGCATTTGTTCCCGTTTCTTTTTAGCAGCTAAAATGGCACCTGCGTCGGGAATCCCTACGCCATCCACAGTTGGATTCATGGTAGAAGGAAATTTCTCGTGTAAAAGGGCCTGATCATCGTTGGTTAAGGTCTTTACAGAGGCTGGTAAACTTGGTGTTCCAGCACGAAGTTTCTTTAATGATTCCGCATCATAGTGTGATGTTGTAGAAGTTTCGGTTTCCATTGGAGTCAAGTTACTAATACTTTAAATTAGGCAATGGTACTCTCTCTTTTTTAAAACACAAAACTTACTCTGGTATTTGTAATTGAACACTTTTACTGGCCCTTGACTTTTTCACTTGAAATTCTTCTACATCGCCTTCTTCCTCATCGTCAAAACTCAAGACTGATACCTTGGTCTTTTTCTTCTTGTCAGCGGACGTTAATGTCTTTTTGATGACAACCTCTATTTTTTTTTTTTCTCATTGTTAGTCTACTCAATGGCTCAAAGGTCCCCCTTTTTTTTTAGTACCTTCATTAGGTTCTTCTTCAGTCTCAACTTTTCGTCGGATATTCTTTGTACGTGAAGGTTTTTTAAACATGGTGAGGAAGGGTTAGAAAAGAAAAAAGACCCTACTTTTTTTTATCTTTTTGCTTTTTGTAACATTGATGTGACTTCTTTGTGACCTCATGCTCAAAAGTAAGTTATGCGAAAGTGAGATACGTGTAATGGATTTAGAATATATCATAAAACGGAAGACTTTCCAATAAAGGAAAAGGAAAGACGTAGAAAAGTAGCTTTTCTAGCTGTATCGTGTTTCTCTTTCGATTGTCAATTATTCTTCACAAGTTTTCCATCAACGCCTTTCCCATTTATGGGACCTCCAAGAGGGTAGGGAAATCCAATCTAATGTTTTTTGGCTCACGCGGGAAGAGAAGTTTCTTAGTGTGAGTGATTCTGGTGAAGATCTTACCAGGAACGTTCATTATCAAGAGCTTGAGGTTTAGACCTAATAAAGAACATAAAAATACGTCCATAAAAGAACATAATCGTATCATGTGTGCTTGCTGATAGAGAAGAGCTCTTTCTTTTAGCCTTCAATTCGTTGGAGATCAAGATTTGCCAGCTATTAGCGTCACCGGAATCATTTTTTACACGAAATTTTAACCTTGAAGCCACTTCCTTGAATCGACGTTTCCATGCCCTTTTTAACACGTCCAGATGCGTGCCACAGTAACTGTTGATTACTTTGTCCTTTGCAGTGTTCAAGAACAGATCCCAATATACTTCACTACCTTCATTGACAGTTGCTTGGAGAGCATCTGTTATTATGGCTATATAAATTGAGATTAAAAAGAAGTTTGTAACAAAACGACACGTCAAATTTAAGTACGGTTCATTTACACTCGGCATAATTAATATCTTGCGACATATTAAACACAAGAGAGTAAATAAATTGAAGAATAGATACTACTTTTATTTACAAAAAAGAACGATAAAGTTAAGAATATCTATAATATAAAAAATTACGAGTTCTGTAATAGAGTAAGTTTAAAGTATAAAAACCATGAGAGGCAAAGCGAAAAAAGGATATTCGGTTTTCAATAAAGGCGGGAAATTCAATATTTCATTACTATTGCAATTCCTACGCTGATCCATTACACCGTGCAGAAGTACATGTTTTAATTTGTAGCTGCCACTGACGAACAAGATGTATCATAAATTTAATAATGATTTATCCTATATACGAAAGTTCAAAACTCTGTCAATAAACATAAAAGACTGTCGCGGGGATTGACATGCTTTAAGCGAGATTTCATTTTTCTGTTTACGTTTTTTTTTTTTTTTTTTTTTTTTAATCAATCGTGAGGATATGATGTGAAGAATTATTTGTATATGCAATACTTTAATAAAGGCAATTTAAAGGTATCTTGATCCTGTTTACGGTAACAGTTTTACATTTAACATGAGACTATTATTCATCCAGTAAGTTTGACATTGCTTGCTAGAGCTAAGCTTTTATTTTTTTTAAAAAAAAAATACGCATTGATATCTGAAAAGTAACACGCGTTCGGTCACTTGCTGCGTTTTCTTTTAATGCTGTCAATACGTGCCGGTTACAAAATGATTAAATCTTTGCGGGGCTCTAAAAAAACTGTCTTCCCCTTTTATCTTTTTCTAACAAGGAGTCTTGGGTTATTTATTCAGTCATGAGCGACAACCTAACAAGAGACCCCAAAAGACTAAAGACAGACAGGGTAAAAACACAGATCGTATTGATTTTTGTTTATAGTCACTCACTTATTTTTTATAGTCGGTGTACCGTTCTGTTGATCCGAACCAAGGTAAATTCATTCATTCACGCACCATAAAATTTTTTCTCATGGATTTCTTTATAGATTTGACAGACTGCACGATTCAGCATGATTCACTTACACATCGAAAAGGATCGCAACATTCAAACGATTCTTCAAGCGAATCCCAGGTGAATAACCCAATGGATGTATCCCACTTGGACAGCTACGACCTTGACGAACAAAACATGATACTTGAATTACAAGATAAGAGCGAAGGTCTCCTCACAGAACAACCTAGTTACGAAGACGAAGACGACGATGAGGATATGTTTTACGAGGTTGAGTACGAGGACGTTGACCAAGAGGGTACACTCATTCCTACACAACAGTCGATACATAGTAGTGCAGAATCGAACGATATGCGTTTGCTCGAACAGCCCGTGCTTGATGACAAAGATAACGATCTCGACTTTACACAACAAGTGGCCGAGTCTGATGACGAACAAGACAGCGCTGAGTCTGCGGACGAAAATGTGCTAAGCGAGGATGAAAACAATGATGGGGAAGACGTGTCTGTGGATGAAGAAGGAATCTCGGTAAATAATGATTACATCAATTTACCTCCCGACAAAGAACCTGATATGATTCCACGTGCATCAACTCCAACTCCTATGACGCCACAAGACGATCCTGAGACAGAAGAGAACGACGTCGAAGAGCAAATGGTATCAGAATCTTTTGACAATTATCACCGTGCTTTCAAAAGTGTATGCGACTTGGAAGCTGCCTTTTTTAATAATTACGTCGGCGAAGAAGAGGAAGACCATGAACAGGTTGATAAATATAGCCAAAAAAGGAACGAAAATCTGGCAGAATTCGAATTTTCACATTTTGCCAATTATCAAGAGCCTGATGAACTGGAACGGGACGAAATTATAGAATCCCGCAGCTATGAGCATGAGGAGGATCAATCTGATAGTTTGGACATAGATGAAATTGAAGAGGAGCATTTGGAACAACCTATTAGCATTGGCGATGACGCTGTCTTGGAAACCATGATCCTTGCTGAGGAGAGTGGCATCGAGGATGTGGAAATTACAACCACCGTCGAGGATGTTGCTACTGTCGAGGATGTTGCCACTGTCGAGGATACCATCACTGTTGAGAATACCATCACTGTTGAGGATACCATCACTGTTGAGGATACCATCACTGTTGAGGATACCATCACTGTTGAGGATACCATCACTGTTGAGGATACCATCACTGTCGAGGATATAGAAATCACAGACCCTACCGAGGAAGTGGATCAAATTACATCTGACGTTGAGGGTGAAATGACATTGGATGCTGTTTTGCCACAAGAGGAGCAATTAGAGTCACTCGACGACGAGGAAATGCCTCTTATCAATGAAGATTCCTACTCCCGAGATACTGATAACACAAACATTGACGAGCTTGAGGACACATCAAATGCATCCGAAACAGATCCTGATGAAGAAAACGACGATAGTCTTGGTGCTATTTTATTTCCATCTCAGCCTATGTGCGACGAAATTGATGAAATTGACGATGATTCTGATGATGACTCGGTGTTTAAAGGACAACGCAATATGTATCCATTTATTAGCACATCATCCTCGAGTCAATCAATTGCGAACGATTCGAGCCAATTGATTGTAGATACTACCGAAATTACTAAAGCCAAATTAAATAATCTCGGTGAAGATACGGAATCGATCCAACCTACCGTCGCTCATGACGATATTGTAGACATTCCAACGGAAGAAGTCTTTGTTCAATCTACCGGAATTGATACGCAATATAACGCCGAAAGCTCCAAACCATCGGACAATTCCGTTTCATTGGGTCCTGAAATGTCACTTCAAGAGAATCCTTTTGGTGTGAAGGGAAAAAATCCTTTTAAAGAATATGTCGAAGATATAAACGCAGCCTTTGACCAGATGATTGACACCGCATTTGCCGACCTTCGTAACGTACTTTCAAAGCCATTGTTTCCATCTAGAACGAGCACGGCTTCACCAGGTCATACGTCTTCAACAGAACCGGCTTCTGCAATTATTCCCACAGAAACACCATCAATAGCAGCTACACCAATAATCGGTTTAACTGCTGATAATTCACCAACATGTGCTTCTAGTTCATCAATAGCAGCTACAGCTACAGAGACAACACCAATATCAACTATGGCAATAGAAAGTCAAAGCCTAGCCGCTACAACGCTACTTGATCTAACTACACAAAAAGAGCTTAAAACTGATCCGGATGCATCGCCCAAAGAAAACATTTGCCAGTCAGAACAACATATCATTGAAATTTTAGATTCTGATGATGAAATGGACGTGGATAACACTCCGGAAGAAGATGCTTCTGGTATTGCAGTTGCCGAACCTGTAGTTGAAATGGATACTGACATCATAGAAGAAAATGTTGAAGATCAGATACGACCACCTATTTTGGATAATAACGATCTAAAAATTCCACGACACTGGCGAGATGAAGAGTCAAAATTAATGTCGAATTACCGAAGTCCTACGACACAAGAGCTTGTCAAGACAAAAGTCGGGCTGGAAGACATTTTAGAGGCCGATAATAGTATAAAAATGTGGTGGTATGATGCCTTTGGAAACGATAATGGTCAAATATATTTATTCGGAAAAGTATGTTTACAACTTGCAATTTTAAAAAACCTCGTTTAATTTCCGTTTAATAGGTTTTTGATGAAACTCATAATCGGTATGTGAGCCTTTGTGTTGAAGTCAAAGAAGTTTTAAGAGAAGTGTTTATTCTTCCACGAAAACACGTTTTGGATGGTAAGATGCACTCTTTTAAATTAAGTCTGCCGTTGCTAACAATCTTCATATAAATATATACATATACATAAAAAAAAAAAAAATAGCCGGAAACGTTTTCCAGCCGAGGGTCGTTACGTTAGAAGATGTTCAAATAGAACTTGCACAATTATTGGCCTCAAAAAATATCAAAACATACAAAACAGAAGTTTGTACTCGAAAATACGCTTTTGAATTAACAGATGTTCCTAAAGAAACACAATATATCAAGTTGACATACTCTTATCGTGGTAATATATTAATACAAGCAGTAAGGGCACAACGCATGTTTCTAAATTTGTTCCTCTTTATTTAGATAATGGTTTTTCTGCCAGTACCAGTGGTGTCACTTTTAGTCGTATGTTTGGAACTGAAATCAAACCCTTAAAGCAATTCATAATCCAAAATGATATAATGGGTCCATGTTGGCTTCATATCAGGAATTGGGGACATGCCATACAAAAAGTAAGATACACGTATAAAAAGAAAAGATATCAAAAGATATATTAAATATTTGTGACACAGCGTTCGTGTTGCGCCGTAGAAGTTACATTGTATTCACACGGTGAATGTTCTGTCATCAAGGATACAAGTGGAAAACCAATAAAAGATGGTCCACCTCTCAACGTGCTGGCGCTAAGTCTGGACTTCAGAATGAATTATATTAAGAATGAAAATGAAATATTGGCAATTGGTGGTTTCAGTTGTCCTGATGGTAATTATATATTTCCTTTCCTTCAAAAAAAAAAAAAAATGAATGCTGAAATACTTGTATAGTGGATATTTGTAATCAAGAGACTGCAACATCTTCTCCTTTTGAGCGTTTCTCCTTTACCAGAAGCTTGCCTGAATATGATCATTCCCCAGAGACGTTTTCTCGTATTCGTGAAGAATATGAAAAGACCCACAACAACATTATTCATAAAAACACAGAAGAGGCAATGCTTCGAGCGTTTCTTTGTAAGTAACCTCATTTTATTTGCTGCATGTTTTATTAATTTTAACACCGTTTACCAAAGCAAAACTTCAACAAGTCGATGCTGATATCGTAATTGGACACAATTTCACGAACTCGATGCTGGACATCCTTTTACATCGAATGAGGAAATTTAAAATTGAAAACTGGAGTCTATTAGGAAGACGTATTCTTACAGAGTAATATACATAACAAAACAACGACCGTTATTTTTTTTCTCAAACCGATTTTTATAGACTTCCTTCTCTTCAACCGTATTCAGGTGGAATGGGTTTTAGCTATACGCAGGAACAATCGGTCATGTGTGGCCGTTTGGTGTGTGATACGTATACAGCATCTCAAGATCTTTTAACATGCAAAAGCTATCAATTGTCAGATATGGCACTATCTGAATTGGATGTGGTAAGAGAACCATATATGATCAAGAACTTGGATCCGGCACTTTGCGAGATTGAGCTGGCACGACACTGCTCTTTTGATGCTTACTTGGCGTTTGAAATTGCGGTAAAATTACAAATCCTTCCTTTAACAAAGCAGCTTACGAATTTGTCTGGGAATTTATGGTATATATACAAATGTAAATGGTGTATGTTATATAAGTTGATGTAACTTTTTTTTTAAAAAAAAAATTAGGTCAAGGAGTATGAATGGTGCTCGAGCTGAAAGGAACGAGTATTTGTTGTCGCATGCTTTCTATAATGAACAATTCATATGTCCAGATAGACCATTGAAAAATGGAAAGAACGACAACGACATGGGTAAGAACTCATTTTTGCATTTAAAACTATGATGCATCGAACCTAACCCTCCCCCCTATTTTGCTTTTTATTCAGAATCGAAAAATTCTCCTGTCGAGCCTATCACATCCATGTCCTTTGAAGGTGGTTTAGTGCTTGAGCCTCAATCTGGTTTTCATGACAAATATGTCTTACTACTCGATTTCAACAGTTTATACCCGTCCATTATGCAGGAATACAATGTATGTTTTACAACCATGCATCGTACACAGCCAGGCGAATTGGTAAGAATATAAGCAAAATACCTTGCGCATGTTTGTTTCCTCTTTACCTAATACAATATGTTATAGAACTATAATCCAGATGATATCCCAGCGATTCCTGACCCAGATTGCCCTGAAGGAATTCTGCCACGTCTTGTTCGCATGTTTGTCGAACAAAGAAAACACGTCAAAAAACTGATGAAGGATCCTACCTTATCCGCTTCGACCAAGAAACAGGTATGTTGTCACACAGTAAAAATTGCCACTTAAACTCACACTATTTAAAAGTACCACATCGAACAAATGGGGTTGAAATTGACCGCAAATAGTATGTATGGCTGTCTTGGTTCGAGCATTTCCAGTTATTACGCACGTCCTTTAGCTATGTTTATTACATCCAAAGGACGAGAAATTCTACAAAAAACTGTCGAATTAACACAACAGATGGGATACAAGGTTCTCTATGGTGATACCGATTCAATTATGGTTGAAACCAAAGTGAACGATTTCGCTTCTGCAGAGGCCATTGCCAGAAAAATTAAAACAAGAGTTAACAAGGAATACAAATACTTGGAAATTGATCTTGATGGAATGTTTAGGAATACCTTATTATTGAAGAAGAAAAAATATGCTGGTCTGTTGATTAACAAAAGATATGATGGTCATTTGGAAAGCACTGTGGAAGCAAAAGGACTGGAAATAGTGCGCCGAGATTTCTGCGATATATCAAAACGCATCTTAAAGTAAATTGTCTCTTTTTTTTTCGTTCATCATTATGCAAATTCAATTACATCTACCAACACTAATACTTTTTTTTTTTGCAGACATGTTTTAACTATGATTCTCACAAGTACCTCACGGTCGGATCTTTCAAAAAGGATTAGGTTTTTTATTGAAGAGGAAGCTACCAGTATTAAGAAAACTGCTTACCCTTTTAACGACTTTATCATTCGAAAGGTATTGCTTCTATCCCCTTTGATATGTTTGTTACTAAAGCTCATACAATTTTCTTTTTAGCAAATTGCAAAGGAACCCGAACATTACAAAAATCCCAATATGCCACAAGTCGCGGTTGCCAGAATCATGCGTGCAAAGTCATTAGCGGTTAATGAAAACGACATCATTCCTTACATAATGTGTAAATCAGATCAGATAGGGAAGCCAATACCTCGCATGCCAGAGGATGTGGCTGAAGGAAAATATGCTATAGGTAATCCTAAACTATTTTTGTTTTCTTCTGAGAAGTTCTAATGAGTATGTTTATTTACTTTAGATTTTGATTATTACATTAGTCACCAAATTTTACCCCCACTACGCAGACTATGTGAACATATTCCCGGCAAAGCTTTCGATGATTTTTAAAAATAAAGTATTGTTATGCGGTATACATTCCTTTTCATTTTGCGTTTTGTCTTTTTGAGAGGATCTAAATGACACAGACAAGTAGGGTTGTGCTGAAATTTCAAATTCGCTATACTTTATTTTATTTTGAGTTTGACATATTGAAGAATTGTTTAGACCATTATTTTTAATAGATAACGTTCAATATTAGTATTATATTCGCGTATCTATTTTGTCAGCATGTGTATTTGGATTTAAAGATTACGCTGTGAGGTATCACACAGTATAAAAATTTTGTCTCTCTCTGTGGTCGTGGCATATCATGCCAAGTGACAAGATAATGAGTCGATGCGGCGTAAGGGATATCAGATTCAGCTGAATGGTAACTGTCGATGACTGCATATCCCTGCCCAACGTAGGTCCCAAATTCGTTTCCAAGGGAGATTCACCTCCACAAGGAGTGGAAGTACTTCCAGTTTGCATCATCTTCACAGCAATTTCCTGATGATCTGTTTCTGACTTTCGGTTAACATAGTGCGTCTTGCAGTTACTGATGATAGAATGAGTATAGTCAAAGCAATCCAGCGTTTTTCCACGTCCTTTATATCATCCTTGAGGTAGATGACGGCTGTACGCCCCCATTTTACCTGTCTTTTAGTTGGGTCTCTAAAGTATATGCTCATCAAAATCATCGCCTTCTATTTTCCTCTTTGCTGATATTATTACAAAACCACTATAGTCAAAGCATACAAACTTTCCACATTTCTAGTACAATGGTAATGTCCAAACCTATGTAGATAAGCCTTAGATGGAAATTTATTCTTGCTAACAACAATCTAGATAAGCAATGATGAAAACATGGTTTTTTTTAAAGTTTAACATCTGGACTGATCATTTGAAACTAAAGAAATAAAAATACAGTTGGAAGGGAATATTTTAATGAGATCAGGGTTTATAAAAATGAATCGTTGTGGACTATAATCTTTTTGTGAAGTGAATCCCCGGTAACTAAGCTATTTTTTGCCCCGTTACATGCTTTAGCGGAACAGCAATTGGTTAAGAGGGGTCAACGAATTTATTTACAACAGTAGATAGATCACATAAAGCTCTGTACGTAATCTAAATTGTGCATAAATGAAGTTTCACAAAAATTAAGAATGATAAAATAACAAAAAAAAAATAGATTTATTTTTTTTATGCGGTTAATCATCTCCTACTTCGAAACCACAGTAACACTGGTTGTCTTGACAGACGACATGAAGTTCCATCACTTGTCCGGCGTCAGATTGTTGGCAGCGTTGAGCACAATTACTCACTTCACCCGTACACGATGTATCACAGTTGTCTTCTCGCTTTAGGAGGGATGGATCCACAAATCGGTTATATACGGCTGCACAATGATACAGAGACATCATACCCAACAGGTAACAAATAAGAAAGATTGATTTAATCATTTTTTATTGAGGGTTTTTTTTTTTTTGTATTTAATATCCATTTTTATATACTTTTTTTTTTTTACATATAAAAAAAGGGGAGGGGACGAAGGAAGAGGAGACAACATGAGCTATGAGACAACAACAACAAGATTATAGATTAAATGGGGGGTGGGAGGATGGGAGTAAAAGCAATAATAATACAAATATACAAAGAAAGGGATGTGTGTGTGTGTAAGGGGGGGGGGGGGGGTATAGGCAATAAGAGGGAAAAAAATACCAGTATTATTTTTATCCTCCCAAGGAATGTCTCCTTGATTCCATTATTGTTGGTTCAACAGGTAGAGCATAGTGAGGTGGTGCACTCGGTGTGTAAGCGGGCGGTGGTAATTCCGGTGTAACTGTACATCGACTACAGTTTGTTGCTGCAGAAGTCGTGGCATGATCATGACTGTGGCCTAAGCCTTCATCCTCCATACCGTCTAATTCTTTGGCAGTCGGTGCAGACGGACTTGGTGCTGTTGCTTGAGAACTGATGGACATGACAGTGCGTCGGTTTTGTTGTTGTGCTTGCTTGCTAATGAGTGAATGTCGATCTTCTGCAATAGATAAAGCAGGTGGGGCAGATGGTTCCATTAAGGGTGTATCCACTAATGAATGAGTTGAGGAAGACGCAATGGATCTAGCACCGCCGTCGCCACTACTGCCACCTGGAATACTCGAATCAGTTATCGTTGCTCGGTCTGCTTCTCCACTTAATTCATAGGTTGATCCTTCATTTCCTTCCTCATCACTCTCTCGTTGTTTTCGGTGTCTTCTTCTCATTCGTGTGAAAATTACAATGGTTGCAACAATGGCTATCACGCCTAATCCACCGACTAGCGATAAAATCGTACTCATTCTTTTCAAGGCCTGTTTGTCCTTTTCCAAATCCTCCTTGACTGAATTTTGTCGGTTGGGATCACTGGCTGCCGTCTGACTAGCCTGTTGTTGTTGTTGTTGTTGTTGTTGCTGGGCTGGATTCGTACCGGATATATTATAAAATACAGGTAGAGAAGGCGTGGCGGCAACGATGATGGTTGTATAAACTACATCGACTTGGGTTTTAACGTGTTGGTCATCATGGGTATCTTTACGTGAAGAGACATGGGTTGGTTGTCCGTCATCTTGTGTTAGTGTAATAGTGGGTTTTACAGCTTCAAAAAGTAAATGTTCATTTGCTTCAATTAATAAAGTCAATTGAAGTAAAGTAAACAGAGACAAATAAAATAGCCTCATCTTTTTTATTTTTTATTTTTTTTATTATAATAAATATATAAACACAGGCAAAGGAAAAGAGAGAGAGAGAAAAAAATAAATAAACAAGGGGATAATCTATATACAGCAAAAGGATGGTACAAAAGTGTGAGTGTGAGTGTGTGTGTGTGTGTCTAAAAAAAGGATCCAATGACCTAACCCAATAATAGATATTGAGTAATAGAACATCGGTTGATTTCGGTCCTATCCTCGCCACAACTCAATTATGGGATCGTTATTCTCCTTTATATATATATATATCCATTCGTGTACATCAATAACACACATCTTCCCGGGTAATAACGTATTTCGGTCGTAAAGGAAAGGTGCTCTTTTAGGACGGACTACAAGGAAAAATTAATAGCCATTTTTAGAGCATGGCATCATTTTATGTCTGTCGTGCCTCTCCCGCCCATCATCAAGTAGCACGAGGTTCAACCTATTATCCTATGAGTACCTATGACGCTGTAATCATTCCATGTGGAACTCACCTCTATCTGTCTTAACACACTCCTCCTGCTTTAGGCTACAAAGTGATGGGTTGATTAGACAGATATTTATGGAGAGATGATAGTGTAACTCTTTCTTCATCTTGTAATTTAAAATTAAAAAAGTAGGTTTCTCTCCGCTTTAAATACATGAAATCGAGATTCAAACAAGAAACTTTTTAATTAAAGGCATCACCCCTCGGGTTAGAACAAAATATAGAGATATATAAAAAAAAAAAAAAAAAAAAATCTAGATTTATTATAATACAATAAGATACATAAATCTTAAGTCATGACAGTACCGTCGCGGATCGATCGACGAATACGATCGGACATCATACGGTCTTTACGGCCAATGAGAGAAGTAGCTTTTCCGGTTTGGCCAGCACGAGCAGTACGTCCCACACGATGCAAGTAATCAACAACAGATGTAGGGAAATCATATAATACCACATGATCCACAAAAGTCGTATCAATACCACGAGAAGCAATATCTGTACTAATCAACACATTATGATCCACAATACCTTCCTCACCATCCACTACTTTAGGTTGAGAGAACAATTCTAAAGCCTCAGTTCGGTCCATAGGTGCATCCTTGTACAGCGCTAAAGCCTCTAAATTCTTGGTCTGTAAAAATTTGTGCAAGATCTCTACTGCTTTCTTGGTGTTACAGAACACAAGTGTTTTATCATCCTTGATATTCTTCTTCAAAACTTCCAGTAAAGCCAATTGTCGGTTACCTTGGAAACGTTGAAGATCAACAAAGGATTGTTTCAGGTTGGGTAAAGCCTTGTGTAAAGAAGGTGTAGTGATTTTTGTCATTTTGGGAAACAGCTGATCCAAAGCATTATGGACTGATCTGGGTAAAGTAGCCGACACAATCATGACTTTCTCGGGTACCTTTGTCTTTTCAGAGATATCCTGAATACGTTGAATAATATTTCTACAGTCCTCTCCCCATCCAGCATCAAACAACGAATCCGCTTCATCGATAATTAAATAACGGGTATCTGCTAATGAAATAGTACCATCCTTTTGATATGAGACCAAGGTGGTAGGTGTCGTCACTAAAATATCAATCGGTCCATTGGCTAATATTTCAGAGACTTGACTTCTAGGTGTACGTCCTCCTAATCCTACTGCACGGAATTTGGTGACATGACTGAGTCCTTTACAACTCTTGACTACCTGACTGACTAATTCTCGTGTGGGCACCAACACAATCGCACGAGGGTGATCTAATCTTCTTTTGGGGTTTCCCTTTCGCTTCTCATCCGCCTTCAACATATCAATGGTAGGTAATAAATAGGCAAGTGTCTTACCGGAACCAGTCTCAGCGGCCACAAGCACATGACGTTTACGACGATCCATTAACTGCGGAATGGCTAACGCTTGAATCTCGGTGGGTTTAGGATCTTGTACATTATTGTTGGCATTCAACACAAGTTTAGCAGCAAGGAGTGTATCGGACGATAGGTTGAGATCCTCAAAGGTTTGTGTAGCTAAAAAGGCAGCTAATTGTTTAGCATTACTAGGTTGATCTTCCGTTACTAGATCGGGTGTATTTCGACTGTTGGTGACAATGGCAGAAGGGTGGTTTGAAGGAATGGTCTCTAAACGTCTCTTGACAGGTACATAAGGTGCATTGGATGCACTACGAGGTTTGTTGGATTTGAGAGCTGCCTTGAGTAGATCACGACGTTCTCGACCGTTAAGTCCGTCAGGTCGTAAATGTTTGGTTAAAGAATTGACGTTGGGTTTTTTCAGTGCTGTACGTTTAGAACATGCAATGGAAGTAGCTGAGAATAATCGAATGCAGGACTCCAAGGTTGTCAGTGACACCTTGGACTTTTGTGTATTTACAAGAGAGATCATTTAAGTTTGAAAGAAAACTAGGGGGGGGAGGGGAGCCTGAAGAGGGATTTGCGAGAAGCAGCAGGGCCAGTAATGAAATTGAAACTCAAACGTCAAAAATTAAAGGTCCAGAGAGTGACCCTCATCTCTTTTTTTTTTTTTTCTGCTTTGGTGTGTGTGTGGGTGTGGGTGTGTGAACCCTTTTTTTCATTGGGCGCAAGATCTGCTTGATTCAAATCACCCAGCGGGGCATTAAAACTGATGGGACTCACACAGAACAAGCCACCAAGATGTAAGAGTCAGCGGTCAATTTTGGGGGAGAAGCATCAATCATATAAATCTGGCCACTTTTTTTTATTCTGGCTTTTTCCGCATCCTTTATATTTTCCTTCAAGAACAATTCCCCAACAATGGCCGGTGTTCACGATAAGTACCAGTCACCTTTGACCTCTCGTTATGCCTCCAAGGAGATGGCTTACAACTTTTCTGACGACAAGCGTTTCTCTACTTGGCGTCAACTTTGGACCAACTTGGCTATTGCTGAAAGACAACTTGGTTTGACTGATATCACTGAAGAGGCCATTGAGCAAATGAAGGCCAATATCTTTAACATTGATTATGTTATTGCTGCTGAAGAGGAAAAGAAGCGTAGACACGATGTGATGGCTCACGTCCATACCTTTGGTTTAGTTGCTCCTGCTGCTGCCCCCATTATCCATTTGGGTGCTACTTCTTGTTACGTTACTGGTAAGTTTTTAAATTTCTTATTTTGTATCCATCATGCTAATTTGAGAATGCAGACAACGGTGATTTGATTATTATCAAGGATGCTTACGATATTGTCATCAAGAAGCTCGCAAAGTGTATTGACATTCTTTCCAAGTTTGCTGAAGAATACCGTGCTTTACCTACTTTGGGTTTCACTCATTTCCAACCTGCTCAACTTGTCACAGTTGGTAAGCGTGCTACTTTATGGATCCAAGAGTTGTTATGGGATTTACGTAACTTTGAGCGTGCACGTGATGATCTCAAGATGCGTGGTGTCAAGGGTACTACGGGTACTCAAGCCTCCTTCATGGCTCTTTTCAATGGTGATCATGATAAGGTTGAAGAATTAGATCAATTGGTCACTGAGCTCTCTGGTTTCAAGGAAGCTTATCCTGTGTGTGGTCAAACTTATGCTCGTAAGATTGATATTGATGTCATCCATCCTCTTTCTGGCTTTGGTGCTTCTGCTCATAAGATTGCCACCGATATCCGTCTTTTAGCCAACTTGAAGGAGATTGAAGAACCTTTTGAGAAGGATCAAATTGGATCTTCTGCCATGGCCTATAAGCGTAACCCTATGCGTTCAGAGCGTGTGTGTTCTCTTTCTCGTCATTTGATGATCCTCATCAACGATGCTCTTCAAACCAGTGCTGTTCAATGGTTCGAACGTACTTTGGATGATAGTGCTAACCGTCGTATCTCACTTCCCGAAGCTTTCTTGACGACCGATATTGTCTTGACCACCTTACAAAACATCTTTGAAGGTATGGTTGTGTACCCCAAGGTCATTGAACGTCGTATTCTCCAAGAATTGCCCTTTATGGCTACCGAGAACGTTATCATGGCCATGGTAAAGAAGGGAGGTGATCGTCAAGAATGTCACGAAGAGATCCGTGTGTTGTCTCATGAGGCCGCCTTTGTGGTCAAGATGGAAGGTGGAGAAAACGATTTGATTGAACGTATCAAGAAGACTAAATATTTCGAACCTATCTGGGCTGAACTTCCTGCTTTATTGGATCCCTCTACTTTCATTGGTCGTGCTCCTCAACAAGTCGACTCTTTCTTGCTCAAGCATGTGAAGCCTGCATTGGCTCCTTATGCTGATTCTCTTAAAGATCATACCAAGGCCGAATTATCCGTTTAAAAAAAAACACACATATTCTCGACTGTACATTTTTTACCATCATAAATTATTTTTTGTTTTTCTCAATTTATATCTACACTGTGTAATATTTTTTTATTTTATTTTTGTGTGTGTGTGTGTGTGTTGGTAAAGAAAATTTAAAACGGACGGCTCATGATTTCAGTGGATTTTCTGGAGGGAGCAGGTTCATGGGCAACGATTTCATCTCCACTCACGAATTTTGTAAAACTTCCTTCTAATGAACCCCAAAGTGAGGTTAATGTCTTTTTCTGGAATTTAGGGTTCAGCCACGATGCAGGGTCAACACTAGAAAAGAGCTGTCAGAATGAAACTATAACATGCATATACATCTTTTTTTTTTTTTACCCATTCTTTTTCTTTCGAGCGTGCTGTAAATGAGTCCCAAGCGCCAAAACTTGATCTATGAGCTGTGCATGCAAATAAGGGCTTCCCTTGGTAAAGGATTTAATGGATTGATCTATGGCGTCATGATATCTCTCAGCTTCGTCTAATAATCCATAATCGGACAAAATCCAGGCATGAGCCAATTTATAACCTTGTAAAAACGGCAAGCATGCTGACGCTCCTGTATGTAAAGATTGTGCGAATTCAAAAATCTCGGATAATTGGTATGCTTCTACGTTGGGTGTATCACTGCCTAAAAGTGTTAATCGGACCTGAATTGTATCAATTCCCGAATGCATTGCATTTTGAGGTGAAAGAAGGTAACTTGAAAGGTGAGGGAGTGGGTGAGAACAATTTTTTTTTTTTTTTTTTGGTTGACACGTTGCTAACACATACCATATATGAGCTGCTTCTAACCATCCTTGTTCCTTCATGATATCTCCAAATGCCGTCAAGGCTTCTATATCTCGAGGTGTCCGATTTGCCAGCATGATGGCCAATGTATCTCTCCATTTAACCAGTTGAGATAATTGAGCAGGCGGTGTTACTGTTTGTAAACCATAAGGTGTATTGACATGTTGCACGTCACTGACAAGAAATTCGTTCACTATGAACGAAAAAAAAGAAAGAAAATTAATCTAGCTGATTTTCTGTCCCAGGGTTTTAATAATATAACTTACTGGCTATGCCACCAGCACCTGAAAACAAGGAATACATGACACGTAAAGCTTGATTGTTACCAGCAATATTATTAAATCTTCGTTGTTTTCTCATTTCGGGTGTAGCGTTCATTTCTCTATCGACGAAATTGGTGATGACTCTTTGCCATAAATCCTTATCAACACAACTACTGATAATCAAGGCATGGGCCCATAGGTCCTCTTGTACTGCAAAATCCACGGCACCTTTACGATCCCCGTTTAATAAGAAATGCTCGATTTTTGAAAGCATATGATCTGATAAATCTGCATCTGCATCCTCAGGTGTATTGGCAGGATAAGAAGGGATGGTGAAATTGGTTTCTTCTTCAACGTGTGTTGGACGTAATACTTGTAAAATCGCTTGATCCATCTTATCTCTAATTTCCCCATACAAAAAGAAAGAGGGGTTAGTCTTTTTTTTTTAATGATGTGAATCGGTGGTGCAATTTTATAGTGTGCCTTCTTTTTTTTTTATTATCTTACTTGTCGTTTATGCTTCCTTCAGTCTCCACTAATACTTTGACTAACTGCCATAATAAAATCTTTGCCTGTAGTTGTTCATAATCTAAGGAACCTACAGCCATACCTTGCTTATGATTTTCAAATGTATTCAGCATGTGTGTCATAAACACAGCCACATCCTTTTTCTTTTGTTTCGTGCCCACTTTACTATCACCCAAGATAGGACCTGGAAACGCTGGCTTTGGAATCATGGTCTTCAAATGTTTGATCTTGATCGGACCGGGTTGTGGTTTGACCGTAGACGAGTAATAGTTGGTAACGGTGCGTGGAAAAGTCACAAGCATTTTACCTCCAAACCCAAAAGTGACGATAGGACAACCTCGTGCTCTGCCAAGTGGATCCACGGCAGGTTGTGCAGGTTGGTAATGCTGATCATAGACAGCACCGGTATTATACCCCATGCCTCGCGTCGCTGTCGACTGTTCCTGGTGTTGATGCTGGTGCTGTTGTTGTTGTTGTTGCTGTTGTTGTTGTACTTGTGAAGCGCCGTACAAATCTTGCATGGACTGATGTTGAGCACCATTGTAATACAAGTGGGGTTGATGTCTCGGATCACTGGCTGGAGGATAGATGGGCAGTTTATTAGAAGCATCGAGAGAGGAATAGACGGGAGCAGTAGGTGGTCTTTCAACTGGTGGATGGACATACATGGTTTCATCTTTTTGATGAGGGTAATAGTTGTAGTCTCCAATCTGTTGTTGAGAAAATGCTTTTGTCAATGGAGCTAATGAAGGTGTCATGGTGTTTGTGGTAGAAGCAGGTGTAGCTGATCGTGATATGGCCCCGAGAGGTCTTCCACATTCCTCACAAAACTTTGACTTGGGCTTATTTTCGCCGTTGCAGGTGGGTTCGGGACAAGGTAAAAAGACATCGGGTGTGGGTTGTCTAGATGAAGCCAATTCTGCATAATTAATAACAGCGGCAACGGTGGGGGCGGTGGCGGTGGAAGCATGTGCGGTGTTATTGGCAATGGGTGGGGTATAAGTTTGAGGCATACTCTTGTCTACGTGATAATAAGTGTTCTCCGATGCGGACTGTTGTTGGTTGTAATGAGGTTGATAATCACACTCTTGATTGGTATTGGGATCATAATAATGAAGTTGACCTTGCTCATCGTAATAATAATGAACATTGGGATCAAATTGATACCATTCACCTTGTGTTGTTTCACTGTAAGGTGTTGTCATTACAAAATAAAGTTACTCTTTACAAACAAGGAATAAAAAAAAAAAAAAAAAGAAGCGAAATTAAAATAACAAATACGTGATCCAAGTATATATTTTAATATTTTTTTTTTTTTTCAAACACCTCGAAAAAATTATTTTAAATTAAAAACAAAGGGGGTTTCTTTCTTCTTTTAATACAAGTATAAAGTTGATTGTCCAAGCAGCAAGGGGGTGAGAGAAGGGGGTGTATTCAAGCTCACTAAGAAAAATAAATGGTCCACACTTGACTTATTTTAACAAGGTTTGTTGGTATTATTAGATCCTTAATCATACTTTTTCATTGTTCGTGTTTGTTATTCCGCAAGGGAAACAATCCAATAGGCGGTGTTTCGCTCCCCCTTAGATACAGGCCCGGCTTTTCTTTTTGAACTCATTTAGAAACCGAATATTGGGGTTTTTTTTAGATTTAAAAATAGAGTTGATTGGATGCATCAACAATTTATTATGTTTAGTGGGCGTAAAAAATATATATCTGTGTGTGTATTATCTAATAAATTTATTGGTGAATGTTGTACCAACGCTTAAGATCCTTGAGGGTAGATTTAGCCAAAGCCTCATGGACAACAGAGTTAGGATGGAAAGAATCAAAGAAAAAGTGTTCCTTGGGTTCATCACAAAGAGGTGCAGTTGTATTACCAAGACCCCAGATACAAGGTCCGTTGATGGTGGAAAGACCCAATTTCTCGGGATTTGCCAATTGCTTGTTAAGCCAACCATGAACATCAATAAACTTGAGATCAACACCATGAATATTCTTCTTGAGTTCGGACTTGACCAATGCATTGTATCCTTCAATTAACTTGGCAACTCTGGGCTTATCAGCATCAGCAATAAAGGGCCATTGCTCAAAGGGAGGTGGACTCATAAAGACAAACTTCTTAGCCTTGTACTTTTTAATAATAGCCTTGGTACTGGCAACAACATTAGCAGCAATATCGGCAGTCGTGTAGTTTTGGTTGACAACGTTGTAAAATTGAGGTGTGTTGATAACGTTCAAATCATTGTAACCAGTTTGGATAATGTAAAGAGACTTGGAAGTACCCTTGGATTTAATTGTTTCAATCTGTTGCTTGAGACCAGGAACAACATAACCATTGTATTCAGAGTAAGCATCGGCATTGTCTGTGGTGGCACCAGCATAACCAATATTCTCAAAGGGAATAGAGATACTATCGGCAACATGTTCAGCCCAGGTAGGTCCATCAGAGAATCTACCTTCCCAGTAAGGAGGAGAGGGAGGGAAACCAGAGTGCTTATACACATTACCGTTATCTGACATACTGTCAGCAAAAAGAACAATTCTGTCTACATAGGCCAAAGTGGAAGTGGCAGATATAGCGACAAGAGAAGCAATGATAGAAAGACGCATATTGTATTGAATTATAGAAGTATTTTGATTTTCTTTTAGGAGCCTATTTATACCAAAAAAAAAAAAAAAAAACGATCGGAAAACGTTGACAAATATTGTGATACGTTATATGCCTTTGACTTTATTTACCAGGGTAAAAAGAGACACAAACTTAATTTCAGCCCCATATAAGACAGCCTATAACTCATGCGCCTCGAAAATTGCAGCATACTTGTGAAACCTATGACAAATAACACGCGTAAAATGCATAAGCTATGAATAATCATAACATGATACAATTGAATGTCCGGATTATGTATCGAAGGAGAGTTTTCCTTCATCGCTCTCTCTCTTAGAAACGTTATTCGCGACAATAACTTAGAGAAAATGAGCGACATGTAAGTAATAATTTATATTGCGTACGTCTCTACACTATGGTAACTAATATACTAATTACGTCACTTTTAGATCTCGGTAGATACAGCCCCCCCTTTTTTTTTCTCGATGACAGTAGTAGCACCAATTAATTATTAATTGTAAAAATTAAAGCGAAAAAAACTGGTAATCCAAACTCATCACTTTTAAAAGTACTGTGCGAACCATCAGAAAAGGCTAATAAAATGGTTGCCATGTCTTTTCGAATTCCAATTGACAGTAACAACGTTAATAGTATCTACGGATATACTAGGTGTAAATGTTATGAGATGAATCAAATTAATTGATGACCGTGCAACGAAAGCGTTCCTTATACAAGTAATAAATCCATATATAGTTCAATGTGTTGCACTTTTCAGTTTCACAACAGAAAAATGCAATAGCGTTTGGATGAAAAATAAACACTGGGTCCCAATATATTTTTAAATAATTTGACTTAGATGGTATTCCCTCAGATATATAATGCTCACTTGAATCATATTCTTGTATGCAACATCTAATATAAAGCTATAACGAAATGCGACTTTGGGAAACCTTTTCGCGTGCCTATGCGATAGTATCTGCACTAAAACTGACCCTGCAACTGCATTTTCTAAATATAAAAAATTCTCTTGGCTTTAAACAATAAAGATCTAGTCTCTTTCACAAAAAAAAACCAAATACAGCATTAACACAGTGTTCCACAAAACGTAATTCTATTTACTCAGTATCAACAATTACATGCCTGTAAAACACACTTCTGTACATGTGCCCAATACGAAAACATACTCTTGAGTGTCTGAATTTTATGTTAAAGGAGCTTCTGAAGATCTCTAACTATATCACTAGGCCAATGAATGCGTAAAAAAGAGGCACACAAATACAGGACACTTACTCATTTCTCAAGACAATCAATGCTATTCATTATTACTGCGTACGCACAACTTTCTCAAGTCAAATTTTCACTTTCATAAACTCGTCTCAACACAATCAATAGGATTTAATGGTCATCTTAAACCTCAGGCCCGTCATCTTAACTATTTCAACCGATACTATTATACATAATTTTATTTATAACTTAATGTTCCTTCTTCATCAAGAACCTTAATTTCTTCGTTGTACTCTTCATGCTAGTTTCTGCTTTAGAGAAGGCAGCGTCATTTACTTCTAAAGCTTGACGTAACACCTCGAGATCATTATCCTTGTTAATTATTTCAGTTTCCAAAGTATCAACCTGGGCTTCTAAATCTTGCTTATCTTTGATCAATTTAGATTGATAAGGTCTTTTTTCATGCAAGACCTTATATGCTGTAATATTTTGATTGGCTTCAGCCTGGACAATACCGACAGCGGTAGTCTTCAATTCGAGATCTTTTACCAATTTGTCGATATGATTTTGGCTATTAGTGACATAATTAGCATGTTTTTTAATGAGTTCTTCAATTCTCTTTTCATTATTTTCAATGACTGTATAACATGTCTGGATATCGTGCTCCAAGACACAAACACGATCCTCTGAACTAGCCTGACTTTGGATGGGATCATGGCAGCTTGTAGAGTCTTTAGCGGTATCTAAAAGTATTCGTTGATTCCCGCTAGGCGCCAAATGGAATTTTTACAGTTACATTGTAGAATCAAGCAACTGCCCAGCTGATTCTATATAAAAATAGACGTACAAAATAGGCGTCAGCGACTAAAGCTATTAGGGGGTCCCAGATATTAAGCTTTTATAAAATTACCTAATTTTTTTTTCAAGAGTCCAGGATTTCTTTATGTGTGAGTGACTGGCTAAAAGTACACTTTTCTTGTTTAAGATATCTCGGGCATGAATTTTCTTGCACAGAAAATCTCGGGCACCAAAAATCGTCCCCGCAAAGTTTAGGGGAAGAAATTCCCGGGAATTTTTCCTAAAAATTAAGGAAATGATTTTTTTAATGTTTGGCACCCCCTATTTATTTTAAAAAGAGAAATACACTTACGTCCATTTTCTCAAAAATTATTTTCTCATCCAAATCATCCAATCAAAATTCTTGAGCAAGATAAATTGAAGCAGAATTCTGTAAGAGTTGGATTGTTCGCCCACTAAGAGGGAGCAAGACTGTCTTGAGACAGGTTAGTTTTACCCTACTGATGATATTGGTATCGTCACAGATGAGAAAATAAATATGGATCTCCCTATTGTTTTTTTTTTTGGAATTCGTTTGTATCAAAGGCTATTTTTACACGACAGGTTAATTACTTAAGATACAGTGCGCTATCGTTTTGCTGGATTACCTTTTTCAAATCAAACGCGTCTTTTACTTGTCGCGGACATTTTGAAGAGATAAAGAAGAAAAAAAAAAGAAAAAAAGAAGAAAAAAAGCAGATGACTTGGCAGTGTTTTGGACGCTGATTACCATGAAACGTTTCAGTGGGTATGACTGTACTATTTCTTTTCCAGTAGGCTGTAGATCTGTTTGACCTGTGGGACAGCTTATCCAGTCAGATTATTATCAGGTCAGCCAAAAGATCTGTTATCCTCTGATTCTTATAAAGAGGAAAAGGCTTGAATAAATCTTCATGCATGATGAACTTCTAGTAGGCAGTAGCTGTAATGATTCTTCATATGCATATTGATAAAATGGGCTATAAGTCTATGAGCAGAATGCGATCGGGGTTTTCAGTTTTGACATCACTTTTGCAGGACAGAGCTTCTTTTTTTTTTTTTCACAAACAGGTTTTTTATTCAAGACATTATACGGATTGACAGAATAAGACATCAAGGACACTGGGTTGCTGATTCAGGCACTTCTGCTCGAGCTTAACGATGGCTTCGAGCAAACTTTTGGTAATAACACCTTCAAAGATCAAAATGGGCCTATTGTCAAAAGGTCTCATGAACAAGTTTGACTATAGCTCGCTCGTAATGTTGAAGAAGTAAAGGACACATATGAGACTGACAATGGTGATGCCATCAAGGCTGTTGTTAGCAAGAAGAACTTTCCACCCGAGGCTTCCATAGGCAATAAAGCGACATAAAACTGGTTTGGACAATACCAATGTACTAGAATTGTGGAAAGTTTGTATGCTTTGACTATAGTGGTTTTGTAATAGTATCAGCACGGAGGATAATAGAAGGCGGTAATGTTGATGAGCGTGTACTTAGGAGACCCAACCAAAAGACAGGTAAAATGGGGGTGTACAGCCGTTATCCACCTCAAGATGGATATAAAGGACATGGAAAAAACGCTGAATTGCTTTGACGACACTCATCCTATCAGCACAAACTGAAAGACGTACCACGTTAACTGAAAGTCAGAAGAAAATTATCAGGATCTTGCTGAGAAGACGATGCAAACTGGAAGCACTCTCAGTCCAGTCCGTGTCTGGAGGTGAAGAAATTTGAAAATAAACAGTGGGTGTTGCAAGAAGTAAGCACTCGTTTTATAGCAAGACGTCAGCGTGTGATGTGCTATGATGTACAAGGAAAGTTATTTCTGATCACCTATACACATTATTTTTTTACAAAGAAATAAAATTTATCCAGAGACTTTGTGATTACTTGACTCTACCGATCCCCTGTTTTTTAAATTGTAAACACACCATGTAGCTTTTAATGGGTAATGAATAGGAATGATCAAGTAGTACCTTCAAATAACTGTTCTACTGACAGTTTTCACTACGTTTTGGGAAGAATTTTTTTTTTACTGTAGTTCATGTTATTCTAAACGGTAAAGTCCAAGAAGTATAATGAGAGACCCTAATATAGAAGGCGCTCCAAACTGTAGGCTGTGCGCACGCGCCACCTGCCCTATTGAGTTTTAAAAAAAAAAGATCTACTCCATCTCGCATACAAAGTCACAGTTAACAATGTTTTATATGGTTAATATGAATTGAAGTTGATAAACCATCTGTAACTTTATTGCGCGTAACTGTATAACTTTTTTTATATTCTGCTGTCTACTTTTTTTTTTTTGCCCGTACCTATACCATTTCCATCATTGACGCGCTTTTGTAAAAAAAAAAAAATAGGCGCATCAAAAGAGAGCAGTCGCGTACTCGTTTTATAATACAATATATACGTAAATGCGCCAAATTTGGTAAGCCAAAATAAATTTCGATTCATGAGCCAATAGTGTGGTATCTTGATGTGTAAACAAATGATGTCAAGATGAAAGTCCCAAAATTTTTATGTGTAACTGATGAATTCGATCCACACAAAAAAAAAGGTATAAAACGGACACATTTTTTTCACTCGACGAGTTTTTTTTTCTTTTTTTTTTTTTTCTCTTCACAAAAAAATGTCTTCTGACAAGCGAAATCTTTGGGGTTGCTCTCGCTGATCTTTCCGGAGTACGCGGTAAAACCATCGATATCAACTGTCAGTCGTCCTATTCGATGGATTTCCACTTTGTGGGAAGGGTGGTCACCATTTTTCCAAGAACGTAGGGGCGCAAGCGGTCTTGGTTTTTTAATATTTAATGAAAATGAAAAAAATATAAATTACAAATTATTTTAAGCTTGATTTCATGCAAGATTTACCTTCTTTTTTTTTTTTTCTCATGTGTGTAACATGACTTTTGGCTGCTGCGCATTTTTTTTTTTTTTTTTTTAGAATATCAAACCCTCTAAGGTTTGGAAATAATTCTTGTTAAACCAACACATTACTACGTGGCACTCCCGTTACTCGACAGTTTCACTACATTGTCTAGATTTTCAACTCTGTTATTCAATTAATCAACTTGATTATGCTGCATGCAACATCCACAAACAACGATAACTGTCAATCCGTGGACGAGCTAGCGTCCTAAATTCCTTACATTATTCGACATTGTAGCATGTTATTCGGTTACTTCATACGACTAAACCTCAGATCACTGAAATTCATTCAGTTGGATACTAATCCCTTATATTCGAATGTACTCAAAACTCAAGTTGTCAACTCTACCAACAACACAATCACTAGGAGGAGTAGGTATCTTGGAATTTGGCATTCAACTAAGAGAGTCTCAGTGGTGTTGGTTACAACCCCTATTAGAGGAGTTATAGTCCCAACACTGCTTGTCCACTGGACGTGTACACTCTCCTCAAATATGGACTGTGATCATATAATGGGAATATACTACATCATCTTTTATCACTACTGTTGCCATAATATTGATCTACTTCTATCACCAACCACTACAACTTATTTAACACCATCTTCCAAGCTGTCGATTCCATCCCAAGAAACCTGACTATCCTTCAGATCAACAACCCCCTCTCTCAGTCATCTGGATTTTCACTAATCCAGCAGTTACCAAAGATATTCTTTATCAAGCCTGGAACTCAAAAAATGTTTACCTATCAACTTTTCAGCATCGATGATAGTAGAACGCATATATATTCGCAAAGCCCATATCAAACTTACACATCATCCCAATCTGGTCAAACACTTTCTTAGACTATTGGATCAAAACAAAGGGAAACACCTTTTCATAGTCTGAGGAGATAGTGCCAATCTATAAATGAGGTCTTAAAACATACAACAACGCACTTACTTCGTTAAGATATAGGTCAGTATCTTATCATATAGTTTAATTATAATTAGGGATATGATACTTTCAATTTTCTGCAAAACCTTAATTTGAACAACCTAAAAGTCACCTGAAGTAGCAATTTGTATAGAAGAGCTTGTAACAAATAAAGTTTTTTCATTTCATTCTTATTTCACTCTCTTTTAACTATATTTAAAAAAAGATGATGTTTATTATACTACTATGATAGCTTTGCTTCGTTGCTCGCTTTGGAATATTCAACTAATTCATTAACACCATCGGGCTTGACGAGATTTACTTCTAGTGGCAATGCGGGCGCATTCATAGACCTTCTTATAACGTTAGGGTCACCAATGGATGAAGGAACTTGGGGTGATGAGATCATCGTTGAGCTTGGGCTCATAGAATTACTGTAAAACGTACTTCGTACGGGTGGTTCCTCTCTAAACTCAGTGTCAATATTATCCCAGTCGACTTCTAACTGTTCCATTGGTTCATTAGCCATTTCTCTTTTTCTTTTCCTGATGCACAAAAATACAGCCACTAGGACAATCGAAAGCTGTTAATGCAAATTAGTAGAAATCCAACAATAAATCTCTATAAGAAAAAATACTTACTAAAGCTAAAACCCCTACCACAATCCCTACAATAGCACCAGTAGAGATACCAGTTTTTTCTTTTTTTAAATCAGCCAAGGGATATATTGTTGAATAAGCTATTGCTGAAGCATTTCTTGCATCTAATACCAAGACATTATCGGTGGTTGATACGCCAACTCTAGGCTTACCAAACATGATGAAAACACTTGTCTCATCTACAAGAACGGCTAGCAAAAAAAAATGTTAGGGAGATGCCAGCCTTACATTACAGAACGCAAACCTGAATGATAAAATCTTGGACCTGAAATTGTTGACGGTATGTCAATGTCATGAGATATCCATGTTAACGTTTCCACGTTTAATGTAAATACATAATTTGGAAGAGCTACAAAAAAAAAAGAGGTGTTAGTCTATTTGATGTATTATGACATATAAGGCAGCATTTTTTTTTACCTAGTTGTGTTGTTTCGGCAATTTCGGATGTTCCTCCATAAACAAGGATATCTTTTTGTGTGTTTACTAAATAATAAAAGTTTTGTAAACAAAATGCACAGAAAAATTATTTTTTAAAGAATAAAATCTTTACAAAGTGTTGCAGTGTGAAGTTGTCTAGGAGCAGGCATAGCAGAACCATCAACAGGAGCGTTTAAAGTTTGGTTTTCCCAATTAGAGCTTATTGTATCAAATATAATAGTGTAACTAAGAGGCACAACATACTCATCAATATGGGTATGGTAGACTCCGCCAAGGTAATACACTTTTTTTGTTATGGGGCTGTATGTTGCTGATTGGTAAATAGGCAAAAAAGGATAGTTTTGATCGATTCTAAGCGGTTCGGTAGGTACAGTATGCCAAGTCTATAATAAATGTTGATACAGATGGCTTAAATCTTAACTTTATGGCGTGTATCATACATTATCGGTAAGGTTTAACAGAGTCATATAATAAAAACCGACATAAGATTCGTGGAGTATTATGCGTTTGTCTGAACCAACGGGGTATGAAATATCCACATTAGTCATGATGCTGCCAGTAAGTGTGGTATAGTTTCTTCCATCCGAGTGTCTATTATAAAAATGATAAATAAATCTCAATACTGTATTTATCAAAAATAAGTTATTCAGTCGTAGAATAGCACTTACAATTCCTTTCCGCCGTAAAATCCAACACAATTAATATTAGGCATATAAACAGTCGATGCGGAATAGCTATTGTTAAAAGATTAATTGCAGATATATATAAAAAAAATATCGACAAACTGGTTACATTTGTCTAAAGCCTCCATTTTGGGGATCATTGAAATCTGGAAGTGTATGCCAAACATTTTCAGCAGTGTTATAAATAACAGTTTTGTTGGCAATGGTCTTGTTTTTCTCATTAGCTCCACCTTCAAAAAGCATTGAAACACCATCAGGTAACATCACAAAGTTACTATCGTATCGATATTCAGTTACTAATTCAGAATTATTCTGTTGAATAACTTTCCATTTGTTGTATAAATTGGAAACGATATTGGATGGCTGATTTTTTATATCTAAAGACAACATACTGCTGTCAAACTTAGAAGCGCCTGGACTTCCTCCATAGCAAAATATTTTATTAGATGCAAAACCGCAAACTATATGATACGATTTTATAAAAAAAAAAAAGGTGGATCCACTGTTAAAAAAATATTTTGGACAATCACTTTTATGTTATTACCTGCAGCATTACGACCAGTTATTTCGCCAGTTTGAATGGTACATATAAGTAATGAAACTAAGTATAGTGTGAAAAGCAATTTCTTCATTATGATAAAATGTGGAATAAAGGAGCAAAATTTTTAAGGTCTTCGCCAGGGAGGCGAAGTAAATCCAGGATTAAGCCCGAGTAAAACCTACAAGGATTTAATTCCAGATATAGTAAAATGCAACCAAAGTGTTACGCAGATTGAAAATTCTACTAAAATGACTTACATTTTTTTTTACGTAGGGTAGTGAAAGTTTGTAGTAATTGTGCGACTACAGACTTTAGTAATATCAAATTCGAAGATATTTGTTGTACTAAATTCGGTTTTTTTTTCTTTACCTGGTAAATTTTCAACTTAAAAACTTATTATTGTGTTCAGGTTCAGTTACACTTTCGTTACATTGTGGCTACATGTTGGTTACATTTTTACTTTATCACTGAGGTTTTGCTCGGGGTTAAATCCGCCTCCCTGGCGAAGACCTTTGGGGTTTTCAGCCAGGGGAGCGAAAAAAAATACGATCTGGAAATCACAGAAGAAACTACCAGGTTTAATTCCAAATGAAGTAAAACAAATGTGCAAGCGTACATACATATTTCCACTACATTGACTTGTTCTAATTTTACGCTGTCTGCTATATTTACTTGCTCGAATTTTATATTTTATTTCGTTTTTTTTTTTTTTTTTTTTTTTTTCTGCCTTTATTCTTTTGGTATATATATCATTATTACGCTCAACGATGAATCCCAATACTTTTACTGAACAACAAATTTACGCTTTTCTTAGGGACAGCCAAATTTTCCTTAGTCGCAACGTAAGATCTGTGATTTGGATGTTCTGTAGATCTGGGAACAAGGATATACAATCAAAAACAATGTAACAATTACGAATAAATGTATATTAAACGATTTATACTTATTTTGGCAATTCTATCATCACTCTTTCGCCTATGAGCTCCTTTGATCATAATCTTACGCAGAAATATTAAGGTAAAGTCCAAACGAGAAGCTAAAAGTAAGATGTAAAACACATATACTAGTTTAAACTATGTTGGTTATAATAAATGTGTATATATTTCAAGTTGTTAAGTTATATTGACCTCTTGATGTCTATAAAAGTATCATAATCTCAATATTATGACTACGCGCACCCTGGCTGTCCCTAAGAAAATTTGGCTGTCCCTAAGAGACCCGACAAACTTACGTTTTGTTTGAAATGCTGTCTGAGTTCAAACAACAAATCGATGTAAATTGAATAAACGGAACAAATAGAGCAGTTTGAGGCTATGGATATAATTCACTTGGACCCAAAAGACCCCATTTTCACCGCTTTAAAAATACTCCATCAGAAGGAAAAATTGGAAAGAACCAAAAAAGAGTAAAGAGATCAAGTTTGTTCAAGATTTTAAGCCTAATAAGAACATCAAGACGTTTAAATTGTTTTTTTTTTTTTTTTTGCAAAATACTTTGGCTTATTTGGTTATGATATATGACAGGAAATGGAAAGGGGAGTGATAAAATATGGATCAAAATGTAGAAAAAAATGACGATAAAATCGAAAAGATGCTAAACCAAAGCTTAGATACCTTCGTCAGGGTTGATACTTGGTGTTGTAGGTTCTGGTGCGAGTGCTGCTGGTTGACGATTACGAAAGAGATTCATTAAATCTCGCATCATATCTAATCTTGTGCTCCTGTCTAATGTTGCGATTCTTTCGTTTGATTCTCGGTTTAATGTTGCAAGTCTTTCCCTTCTTTCTGACTCGGCTTCTCTACTTAACCTATCCAGTCGACGGTGTTCCGCTGCTTGCAACACTGATCTTTGATAAGTTTCATTGATTGAGCTAAATTGCTCCGTCATTGTTCTCATAGTTGTCTTCATGCATTGTGTATATCTTTCAGCGTTTTGAAGATACGCTTCCTGTAAACTTAAACCATGAGTCCTTACAGCAGAGTAAGTAGGTCGTGTTGATGCCGATGCTGGTGTTTGAGCTGGCACTGATGTGACTGCCGGTGTTGCTCTTGCTGATGCTAATGTTGGTGATGGTGATGCAGTGGGTGTTAATGTTTGGTGGGGAGGACTATAAGCCGAAGCAACATCTTCATTCATGATACATGCAACAAGTTCGTCCAAATGTTCTCTTAAAAATGCTGGAGTAGAGGACATCGTTTTCGTGTATGTCTCTCCATCTTCTTGGAGAATGGTAGTAATGGTAGTTCCTGCAACACCATCCTGAATGGTTGATGTTTCGATGGTATAAGCTGGCCAAAAGAATGGATCACGGGCTGTAATATCCTTCATGATTATGTAATGTTCATATCTTGATTCAGGAGGAACTCCGCCAGAACCAGTACGTCTGATATCCACTAAAATCTCTCCGAAGACTCTTTTTATCGCCTGAAATTTATCCTGAGCGTATTTGACTTGTTGATATTTTGATTGGAAGCGTGTATGTGTAGTTGCATACTGAACAACTTCAGGTACGAGGATGAATTTTGCATGAAGATCCACCCATAATCTTGTTTTACCATCATTGTCAAGTTGGGAGTGCTTTTGGTAAAATCTCTCATCCAAAATGCACTGCAGCAAGATACTTTCAATAGCAGTAGTCCACTCACCAGGGTGATCAGGTGAAATGAGCTCTTCCTCCTCCTCCTCCTCCTCTTCGACTTCATCCTCTTGTTGCTGTTGGTACTGTTGTTGTTGTTGCTGGAATTGCTGAAACTGTTCAGGCTGCTGTGGATGATGCTGCTGTGGATTCTCAGGTACGTCGGAGGTGGTGTTGTTGAGAAATTGATTCATACTATTTATTGACAGGAATGTTATTTTTTTTTAAAAAAAAAAAAGATTTACGTGTTTTTATTCAAAGAAAAAAAAATATGCGGAGAGAAAGAGTGAAAAAGGTATTTTAATAAAATGTTATTGTTTGTATTGATCGTGAAGCTACAGAGACTTTAGTAATGTCAAATGTGGAAATGATTTTAGTAAAGTTTCCAAAGGCGAAATTCTTAACTTATGGAAATCTACTCAAAATCACAAACACTGCATGTTTGTTTAGTCACGTTTTCTCGGGATTTCCCAAATTGTATCTTTTTTTTTTTTTTGCTCCCCCCCCCCCCTGGTGGTGTAAGACCTTTAATGATACGCCGCACATATATTGTTTGCTATAACAAATAGACCCATTCTGGTACAAAGTAAATTTATTTGTTAGATTTATCTGAAGTGCAATTTAGATAGTGAATTGACAATAAGATGGTATGATTTTTTTTTCTCTCTCTCTTGTGTCTTAGAGATACGGCGCACTTATCAAAAAAAAAAAAGCATTTATTCATAGTTTCATTATTATTATTTTCTTTCGTGTGCTTTCATAATAAACTCACAATGGACATCAACTATAAGAGTTTCCATTGTTGTTCAATAGATACATGCAATGTAAATGAAAAAAGCGGTTAGATAAATTGTTAATGACAGACTGCAGCTTTTCAAGATATACATGATAAGATAAGCGAACAACCCCCTGTTTATGAAGAATAGGTATGACAAGAAAAACTTGATTGTACAATTCCCTTCTTATCTAGACCTTTTTTTTTTTTTAGTTTTTCTCACGTATCTTTGAAAACGATTTGTGTGTGTGTTTTTTTAAAGAATGCTTCAATTTAAGCTTTTTGATAATTAAACTTTTTGTGCCGCAAAAAAAAAAAAGTCTAAATTAAAGGTGCGCTTAGGAGGGGCACCTACACTTTAGATTAGAGATGTGGGAAAAAATTCGTCATTTAGAGATTACACAGTCACGATTAGAAAAAAAAAAAAAATATACCCCATCACACAAAAAGAGTATTTGATAGTTTTTTTTTTTTTAATTTTACATTCTTAACATTTATATTCAACATGGCTGATATTGAACGTCTCAAGAGCTTACTTGGTACACATGAAGACTTTCCCCAAAAGGTACCTTAAAAAAAAAAAAAAAAAAAAAAAAAATAGAGGCTAAAAAAAAAAGTGAACATAGGGCATTGTCTTCAAGGACATGTTCCCCATTTTCCAAGATCCCACTGCTGTTGAGGCACTCATCTGTAACATTGTTCAACATATCAATGCTACTTATGAGGAAAAGATTGACGCTGTTGTTGGTGAGTTGTTGAAAAGAGGAATGACATACGAGATAGGAAGCAGGATAAACTAATGGTTTTATAGGTCTTGATGCCCGTGGTTTCTTATTTGGTCCCTTGGTTGCTCTTCGTTTAGGTGCTGCTTTTGTACCTGTTCGTAAGCAAGGTAAGTTACCCGGAGACTGTGCTCAAGCCATTTACAAGAAGGAGTATGGAGAGGTAAAAAGAAAGAAGAAAAAGAGATGGGGAGGAGGTTTTTTTTGTTACTGACACTATACATAGGATGTCTTTGAGATCCAAAGAGCTTCTCTCAAGGAAGGTGCTCGTGTGATTGTCATTGATGATTTAATTGCCACTGGTGGTTCTGCTGCCGCTGCTGGTGAGCTTATCAAGAAGTGTAACGCCAAGACTGTTGAATACGTTTTTGTCATGGAGCTTGATTTCTTGCACGGTGCTGAGGTTTTGGATGCTCCCGTCTACTCTTTAATCCACTTGTAAATTAAAAAAATTAAATTTATTCATGTCACGGTATTCCATACACACACACACACACGTGAGAGGGCTGTTTAAGGCAACTTGCTTTTTTTATTATTTCTATTTTTTTATTGTTATTACATCTCTCTTCTCTTAAACCTTGAAATCATGGAGTTTGAGGAAGTCAATGATTTTTTAAGAGCTGGACAAACCGAACCAGAGTTATTTTATAACGCACTGGTATACCAACAACAACCCGTAACGCGAAAACCCACACTTTCAAACTTTGTTCATCGTCTTAAACAGCATTCGAGTAAGACTCGCTTTGTAAGTCAATATAAAAAGTTGTCGGATAACTTGACCAGTGACGACGAAGAATTGGCACCAGACAATGGTAACCCCCTTTCTTGCTCTTTTCTTTTCTGTGTGCTTAAATAATAATAAACCCCCCTCCTTTTTTAATTTGATAAATTAGTTTCGATACGAATCATAGATCCTATTCGATCACGTGAAGAGGAGGAGGAAGAGGAGGTAGTGAGGACAGTGATCAAAGGAGAAAAGAAACCGATGAAGAGGGTGATGATTAATGAGAGTGCCAATCAAATACGAGGAGATATCGTCATGGTTACTGACGATCATGACGAAGAGATAAGCAAGGATTACATGTAAGAACAATAAAAAACCCTTAATTTTTTAGAGTTTAAAACTAAATGATGATATAGCACATTAGATGAGGCAATGACCCTGATACACAAGGATTTGTGTGAAAAACATGACGACATTGAGCGAGAGATGAAACGTATCGAATACAATAAGGAAGAAATCAGACGGTATCGCGAAAACCTAATCGGGATGCAAGCACAATTGGACATGTATCTTTATTCGTTAGTGAGTATTCAAAATGACCATCTCACAGACATGAAGGCCCATGAAAACAAGTCGTATCGTAACGCCGAAAAGATAAAGGAAACCAAGAGACGTAATGCTTACTTGAAATCACGCTTTGAAAAGTTTCGACAAGCCATTAGTATTGATACCCGTCTGATGGAATTAGAACGTAAGATTGCTGCCGCTTGTAAACGAGATGAGATTTGGGCCAAAGTACGGGATTTAATTCTCTCTACTCTATTAATTTTACTGGTCATCTCTTCCTTTATTGCCATGGCAGACTTTTAATAATAAAAAAAAAATGATGTTTATTGTAGAATGACTTTTTTTTTTTTTTTTTTTTACACGCGAAGTGCTTGGATGGTCTTTCCAAAGCCCACACCGATCCATTCAGGAGCAGATTTACTCCAGGTAAGGGAATTGACTTCTGCATCCGCAACATAAGCCAATAATGGATCCTGTACAGAACGTGGTGGTTGATGCGTATAGCGTTGTTGTTGTGAGTTTTGTTGTTGATGATGGTAATAAGAACGACTGTCATTGGTAGAAGATTGTTGATTGATATTCCAGACGAGTACCTGAGAGTCATCACCACCTGTGGCAATCTGACCTGATTCAGTAGGAGACCAAGAGAGACAATTGATACTACCACTATGACTCTTTGAAAGTTCAGCTACAGGAGCACTAGGGTAACGAATATCGAGGATTTGAACAATGGCTGAATCCATATGAAATGTGGCTAATAGATTAGAGTTCATGCGACTGAATTGAAGACGTAATAATGGCACCGTTGAATTCGAAGTCATGCGATCTCGTGTGCTTGAATTAGCTGTGGGTGGAGGTTGTTGTGCTTCATAGAGGATAGTAGAATGTTCTAATGATCTCAGGTCAAACAATCGAACCGAACCATCTGCACCTACACTAGCAAATGTATCAGCAGAACCATGCATGAAGGCTACATCATACACGTCACTGTCATGAGCAATTAATTGTGTCTTGGCTTGATTTGTTTCAACATTCCAAACTGTACATGTTGTATCAATACTCGATGTCACTACCAGTGATGGATCTGTTTCGTTCCAATCAAATGATGTCAATGGGGCGCAAAAGTCGGATTGCTTCATCTAATGTAGATGTATAAGATTGTCATTAATTTTCTAAATGCTATTTTTGTTTTTCTATGACACACATAATAATAATAAAAAAAAAAAAAAAATCCTTACATTGACAAGTTCTGCCTTCTTCACAAGTCGTTGTTGATGACCGGGAAGATTATTAGCTCGACTAGAACTGTTGATAGAATTAGTTTGTCCGTAACCTGGATCATCTACTAATTCCCAGATTCGCAGGATATCACCTGTGGTAGCTAAAAGATCGCTACTTCTTGCATCACTCTGATGAAAGAAATATTAAAACCCCGTTTTACGCACAAACCCTCTCTCTCTCTCTCGCTTATTTTTTTACCTTTCGTGGTTCCCACAAGACTTTTGTGATGGGATAATACGAGTCTGCTTCGGCCACTGGTGTAAAATCGTTTCTTTGGTCGATAGAACCATTGTTTTCCAGCAAGTCTGTACGAGAGATAATTTGTAGCTTTATTATAAAAGGTAGTGTTAATGAGAGATGATGATGAAGAAAGAAAAAGAGATGTTTACCTTATTGTTACTGTCTTCAATGAAACTACCGACAGCTAATCGGAAACTCTTTTGTTCAATGGGTGTTTTACACCAATCTAAAGCATAAGTCAACCAAGGAGCATCATATTGGTATATTTCTTTAGATGGTGGTTGCACTGTGTCCTGTGCTGCACGTTGTTGTTGGTATGGGTAAGAAGAGTAGTGGGTATTTCGTGAGGTGTCCATTTTTTTTTTTCCCTGCAAAAAGAAAAAGAAAAGAGAGAGAGAGACAGAGAAAAGAGAGAGAGAAAAAAAAGGTGTGTGTGTATGTACGAAAAAGGGGTACGCGTGCCAAAGGGAGATATAAAAAAAAAAAAAAAAAAAAAAAAAATCAGCCAATCACAAAAAGAAAAGAGGTTTTATTAAGTAATTTGTAAATTTTAATATGTAATGCACTCTATCCCGGCCCTTCTTTATTCAATGTAGAGTGATGTAGACTTTTTTTATGGGGAGGATGCAAGGAGAGGCGCAGCTATGTTTGGGTGATGTAGTAAAAAAAAAATAAGATTAAATAAGATCGGTCCGAACAAAATTTAGTCGATCCGAGAGAGAAAAATGATACAAACTTTTGTAAATAAAATCTGCTACAAGTTTCATCCTTTTTCTTAGAAAAAGTGAGCAAATTTTATTTATTTATAAACGTTTCATCTCTGATATGGTGAGAGGAGCACACCTTAATTGACACTTTATTCTGCCTCTCTTTTTTTTTTTTTTTTTTTTTATATATTATACACTTGCCCCTAGTGTGTATCATCTTGCACATGATATCATTATTATTTTATTTACTATAAATACGCCCATTATTATTTTTTTTTTCCCCCTCTTTTTTTACTTCTTTTTTCCCCATCTTTTTTTTATTTTTTAAAAAAAAATGACTGAATACGCGATACCGCCTATTATGCTACCAACCACTACCAGTAACCATAACAATGTGATTCGTCGTCGCTCCTCAATTCGACGAGGCACCATTGCCAGTATTTGTAAAGATGTACGAGTCAATGATGTAGTTGAAATCATCAAGAAACAAAAAGCACTACAGCAACAAGAGAGAAACGTAGGAGAGGATAAATTGTTAAAGAGAAGACACAGTATGATGAACTTGAGGCCTAAATCCGTCATCGCCGTCGTCAATAATAATAAAGTGTCAGATAAACAAATGGCTAAATCCCGATTGGTGGTAGAGGAAGGAGTAATTGGCCATCTTAGAAAATGTGTTGCCTGTAATCATCCTCATGAAGAAGAAGACTGTGGTAATAGTTCAACAGATTCCTCAGAAGAAGATAATTGTCTTTCTCCATCCACCTCCTCTTCATCTTCTTCTGCAGAATTAATAATGAGGCCATTTATTCATAAAAAGATAAATGAGGAGGAAAGTAACACACTTGTTGAAGATGTGGAACAACGTGGGCAACTCATCCAAAATTTAAATTCCAGTATCACTGGTTACTCTACCCACATTAAAGAATTCATCCACAATTCCCCTTATTACAATGAACACGAATACAAGACAAAGGTGGACACATGCAAGGCACTTGTAGCACAACAACAATCATTGCTCGACAAACTCCAAACAACAATAACAACAACAATACAACCACCATCATCGACATTACCATCCCAACCATTTTTACCACCAGCACTAGCACCATCACCAGCACCAGCAGATGAACCCACACCGGTTACTACTACTACAAACATAAGCCCCATCAAATCCCTTTACACTGAAATTTATAAGGGGCTTAAATCCAGTACCACCGGTTTCACCATCAAGCAAAAAAAGGATAAAAATGACGCTGATACAATTATTGCTGTAAAAGGTGTCTGTACTACCGTTGAGGCTTCTTTGATTCCAGACAGGGTAAAGTCTCTCTCTTTTTCTTTTAAAAATAGAGTTATAAGCTAACCTTATAGTTCACATATATAGCTTCGAGCGACAACGACACAGGATGATATCACCACATTTCATCAATCGAGTGTATATCAACACCAATACTCATTAGAGATAACACAACACGATCGTTTGACCAAATATATTTTGATGCACCCTGATCAATGGCAAAAGGACGAAAAAGTGAACACCTGTTCTTTTAAAAACTGTCCTCATACATTTAACTGGTTTCAACGTAAACATCATTGTAGAGGTTGTGGCCAAATCTATTGTAACACTCATAGTGGTAACCGTCTTCCTTTATTTGATAAAGAAGCCAAGCCCGTCTTTTCTCGCGTATGTGATAATTGCTTTTATCATTTAGCCGCTCATTCTCTCTCATAAAATTTAAAAATCCCCCCCTTTACTATCTATTTTCTCATCTATACCAAAAAACCTTATTTCCTCCCCCCCCTCCCTATCCTTTTTTTTTTGCATAACCATCCCCATTTTAAAAAAATTATTTTTTTTTGTATTAAAACACCGTGCGCAAACATTAAAAAAAAAATGTCGCAGACGTCACTTTTTTTTTTTTTTTTTTAAACCTTTTTTTGGAATCATACAATCACGGGTAAAAAAAAAAAAGCTATAAATATCCCTCTCTAAACGCTATTATTCTTTTTCTTTTTTTTTTTTTTTTTTTTTTAACTACTTGAAAACCTTCTTTTTTCATAATGAGTACATGGCAACCACAACAACAAGGTTTACGAGAACTTGTTGTTTTATTACGAGACGCTGCTAATCCCTACAACAAGGAGCAATCGCTCATAAATATTGTAAAAAATTCATATGGTTTTGCAAACCCCTCTCTTTCCCGTTCCTTAAAAAAAGTTAACCTTCTTTTTTTTTATTGTTTGTAGCGATTACAATCCTTTCACACGTTTCCCGACTACAATGCATATCTGGTCTATATACTTGTTCAAATGAAAGAAGAAGCCATGGATACACGCATGATTGCAGGTTTACAATTAAAGAACAGTATCAAGGATCATTTCAATACGATCCCTCTCAACGTACTCGAGTATGTCAAACAATCCTGTATCCAACTTTTATTTCAACCCGATCTATCACCCATTAATAAGACAGTATCTGCCGTGATTGCTGCCATCATCGGTAGAGGTCAAGTACATAATTGGCCTCAGGTCTTGATGATCTTGATCGAAAAATTGACTGACACACAGACCCCACTTGTGCTCGAGGTATAAATATATACAGATAAAAAAAGTCGTTTATGTATGTGTGCGTACAATAAACTCAAAAGTCCCAATCCAAGGAAATAGATTTCTCTCGACACGTTAGTCATGATTTGTGAAGACGTAGCTCCCGAATTGGATAGTGAAATTGAAGGCATCAGACCACTTGGCCTGATGATCCCACACTTACTTTCGCTTTATTCGAATCCCGACCCACGTTTACGCTCACAGGCCATCAATGCAACGAGTCAATTCGTCTTATTGAAGAGCGTTTCCTTCACCGAACATTTACAACATATTTTAACCGCCGTCTATCATCCACTGGTCATGGGAGACCCTACAACTCGACAGGAGCTGAGTCGCATGATGACTCTCTTGTTAGAAGCTTACCCCGATGCCATGGAGCCTTACTTGTTGGTGGCTATTGAATATATGTTGAACGCCATGGAGGACGGTATGACAGTGACCGCCACGGATTTCTGGATCACCTATGCTCATCAAACGAAATATAAACCTCAATTGGAACCCTATTTACCTCGTTTGGTGGTTCAATTGTTGAACAACATGGTGTATTCCTCATCGGATCTCATTGATCTTAAACAAGTAGCGAAACATAAAGAAGAAGGTGAGATACGACCTCGTTATTTCTCTACCACTCAACATCAATCGGATCACCCTACTGCTGCTTCGAAAAAGAAGAAGACGAGGGAGGATGAATTAAGTGATCTGGAAGAGGAATCCGAGTCAGATGAATCCGATTCAGATGAGGATAACAGTTCATGCTCTTCTTCTTCTTCTTCCTCGTCCTCCAGTAGTGCTTCCTCTATCCAACATGTGGTTGAAGGAGAGGATTATGAGGATGGAGAGGATGCGGAATTCTATGCAAGAGATTCGCCAAGACAGTGTAGTGCATCGGCTTTGGAAATGTTGTCCGTGACCTTTGGAGACACCATGGCAACCATCTTGTTGGATCGTTTGGTACATCATACATTGGTCCATGATACTTGGCTTGTTCGTGAAAGTGGTATATTGGCTTTTGGTGCAGCGGCGGAAGGAGGTGTTCATGTCATGTACGACCATTTACCTCAATTGTTACCTTACCTACTCAAATCCATGAGCGACCCACAGGTAAATAATAATAATAAAAAGTGTGTTTCTGTGTGTGGGGGGGGGGGGAAGATGGAGGTTTGTATCGTTAACCCTTGATATATAATAGCCCTTGGTGAGGTCGATTGCTTGCTGGGCCGTAAGTAGGTTCTCGAATTGGTTAGTACGTGAACACAACAAGGCCACAAGTTTTTTTTTTTTTGAACCCGTGCTGTTTGGGTTACTAAATAGATTATTAGATTCAGATAGTCGAGTACAAGAATCTGCATGTACAGCGTTTATTGTTCTAACAGAAACAGCCGCAACGACCACCATTCCGTATATTCATCCGATTTTAACTCATACCAATCGTGCCTTTTCCATTTACGGACGAAAGAACCGACTTCTTTTGTATGATGCTGTGGGTACCTTGGCAGCGGCTGTCAAGTCACACTTGAACCAACCTCCATTTATTTGTTTATTAATGCCTCCCTTAATTTCTAAATGGAATCAACTCTCTGATAAGGACACAGATTTATTTCCATTACTAGAAGTAAATATATATAAAAAAAAAAAAAGATAACATGACATTGAAAATACACGCGGTTTTGGCAAGACTAACACATTTTTTTTTTCTTTCTATATTTAGTGTTTGTCTACCATCACGGCAGCTTTAGGAAAAGGGTTTATACAGTATGTAGATCCGGTTTTATCCAGATGTGTGAAACTTGTATTGTCTACATTACAAGAACAAATGTTGGCAGATCAACATCCTGAAGAAATGATGCCTCCCAACGTAGATTTCTTAATTGCTGCATTGGATTTGTTATCGGGGATTGTGCAAGGGTTAGGGTCGGCGATTGAGCCCTTGATTGCACAAACAAATCCTCCTTTACTTGCCTTACTGTGCAAATGTATCCACGTAAAAAAAAGAAAAAGAAAATGTCAACATCCCCCCCTTTGAGAGAAAGAGACTTATATATTTTTTTATTATTTTAATTATAGGATCCCGTGTCTGAAGTGTTACAGTCTACATTTGCGTTACTGGGAGATATTGCTATGGCCAGTTTCAACCTACTGGAACCTTACATGCATACAATATTCAGTGAAATGATTGGTATTCTTCATAACCGACAGTACATGATTCCAATCAGTGTATATAATAACGTATTGTGGGCACTGGGTGAGATGGTATTGCGATGGGATGCGAGACAGGTACAACGATACATTCCTAGTCTGATGGAGGTCCTCTTACCTTTACTTGTTCATGGTCATGTCCCCGCTTCGATTCATGAAAATGCCATGATTGCATTGGGAAGATTGGGTTTAGCTAGTCCCGTGCATGTAGCACCGTATTTAAGTCAATTTATCAAACCTTGGTTAGAGAAATCTTTATCGGTCCGAGAAGGAGATGAAAAAGAGACCGCTTTCCGAGGTCTGTGTGCCGTGATTAATCTAAACGCACAGGATGCTCACTCTGTAAAGCCAACCAAACCTGCCAAATTAAAAAAAAAAAAAAAAAAAAAAAAAAATGAAAAAAAAAAGAAGGGGGGGGGTTAGAAAAATCACTCATCAATTTTTTTTTTTTTTTTTTTTTAGGAGTTGGGATTATTGCTGGTCGCTATGGCTACTTGGAGAAATCCGGCGCCTCCTCTCGCTATGGAAATACAACATGTAAAAAAAAAAAAAAAAAAGATTGAATAATTTAAAGGCTTGTCTACCTTTTTTTTGGCTTTAACAATGAACCTTTTTTTTAATAGGTTGTAAAAGGGTTTCACGGTGTACTTACGCAAGACCAATGGGAACAAGCCTACGATCAATTAGATCCAGAAGCTCAAAACCAAATCTTGAAAATTCTAGCGCGTTGAAAAAAAAAAAAAAAAGGGGGAAGGCGGAGTTTTTTTGAGGGTGCTGCAAAAAGTCGATCCTTTCTTTTTTTTTTTTTTTTTTTTGTTGTTGTATGGAACACACATATATAAATAAATAAACTATTTACGAGTGACAATCAAAACATAAAGAAACAAAAGTGCACATGTTTTTTTAATGGGACCTGGGAATGCTTAAAAAAAAAAAGTCAGAATGTAAATATTTAAGGAGAGTGTGTTCTGGAACACACCCCAAATTCTAACAACAACATTAGGGAGAAAGCATAAATAAATAAAAAAAAGGGGTTGGTTGGAGGGATTTTTTTTTATTGGGATGAGAAAAAAAAAGAGAAAAACAGGTATAAAGAAAAAGATGAAAAAGGGGTGTGTTTGTGTTTGAAGGGGGAGAGTTGTCTATGAAACTTTTTTTGATCAATGTAGTTTTTTTTTTTTTTTTTTGTATGTTGCCTTTTTTTTTTTTTAGATGGCCAAACGAATCAAATCAGCCTTGGTTTCGATGACAGCAGGAGTATGAATAGTTTTACCAGCAACGACATCAGCAAGACCTTCACCAGCATAAGAGACCCAAGAAGAAAGTTCGAATTGAAGGGACTCGAAATCACCGTCGTGTACGACCTTACCCCCCGCGGCCTCAACAAAACGCACGTGTTGTGCCACGATGTCTCGTCTGGATGTTTCTGGACAATCAGCACCTGTTCCAGGAGCATTTTTGAGGGGAGAAAATTCGTCTTTACGATCCACTTCCAATACGGAAAAGTGATGAGCATAAGGAAAGACATCAAAGACGAAACATTCCAATTTCATACCACTGTTGGACTTGGGTGTCACTGTCTCACCTTGTTCATCAACAAACTTAATCTTCTTCTTAGCAATGTGATACTCCAATTGAGAAGCAAAGGAAGGCACACGTTCCAAAAACTCGGTGGAGAAGAAATGGTTAGCAATGTTGGCGGCTCTCAATTGAAGTGATCCATCCTCTTGTCGCTTCTCAGAGACCTCTTGTGAAATTTCAGAGTATTCAACAACACCGTATTTACCATCACGCACACAAACAACACCAACTGGTTCCTCGGGGGCGGATTTACTAACCACTTTCACACCACAATCGGTTCCCTTGGAAACAGAGTAACCGATAAAGACGGGATCGGCAACACGAGCAAGACAATTATCAACACAATAACAATGAGAATAAAGAATACCGCGCTTCTTCAATGAGTCAATGACGCCCTTATTTTGTACTGCAGCATAAATACCACCATTACCATCGGGTGCCATGGCCACCTTTTTTTTTAAAAAGAAGAAGAGTTAAAAATAGGTCATTGGGGGTGTTTTTTTTTTTCAAAAGCAGCGATTCTCTTTAAAATTTACCTTATCCTTTGCCTCTAAAATAATCTTACCATCCATCGTTAAACAAGGAAGAACACCTTAAAAAGAAAGGGTCAATGATACATGTAAACAAAACCCCCCTCGTTATTATAAATATTTACCTTGTTCAAAAAAGATGACGTTCTCTTCCTTTAAGCCGAAAAAGTTGTTCTTCTTGAAATAATCCAAGGTAGGAGCATGCGTAGGACCAGAGACCATGATGTACCAAGGGATGACGCAGGTGTCTAATTGACCAGCGGTGGTATATTGACGAGCGATTTCTTGAACACGTAAGATACGTTCAGCTTGTAATTGAAACAAGGTCTTCTTGGAAGGCAAGTTAATATCGTAACAACCTTTGGGAGCAGACGAACCAAGACGAGTGCCTTGACCACCCGCCATCAAGATAACGGCGACTTTACCTTGAGCAATTTGAGTGAGACCGATCGTTTCCCATTCACGAATCTTTTGAGGGGAGCTCTCCAATACGGATTCAAATACATTCTCGGGTAAAGGCTCAAATGTGGTATCTTGGTTTAAAACACTACTTTCAGCTCCTTCAATGGCCTTACGATAGATTTGATTCACACGTTCCACATCCACCTCCATCAGTTGCTTCAAAAGTGCAATTTGTCCCTCCACTTCAAGTTCTTGGAAAAACTTGAAAACATGACCTTGGCCGTAACTTTCGAAACGTTCACGAAGCGCTAAAAGCTCGGTTTCATTGACGGGAAGAGCTGAAGAAATAGTCATTTTGGAAATTTAGAAAAATAAAATGAGATGAAGAAAAAAACGAATTTATTTTATTATATTTTTTATTCTCTATTTATAAACAAAAAAATAAATAACTAGCGGGCTTTATAAATAGATATAAATATAAATATAAATAAAAATCTTTATAATAGATCCCGCGGAAAGTCAATTTCGTACAGCTGTAGTACACACACATTATTTTTTATTTTTATTATGTATTAATAAAGGAGGGTTAAAGGGGGAGGGGGGGGGGGGGTATTAATCGATTTTAAGTTGTATTCTAGGTGAGATCCATTCATCCCAATCACTCTTCTTCTTTCCATAAACACGTAATCCTCTTACTTTTAAACGATATTCACCCGACTTCACCATCTTGGGTTCATACCCACCATTCGTACCAGACAAGGTCACATCTTTAGGTACATACACACCGTTCCAATTCCATGTATAAAAAGCATTGGTGTATTCTGTGGTTGTCAAGGTGTTACGCATCATAAACGTACGTGATCCATCCGTAGGCATATCACCGATCACACTACCATACTTGTTTAAAACTTGAATTTGCAGTATCGACGTACCCGTTAACAATCGAACGAGCACGTAAGGTCCTTGGAAATTGGAGGCGAGGTCTGTTCGGATATGGAAATGACCTGTTTCTTGTGGCTCTAATGTGCCTGTACCGTTCGTGAATCCAATAGCGGGGAATGTGTAAGGTGCAGCCATGGAAGGCTTCGTGGAACGATCAAGGATGGGTAAATCTAGCATATTACCCTTCATACCAATATATGGCACCGCTGCCTCGTGATTCTTCTCGTCGTCATGGATACGTAAGTAACCTCCATACATGGCATGAGAATCTGACGTAAATCTGGTCGGAGGCTGGATACGGACACGGACCTGAACTGATTGTCCGGCAGGTACCACCAATTTGGTAAGAGAAAATTGGACACTGGCAACAGAGTCTTCGTCGCCGCCATAGAGACTCACAGGTTCCGTAGGTGTCAGGTCCGTCTTGTTGTTCATGGAATATCCGGTGGCTGTTAATGAAGCTGAATGACTGAGACGAAAGGTCACTTCGTTTTCGGTATCATGGTTATACACCGTCAAGACGTGTTCTTTGATAAAATGAGCAGTATCGTTGAAACTGAGTTTGGCAGGTGACACATGGAATCGTTCATAACCACCAATGGCTTGTGAAACATCAACAACACCAGCTCCTTGCCGAATAGGGGAATCACCATAATGTATAGCGGAGATGGGTTCTTTTACTATAATATCCACACAAAACGTTTTTTTTTTTTTTTAATTACATACACTCGTGCATATTTAATCAATTTATTTTTACCTTGACTAGCAAAATTCATTAAAAGGTGCTTGACCATGTCGGGCTTCATATCGGGCTGAGTATTTGAAAGCAACAAAGCCACTGTACCAGCAACATAAGGTGTTGAAAAGGAAGTACCGGATCTAAATCCGTACGATTTCAGGTATCGAGGTAAAGTGGAAAAGATATCACCACCGACTGCCATCAATTCAGGTTTCAACTCCAGTTGATTCGTAGGACCCAATGTAGAGAAACTGGCCACACTATCCCTGTACACCTCGGCAGATTTCAGGGCCACCAAGACCTTGGTGAATTCTGCATGTTTAGCCTCTTCAAAGGCGAACTTGGCATCATCATTGTTAATAAAGGCAATGGGTAGAACAGCCGTTGTCAAGATTTCGACGTCAGTCGTTGCATTTTGAATATTTGAGTAAAGGATGGCTGCAACGGCACCGGCATTTCGGGCATGCATGACTTTCTCTAAAGAAGTACAGTTGCCACCTTGATGGATCAAGGCAATCGTTCCATTGTATTTGTGTTTGTGAAGTGGAAGACAGGCATCGTTTTCGGCATTAAATTCTTTACCCGTAGATACAATCGGAAGCTTGTTTCCCAAGTTGAGAACAAAAGGTGTACTAGTGTAGGTACGGTAAGCTATTTATACACACAAAAAAAAGTTAAATAGTTGCTTTTTTTTTAAAAAAAGGAGAGAAAGAATAAACGTACCAATTTCGATAGCCTTTTTGGATTGGTTATACAACTTGAGAATATATCCAGGTACATGATCATTCATGGTAGATCCAACAGCAATCACATCTTTACCTGTTGCAGGGGAAGCAGTCAAGAAGACACCGCTCGTGCCAATGTTACCACTAGCCGTAATCACTGCTTAAAATATTAGTATAATTATTTTTATATTAAAAAAAAAAAAAATTGTATTACCATGGATTCCTTTGGCTACTAAACGATCAGCGACGACGGATAATACATCTTGAGCCCAACCTCCGCTCACGCCAAGTGAGATGCTAATCACGTCCATTTTAGCCTAATCAATCCCAAAGAATAAATAGTAGGGAGGAGAGGAGGAGGAGTGGGTGTTTATTTAGGGTTACGTCATGTGACTCATACATTTATAAATAGTTTTTTTTTTACTTTACCTCATAAGCCATTTCCATTGCTTTGATTATGATGTCGTTTGGTGCAGTAGGGAAATTACAGCCGTACACTCTAAAAAAAAAAATTTGTTTTGGGATTAGCCGGAAAAAAAATAAATAAATAAAACAATGAAAAAAATGTGTTGTCTTGTTTTAGTTTACCTCCACATACCAATGGTAGCGCCTGGAGCAACACCATTCCAGTTCTAAAAAGTTAAGTCGTGATGAAGGGAGGGAGGGAGGAGTAAAAGAAAAAAGTTAATATTTAATAATTTAGGAGTGATAAAAGAATCAATGGGATAATAAACGTACATATTCTTTATCTTCAGCAGCAATAATACCCGTGACAAAAGTTCCATGGCCCGTGGCTGAAGCTAATAAAAAGCGACACGTAAAAAAAAAAAAAAAAAAAAAAAAAAAAAAAAAATGTTAAAAGATGAAACATTAAATTCATGTTACACATTTTTTTACTTGAGTTGGCAGGACAATCATCCATCGGGTCGTTACTTGATTTAATCGAACTCAATGAGCCATTGAAATTATTACCGACTAAATCATGGCCATAAGCAATTTTACAGCCTTTGCCAAAACATCCGCCTAATGCAGCCAAAGTGTAATCCACACCTTACAACAACAACAAAAAAAGAAAAGGTTAATATATAAAAAAAAACATTCGTGGTGAAGGAGTTTTTTTATCTACCTGAATCAATAATACCAATCTTGATACCAGAACCATTTGATTTTAAACTTTGGTACTTATTATTAGCTTGGGTCAGAATTTTTATAGTGTCCTATTTATAAATACGTTATATTGAATAAAAAATAAATCAAAAAAGGGTATTTTTTTTTTTAAAAAGAGGACATCTGCACTACCTTGTCTTGTGGTACAAATGTTCTGCTATCATCATTACTGTCGTCATGGTGATTTTTAAAGGGAGCCTGTTGTCGAATACGGTGATGGACAGGCCAAACGTTAAGATGGGATGGGAGATTGTGAGCAAAATGTTGATTGTTAAATTCGACAGCAGCGCCAGTAAAGATATCCGAATGATAGGTGTGTCGAATATTAGAAATCATGTCTTTGTTCTTTTCAAGAAACAAACGGGTCTCAGCCTCAGATGGAAATTCGATGATGTATTCGTCTGCTGCATGACATTTCGTGCTACAAAAAATGCTTACAAGAAATACAAGCAGTATTAGATGGTGTATCATGATGCTCGTATTTTTTTTAAATGAAAAAAGAAAGAAAGGAAAGAAAGAAAAAAAAAGATAAAAAGAATAAATGAATGGAGAAGGGGTTAAGAAATAACAAAAAAAAAATAAAAAAACTTAATTTATGTAGCCATGGGAAACCCAGTCATGGTTATATTTTATTCCCAGTAATATTACTCCTATGCTGAAAAGAGTTAGAAAAAAAAAAAAAGAGGACAACAATAATAAGGAGCGCTTTATCAAATAAAAACAGATGAAGAGTTTACATGTATGTTATGGTACAGAAAAAAAAAAAAAAAAAAAAAAAGATGGCATGTTTTTTTTATTTAATATACAAATGTTTAAATATAGATTTACAATTTTTTTTTTTTTTTTTTTTTTTTATTCTTGGCATATCACGGTAAAGAGAGAATTTCAGTCTGCAGAGCAAGTGACTTTTCGATAGCATCACAATAATTTTGATATTTTATAATTTCGTGTAAAAGATAATGCGATTTTGCTTCCCAGTTAGATTTCACTTTAGAGCTCAATTTGGGACAAGAAAGAAATCGTTTCTCCATCTTTGGCTTGATATCACGATGTTCATCTAATTGCACAGATAGCTCCTGAACATGTTTTATAAACGTTTGAAGTTGCCCTGATTCATCCAACATACTACTGCTCATCATCGGTGCGGGCGCCTCCCATTCATTAATCACTTCCACCACATCGCTCTCTAAACAGTCTCCCCATCCATATTCCATCGAACTCACACCACCTCGTAAAGGCTCTTTACTTTCACGCGCTGCCCAATAATTGCATGTCGAAACCCATTCATGGACCTGCTCAACTGACCCAACTTGAAACAAAAATACCGCCCCATTCGATTGCTGCAGTGCAAACGCATGTTGTCGTTGTCGACTGTAACCAGATGGTAATGCATTGGCCAACGTATGTTTCAAATCCACTGAACCAATCAGTTGCGCGTTAGACATCCAATCACCTCCACCCACAATCACATCGCTTGAAGTTGACATCTGTGAAGCTGTGTCCGAAAATGTCGAGTTGGATCTCGACATGATAGTCGTACGAATCGTATGACGTTTGGTCGTACTGCTGTTCGTGTCCAGTTTGTACATTCGAAGTTGACTGCGTTCAATCACCATGAAACAATCACGCCAATCGCGATGTTTGGCCTTTTGTCCCGTGCGTTCTAGCATGTGCTTACGTACAACCATGCCTTCTTTGTAGTAAGGAGCGTTGCTAATATAACAGGTGGGTATATCCGCATTCTGGAGGTGCGAGGCAACTGACTGGTAATGCATGACGGAAGTCGAGTTGGTTGATTGAATAGAAGAGATTGAATTATCTTCGTTACCCAAGATAGAGTCACGCGCACCCTTCCAAATAATGGTACCCATACCACGCTTGAAAGCCGCACTCACTCGGTTAGAAGAAGGGGGTGAGGAAGGGTTGGTGATTTGACTATGACGAATACTAGAATACATTTGTTTCAGTAAACTCTTGACTTCGATCTGCCATGCTTTCGAACCCAGAGTCCAGCTGGGAAAATGTCGAGAGTGTATGGAGGTGTTGGAATCAATAGAAGCCGCATAATTTGAGGATTTTGTTGATAGGGCACTTTGGTTACTAGAGGTACGTTGAAGAGGGATCCAATCAAGTGACCCGAACGAAAGACCGCTACTTGACCGATGATCGTCGACTTCTGCTGCAGGAGTTTCTAATTGAGCATGAATAGCATTCATCGTATTCTTTACAAAAGCAGATCGTGACATTTTCTTGTAATCTCCTTGGGCCACATGTAGATCCGTATTTAATAGCAAAAGCGAATAAACAATAGCATGAACTACGTCTACAATAAAAAAAAAAATTAAAAATTTAGAGTTTAGAGTCAAATATTCATTGCGGCATTTTAAAAAAAAAGAGGGGAGTTTTTGCGTTTGCTAACTAGCAAACTAACAAAGAGGAAAAAAAATCCTTTTTTTTTTTTTTTTAGTATCTTACCACTGGTGCCAAAGATACACTGAGGATTACATTCAAAATAGCGTACAGAGAATTGAGATAAGATACGATCAATTTGTTGTGTCTCTCCTTTCAAATGAAGTCTTGAACATAGACTACGAAAGGCTTGTTCAAGAAACAAGTCTTTGAAATCAAAAAGAATCATGTAAGATTGAAGAATCGAGTGACTGCATGGTTTTCCATTGCCTATCCATTCCACAACACGATCCAAATCATCATAGACGGTGATATCCTGATCCCAAATACGTTGGGCATACTCAGTAGCAGAATTATCAACAAGGGAAGAAGAAGAAGACATGGAAAAAGAGTCACTAACAGGACCCCAAAGTTGGCAATCTGGGATGGCTCTCTCGTTTTCAATGGCAGCTCTTGTGTGACCGTCTTTTTCTCATTCGATTACATACATCAGGCCAAAAAAAAAGGGGTGGGTGGGTTCTATGATGTGTGAAAGGGTTTGCTCCCCTCAATAACATTTCTTTTTGCTTCATCCTTCGTTATGATGTCAACCTTAAATGGACTCTTCCACTTATGCGCAATCTTAGGCTCCCTTTTCTCTAATCTAAACAAATGACAAGTGGAGACACATCCCCCACCCGCACTTGTTATTGGATCCCCCCCCCCTTTTTTTTTTTTAATTATGTAAAACTTTATATTATATTTTGTTTGTAGACCGATTCACCTGCTTTTTCTGCAGTAACAAAAGGCGGCATCTTACCTATATTTAGCTTCTTTTTTTGGGGAACAATGCAACTAAGCACATATACACAATATAGGCAGGCTGTCAAAAAAAAAAAAAAAAAAAAAAAAAAAAAAGAGTCGCACGCAATTTTATTTTATTTTATATTTTTTTTTTTCAGTGGATTAATTTGATCGATATCTGCGTTTCTTGAGGTAAAGGAATCAATTGTATCTGTCTAGTATCACTGTTAGTATACGATATATAATTAGGGAGAAGGCAGAGGGGGGGTTTATCTTTGTTTCAGAGTTTTAATCGTAACAAACGATTAGAACCGATCTGAATTTTATCTTGGACTAATTGAATTGGGGAGGAGACGTATATAAAAAAAGCTTCATGCTATTTTAACCGATACATCTTTCCTTTTCTCTTTCGACTTTTACTAGTTTTCTATAAGTTGTGTGTAATCTTGATTGCACTTTTTTTTTTTTTTTTGACTGATGGGGGATCTGTCGCTTTTTTAGAATATAGAAAATAAATAAAAAGCTATCTGCTCCTGCATAGCAACGGGCGACAGGGAAACATAAAAAAAAAATGATATGAAACAATCTCAACTCTCTAGGTCACTTGAGTTTAATGATCGTGTACGTGTATCACTAAGTGACCATTGCCAAAGTAACGATTTGTCAGCGTGGAAGGTTACTCAAATCACCACCTGTCTTATGTACAATCTGGAGAGGGACTATCTCGATGAAGATAGCATATCTAAACGGGGAGATTATACATGGCTTGCATTTTACGTACAAGGAAAAGGGTCCCCCAGGAGTTTTTTTTAATGCAATTATTTATTCCATGACACCATCCCCGTGTGTGTAAAATAGAAAAGCTATTGTTTTCTCCCCTTGAAAAAGTACTTTAAAAAAAAGCGTGTATTGAATTATCCCCCCTTCTCTTTCATTACACTCTAACCAATGGGAAGGTTCTTTTATCCCGTGCCAAGCGATTTCCTTCTCTTTTCATTTCTCTCTCTCGTGTGTTAATGGGGCTATAATAATAAGCTAAGCAAATTTTTTTTTTTTTAGATTATTGTGAAATTAAAAAAAGAGGAACAGGCTAGACGCAATTATTTTAGACTGATATTGAATGAACTCTGTCTCTTTTTCTTTTTTATTTTACCTATACATACGTGTTCCTTGCAGTTTTTACGAACAATGTTTAATTGAAACAAAAAATCTAGACCCTCCGCGTTGCCATCTAAATCGCGATAGACGTTGAGAAAAGACCGACTATGGAAAATCACTTTTTTTGAAACTGCGGTAGAACAAAAAATGGCCCAAAAAATAAATGAGATCATAGAAAATGATTTTGGTGAAACAGTAATGATAAATTCTGCTCTTTTTTTTGTATTTATATAAGCATTTTGGTAGAAAATATAAAGAGGGGGGGGGGCGCGAAAGGCGCACAGAATATGAGGTATAAAAACAAGTTTTGTTATTTTGTTTCCAATAAGGAAAAAAAATGACATGTGGGACTTTTTTTTGCAAATGATATCATTTTTATCTGTCCTAGTTGCTTTTTTTTTTATCTAACTGTTTATCATTCGGATGATGGCATATTAGAACGCTTAAAGTATCTCCCAAGGTTTGTTTATATTCGTTTGCAATGAGAGGAGAGGCGGGCGTAGCAGAACAAGCCTTTTATCATGTTATTTAAAGCAATGATAACATGTTTCATGTCTCATGTGACGTTGCTAGACAGAAGAATAAGAAGAAATCAGCAGAAGCAACCGGCAGCAGCAACAGGCTTAGTGGTTATTTAAAAAAACAAGCCAGATTCTCGGGAATAACAAGCTTATCTTTAAAAAAAAAGGATCCTTTTTTGGCGAGTAAGAGATACAATTCAAATTGTCAATGAATGGTTATATAAACAACGAATGTAAGTAGCATTGTACTGAGAAATCAATGTACGATTGTTTGTAAATAACACAAATAATGTATCATTAAAAAAAAAGCATAGATAGTTAATCCAGGGAAAAAAAAAATCTGTGGGAGTTTGAACCGGTTCACGTTACACAGATCACATCTTACCGGGAAAGCCCACATGTGCTTTGTCATATCAAGGAGCATACAAATTGTATCGATTTAGATGAATTCAATGGCAACATGTGTAAAAAAAAAAAAACTTTAACTGCTCGAGTACAATTGGTGCTACAAGAATGGTATATTCTGGCACAGGGGAATGACCTTTACACAATGATAAAAAAAAAGCCAAGATATTTTGTGAAGAGTAGTGCAAACTAATTAGGACTTGCGTGGTGAAACATTACCAACGAAATCCGAAAAAAAAAAAGAGTATAAACATCAAATAGGATAATAGGCAAGGTTTCTGGAAATGTAAACTTTAAAATTAAAAGAAAAAAAAAGGGGTGGGTAGGAGAAACACATTTATTAAAGCAATTGAAAACGATGGACTATTATACAAATTAGATTAGGGCAATTAAGTGAGGGTGGAGGTGTTATGTATAGGGTAGAAATGGGGGAGAGTGGGGGATATGTATGGGAGGAAAGGTCTTCTTCTTAAGCAGCAGCCTTCTTCTGCTTTTCGGGAATAGTTGTTTTCTGCGCTTTTTTAGCTCCCTTTTTGGCAAGCTCTCTTTCTAATTTAGCATCCATCTTGTTCAGCCAGGAATCTTTAATATACCAGAAATTACTTTCCTTTAATTTCTGCTTCTTTTCTTCACCAACCTAATAAGGAAAATGCTTTAAATAAACGGGAAAGAAAAATAAAAATTGATGAGCCTTACCAGATAGTTTGCATGCACTATAAACGGCTTTATGCCATGCTTGTTGGGCAAATCATGATTATAATAAACAAATCCGTTGGGAAAGTGCAACACATCCAATAAAACAACAGATGTTGTTCGGAGGTCCATATTAAGATTATTCAAAGCAGAATTCATGGAACCTTGTTGCGTCTTTCCTTCAACGGTATCTTGGATATGAATGGTTTCTGCTAGCAATCGCTTCATCTCGGTGGTTGGGCGCATAAGGTAAAAACCCGAATTGATTTCCTGTTGGTTGAGCCCTTCTTGCTGGAATAAGACATGTGTTTCTGGTCGTATTTGTAAAAATGTGTTCACATATTCCACAAGACGGGGTCTGAGCCAAACTATATCCACGTCCGAAAAGAACACATTAATATCAAGGTATAACAGCTGTTGCACGACGAGTGTCTTGGAATGAGTAATCACTCTGTACTCTTGACTGAAATAAGTTTTAAAATCAGCTTCTACTTGCTGGTGGAACCATACTTCAGGGATTAACGAAGCTCGATCCCCATAACCAGCCAAAGTTAAATGCTCAAGAAGCTTCTGATCAAAGCAGAAAATCAGAAACTTTTCTTCGCCCGTCAGTCTTAACGACTCTATCCAGTTGTAGACGTGGTTACGCATGCCATAGTTTGCTGTCGCCACAATCAGAACTCGATCTTCTAGTAAATTCTTGTTGATTTTCTCGGTGAGTTCCTTGGGTGCTGCAGGTAAAGTCTCTGGAATTTCAATTCGATTTTCTTCTTCGGCAGCAGCGGCGTTCGCGGCTGCTTCTGCTTCTGCTGCTGCGTTGGCGGAGGCTGATGCATCGCAATTGCATAAGGCTGGTTCATACATCGTTTCGTTATTAGATACGTCAAAAAATGTTTGTTCGTTACTTAAATAGCTTGAGTCGGCTACTTTAGATGTCGAATGACTTGAGTAAAGATGACTCATGTATACAAAGGAAGACAAGAAAAGCAAAAAAGCCGCAGCTAAAAGTCCCTTTTTCTGGTCTGTCAGTATCATTTTTTTTTTCTTTCGTATTTTTCTGAAATAGTAAAAGAAGAAGAAGAAGAAAGAGAGGGAGACTAAAGGGGATTAGAGTTTAAATACCTGGATTTTAAAAATTTTGAGCAAAACAGTGCTGGTGTAACCTATAAAAAAAAAGGTCGGATCTCTAAAAACTGGGTTATTAGTAGCCAAAAGATAATCGTCTAGAGATTGGATTGTCAAAGTTATCCCAAAACATGAAAATATCTAAGGTTGAGTCTTCTTGTGTGGTTTATATACCTATTTTAATCTGATTTTCTTTAAAAATTACCATCATATCTCTAACAGCGCTCATATCCTTTTGCCCAATCGTATGTCACATTTTGACAAGATAAAAGAGAACTTGCTTGTTGTACCTTTCATTCTCTCTTTTCAACTTTCAATTGTTCCTTTTTTTAAAAAATTATACTATGTGATACCTTGGTTTTTATTATCTCTAGTAAATCCTGTAAATGCATATACTTTCTGACCATACACTGAATATTTGTTTGGGAATGGATTAAGACTTTCGTCTAAGGTTACTTGGCATAAACAAGATGTGACGAGGTTTAAAATGCATATAAGCATAATAGTTTAAGAAAGATCAGACTGATATGATAAAGAAAGCACAAAGAAGCTTTATTTAAATAGTATGAAGAATGACGAAATAAAAATAAAAACTTATAACATCGGATGCATTTCAGTGATTGTCTTTTGTATGCTTGTTATAAAATTCTCTTGCTCTCTACAGGTCTGTACCCAAACATGTCATATAATTGATTATTCTTATCAACGGGTCTTGCCACATAGTCATTTCCGGATAAAGCATGCGATTTGTCCAAGAATAAAAGGGGGAGGAGGACCGTAGCAATGATATGGTAGTTTGGACGTAACACCACTTGTTAGGATTATAATAAGTACCACGGGTATATTGGAGGTGTGGATTTAGTTCATTTTTTTTTTTTTGTGCTTTCCGTTGAAGGGAGTTATCGGTACTTGGTTCAGAATCTGGAATTGAGATTACGGACTTTTGCCAACTTGCCAATGTCTCTCTGGATGGTCAGAAGATTTATCTTGATATCATGATGATGATCTCCTTAAATTTCGTAACTATGCTTGAAATAGCAAACGCGTATTTATGATTGATAACATATAACCCAACATCGAAAATATCTAGGTAAATATTAAACCATACATACTAAACAATGGCCTTTGCTAACCAAAAAGATTTTACTCAGTTTATTGGGAACAAAATCAGCAAGAGTGGACCGTAATTGGTTTCTATAAAAGATTGATTGAGCACAATCCTACCGTCACCAAAAGAATAGCTGTTGGAATTTTGAAGAACGACCCACTTGAGTTAAGGGTAGCTTTTGTATCAAACAAGGCCATAAAAAAGAAGATCGACGTACTTTGCCCCGAACTGAAAAAATCAACCACAATCATCGCAGAGTTCTGGAACAAGCACAGTGAGACACTCAAGGAAATAGCTCTTGAAAATTGCGTGGAAGAAAGTATGGTGGAACGTGAGCTGAAAAGAAAAGCCGTGGAAAGTATAAGTAGGCCTTCTTCATCAATGACAACTCCGGAACCCACACCTAATAAGCGTTTGAGGAGTAAAAAGATAAAGCAGAAGGAAAGAGCCGATGAGTCTGAGCTGGTGGAGTCAGATCATGTATTTATTGCTGGCTGTGACGTATCAGTAGGAACTATGATCAAACGGGCTGCTCGTAAAATACATGAAAACAACCAGTCTTTGTCTTGCCGAGAACGAAAAATCATGACATCAGGATTATCTTCTATACTGGATTTGTCGGATGATTCATTCGATTCACAACGCTCCCTTTTCACTGATGAACAATGGTACGAACTCCATGCAAGATACGAACCTATGTTTAAAACATCTGTATATGAACTTGATCCTCTTTCCCAAGATTTTTTAAAGATTGCTTGTTGTACTCTTGAACTGACCAACGATTATGACTGTGTCCTGAAATATCTACGAAAAGCACAGGAGCAGTGCAGTCGCGTATTGGGATTACCTTTAAAAATACCAGAGCATATTTTGTAAGTATCACTAAATCATATATAGCATTGAAATTAAATAGGATGAACCAGAGATCTGAAGTGTCCATAATTTTTGTATTTGTTTTTTCATCCACCACTTTAAGCGCTTTATCGACTGCATCTTTGGCTTCCCTCACCAACCTCCCTTCGTCTTTAGCAGCTTTTGAATTGGATGAATCGATTGCGCATTCTCCAACACCAAGGTCATGTTCTTCATCTCCTATGTCTACGAAAAAACGGAGATATAGGCCCTAAGGGTTTTCTGTTTATTGTACGGATGATAGATTTGAACTACCACATATTAGCTAAGATTACACCTATCACTCACGATTAATATGAATTTCCTCATAATTTATCAATTTTAAATGTCTTCACATACATACTCTCGTGATAAAGTTCTTTCTAATTAATCGTAGATGCGGAATCGATTGACTCCCCCCGCTTTGACACGGACAGGGTTGGATGGTGGAAAGAGTAGCAAAAAGATGGGTGACCATATGGTGCAGTAATAATCAAATTCAGTTACACCTTTAGTCGGATGTTGAGTCAAAAGATACTGATATGGTTTAGTGATACCCAAAATATGCTCTGCTATTTTTAAAGGTAATCCCAATACGCGACTGCACTGCTCCTGTGCTTTTCGTAGATATTTCAGGACACAGTCATAATCGTTGGTCAGTTCAAGAGTACAACAAACAATCTTTAAAAAATCTTGGGAAAGAGGATCAAGTTCATATACAGATGTTTTAAACATAGGTTCGTATCTTGCATGGAGTTCGTACCATTGTTCATCAGTGAAAAGGGAGCGTTGTGAATCGAATGAATCATCCGACAAATCCAGTATAGAAGATAATCCTGATGTCATGATTTTTCGTTCTCGGCAAGACAAAGACTGGTTGTTTTCATGTATTTTACGAGCAGCCCGTTTGATCATAGTTCCTACTGATACGTCACAGCCAGCAATAAATACATGATCTGACTCCACCAGCTCAGACTCATCGGCTCTTTCCTTCTGCTTTATCTTTTTACTCCTCAAACGCTTATTAGGTGTGGGTTCCGGAGTTGTCATTGATGAAGAAGGTCTACTTATACTTTCCACGGCTTTTCTTTTTAGCTCACGTTCCACCATACTTTCTTCCACGCAATTTTCAAGAGCTATTTCCTTGAGTGTCTCACTGTGTTTGTTCCAGAACTCTGCGATGATTGTGGTTGATTTTTTCAGTTCGGGGCAAAGTACGTCGATCTTCTTTTTTATGGCCTTGTTTGATACAAAAGCTACCCTTAACTCAAGTGGGTCGTTCTTCAAAATTCCAACAGCTATTCTTTTGGTGACGGTAGGATTGTGCTCAATTAACCTTTTGTAGAAACCAATTACGGTCAACTCTTGCTGATTTTACTCCCAATAAACTGAATAAAATCTTTTTGGTTAGCAGAGGCCTTTGTTTAGTATGTGTGGTTTGTTATTTACCAGGGAAGTTAAGTGAAGACGCCATGGCTTTTATTATTGCATTTTTTCGCGTTCAAACGACGTTGATATACAACTCCGCACCGAAAATATTCGACACTTTTCACAAAAATTTGAGTTCCTTTAGTCATGCATTTTTTTAAAACCAAAAACTTGTTAATAAAAGGTATCTCAAATTCTACCAAACTTGACAAAATAGCAATATATATATATATTTTGTAAAAAGAAACTTTTTTATTTACGTTAATAAGTGGTATTTGAGCCACGAGCTTTTTTTACTGCCCGGCATCTATCGGGCATACTTTCTACAAGCTTATGACACACTTCATCCCCCAACAACTTCCATTCCTGATGAAGTGCAACCTCCAATTCATTAAGATTTTGAAGCTGGGCTCTTCTTTTAGCAATCCTTTGTCCCAGGAGGCGCCAAAGGTTCTCAATCGGATTCAAATCGGGACTTTGAGCGGGCCATCGCTCAAAGCCTGCAATCCCAGCCTTCTCTTTCCACCACCTCGTATATCCTCCTGTATGGCATGGGGCACCGTCTTCTTGGAAAATAAAGTCATGACCATATTTCTCTGTCAATTGTTCAAGCCAAGGGAGAAAGTTTTGACTTAAACAATTGACATATTTTTCTTGATCGACAGACCCTTTTAGTGTCACCAAAGGGCCCAAACCGCCTGCCCAAAAACATCCCCATACCATCACTGATCCCTTACCAAATTTAAATGTTGGTAAAACAAATCTATCCATATACCTTTCACCCTTCTTTCTAATAACTCTCACACCACCGTCGTTGTGCCTGAGTGCGAATCGCGACTCATCGGACCAGATTACCTTCTTCCAGTCATCTAATGTCCAATTCATCTTGTCGTCGACCCATTCTCTTCGCGTTTTTTTATGTCTAAGACTCAAAAACGGTTTTTTGGAAGGTCTGCAAGAATAAAAACCGTTTTTGCGAAGTGCATTCCTCAATGTCGTCAGGCTGATTGGATCGGTAGCCTTCGCAAGATTTTGCATATGAACACTTAAAGGTTCAAAGGAGTCCCTTCGAACTAAAAGCGTCAGGTGATGCTCAGCTCTTGCTGTCAGCTTTGCTGGTCTTCCTGGACGAGGTTGGACAGTCGTGATCCCTTCAGTTCGATACTTTTTTATAATCGTAACAACGGTTGTTCTAGGAACGCCCAATTCTTTGCTGATTTGGGTACCTGTCCATTTGGCATGCTCTGCCAAACCGCAAATGACTCCACGATCGAAATCTGAAAGTTCCTTGCTTTTTCTAGAGACTTTGTTAGTAATGTCAGTAAGTGGCATGATAAATTGTGTAATAAAATATGAAAGAATCGTTGAACGAAGAAAGAGTAGGTTTATTTATTTTTTTGGCTCAAAACGGAAGTGTCGAATATTTTATGTGCGGAGTTGTATTTGAAAGTAAGATATTTTATAAACGCCAACGGATAAAAAAAAGGAGAATGTCTACGTATTTTTGTAAACTTTTCTACGCATTTTTTAGATTCACGTGATCCATTCTTTACTTACATATTTTGGATATCTAAAGAGGGCCTACTACTCTAGATTATGATCCACCGTAGTTGGTAAAAATGTAAGATACAGGCTTACAATGCCTACAACGGGTAACGGGAAAATCTTCATTATGTAGAGAAGTCTGTCCTTAGCCGTTATAACAAAAAATGGGAGTTTATCCTTTTTTTTAAAAAAAAGAAGTAATAGTTTAGTGTTTTTATAGAAAACAAAAGGTGTTTTTATAGAAAACAAAAGTTGTTATTAACTAACCTTTTCCAAATACTTAGTATTTCTCTTTAAAAAAGATGGTGTTATACAGAACATAAGAATAAAAAAGAAAAAAATGAAGAGAAGAAGGGAAGGAAGGAAAATGTTTGAATGGTTTTTATATGTAGACTGATAAAAAAGCCATTGTATACATCAGGATGATTCAATTGTCTATTTAATCAGAAGTGAGTTTTATTTATTAACTGATAAACAAGAGCTGGCTTACGTCAGGATGATTTAATTGTATATTTAATCACCCATATGTTTGAGCCTTCACATACTACAAAACAGGCGTATTCCTACTCCTAAAAAGCAGGCGCATAAAAAAGTACGTAGAAATTAAAGGGCCAAGGGCCGTAGGTGTAGACATTCTCAAAAAAAGAGGAATAAAAAGTCCGTCAAAGAAGAATTGGCAAGTTACCTCATGAGTGGTGGCTTGCGGGGCACCAGTAGAAAATAACGCGTATTTTTTTTTTTACTTGTATTTTTTTTTTTCTTTCTTTCTTCTTTCTCATCATGACTAAAACTTCTTCAAGCAAACAAAAAATGGCAAAAAAGCAAAGCAAGAAGAAGCAAAATACCGTTCATCCCTATCTTGAGTGTATTCAAGGTGAAATCGCCTCACTCCAAGAAGAAATAGTACGTATGTTTTGATATTTAAAACAAAAGAATTATGCTAACCTGAAACGTAGCATGCCATTGAAGAACTGAAAAACACAAGAGACCTGACCGATGAAGAACAGTTAGATTTAACGATTAAGAAGGCATGTCTTGAACGATACCAAGCTACCTTAACTCAACTTGTACGTTAAAAGAACATATTTAACAACTTTTTTTTTTTGTTTGTTTGCATAACTGATAATTAATTGTAGACGGGACAAAGCATGATAAATAAAGCGAATGCACATACAACAGTGGCAACTAATATAGCTTTAGAAAATCGACAAAGAGAAACCATGTCATTCTTACAACTAATGTATTTGATGAGACTTGGACAACTTGGACTTTATGACTGTATCGATCAAGCTCCTTCTTTAGACACGGTTGCAAATCTGTGTGATCAAATTATTGGCGCCGCAGTTTATTACGCAAAAGAATCGTCACCACAAATCAAGGATCAAAAAAGACTAAAGGTACACGAACTTTTACGAAAATGGGATCAGGCTTCAAATGATGTGATCGATGACACCGTGGACGATGGAACTACCTTTAAACAACTCAGAGACTTTTTACAACATATCTGGGATAACTCAAGGGAAATCAAAAATACATCAAACCATCGTCACCATCAAAACAACTCTGAAAAAACATATGCAGTGCTTCAATTTGAAGGCATGATTCCAAAAGAACCAGCCCATGATGATGTGCCAAAGACAAATGTTTCGGATTCAGAATCACATGTAGAGACAAATACAACGTGTGATCCATCGAGTCAAGCTAATGCGCCTGAAAACAGAGAGACTTCAAAGACATCTGATCACAGCGAGACTTTAAAGACACCTGAGACACCGGAGAGCGAAAATGCGGAAAAAACTCCATCAGAAGCCAGTGATCTCAACTCCTCAGAAATCAATACTAGCGAAGCATCGAGAAACGAATCAAGGGAACATGTTGAGGATGAAGTATTGTCAGTAGCCAGCAATAATTCTGATAGAAACGGAAAATCACGAAGCAAAGAGAGCAATAAAAAGGCAGAACCTAAAAGTGAATCATGGGAAGACTCGCACAAGTCTGGAAAGAACGACTGGAATAAGCATGGCTGGAAATCAATTGACAACAGCGTGAAAGGGCAAAGCTGGAATAATGCAGGTAAAAATAAATAAATAAAAAAAGGAATTGATTGATTGGATGAAACTAAAGCATCAAAAACTTAGACTCCCAACATAGTGAAAAGGTGATAGAAGACGAAAACAGACCTACGCAATCATCGGAATCACCTGTCATAGAACCTGTCAATCCAGCTGATGAGAATGTAGAGGCTACTGAATCAAAGCCATATGTTGACTCAAATGAAAATGATGATTGGAGACGAAGAGATGAAAATAGTGTCGGACGTGGTCGTGGTCGTGGACGTGGATCTCGTGGACGAGGAAAGTTTACAGACAGAGGAAGAGGAAGGGGTGGTCCTAGAGGACGTGGTAGGGGTAGAGTAAGAGACTATGATGAGGATTACAACCGTCACTATGAACCCACACCCCAACCACAGGAATAATCTTTTTTTTTTTTTTTTTTGTCCGAATAATATTATAATGTATACACAAATGCACAAACAATGATAAAAATCCCCTTTATTTGATAAACCAGTCATACCTTACGTTAATTGCTATTATCCAGACCGTAAATTCTTCTTTTTCTCTCTAGTTTCGTTTTTTTCTATATAACCAAATAAAAGGAAATGGGAGAACCGCTTATAAGACAGACACTGAGGGTCATTCTTACATAAACTAGTCAAATGATATTACTAACAACATGATACAAGGCTTAATAGAAGCCACAGTATAAAAGTAAAAAGCTCTATGGAATATCTTGAGACTTTAAAAAATTCAAAGTCATGATGGCTTTCAACCTCTCATTAGAAAAAGGAAGAGTACGTTTAATTATTTACAAAACCTGCATTTACAAAAAAAAAAGGCCTGGCAAGGGAAAGAAGGAAAGGAGGAAGTCATACATCAACAACCTATGTAGAAAAAGTTGAAAGTACAAGCAATGTGGTAGACAAGAAAACTTAATATTAATGTTTTTGTATGGTCTGGAGCCGTAAGCAATCGAGTTATAATTATCAAAACCACAGTTAAAAAACCATAGTTAAGCCAGCTTCAAATTTAAATGTCGCAAGTACTTTCACTTTTATCAAATGAATATTTTTAAAGCAATTGTATTCGGACAACGATATTGACATGAAAGGTTATGTCAACAAAGGTTTTTTTGTCAATGTGTTTCTTGCCCTGACTTATAAACAGGTGCGCGATGCCGCTTCCAGTGGAAAATCTAAGCTCGAATAAACTGTCTGTGATATTGGAATTAGTCTGTAATACCTATATACAGTGTATGGTTGAGTTCCTTGGACGCTTCATTCATTTGATTCAATAAGACTGCCTCTTTAACCAAGCTAAAAAGCTGTTAATAATTGTTCTTATAAATATACATACGCATATAAGGATGGTTTAAAAAAAGAACGATTTATATATATTTGATGTCGTTTTTGTCGAGTTCGTTGTGTATGACACATGTTCAACTACTCTGTTCTTTACACACCTTAATTGTTTAAATGTCTTTTCGGTAAGCCAAGTGTCATTTTTCCCCTGCATTATAACCTGAGGTGGGTCTTGATTACTCTGACTCCTTGATGGTGTACTTGTGCTTATACGCTTCAATTCAACTTAATTGTACCAACCGTATCTATTGAAATTAAGGTGACGGTGATCTAAATTCGATTCCTAATCAAGGCACAATAATGATAAAGCAAGACATCAACAAACTCTGATACGATTAATATGGACACACGTTACATTACCCAATTTAAGAAGCATGGGTTCAACCAGCCGTCATCGATTATCAACGTCCCTAACAACGCGTCTGACTACTTTCATTTGCAGCCTGATTTTGTGGCACTGTTTACTGAACATATGCTTATGATTTCTAAAGAGTATTATAGGAGTGCTCTTCGACAACATGATAGATAAAACAATTAAATGCAAATAAAATGAGGAACGAGTCAAGAGTTCAGTTTCTCCACAACTTTCTGCAAGAAGAGAATTGCAAATAGTCCATTCTTAAAGCAGCAGTGAGTAGTTATGCCGTTTATGTTTGATCATACTTCTTTGAAGATATCTATTTCAGTTTTGTCATGGATCAAATAAGATCCATAAAAGTACGGATGACAAGTGACTGACTTTTAGACCATTATTTTCTTTCTTTTTTTTCTTTGGAGTTTATGAGAAAATAGTGTATTCACATACAATATGGAAACGACAAGAAACATTGAAGTAAAAGAGACCATTGATAGTAAGAAAAAAACCCAAATGTAGGCATGTAGTGAATTGACATTTCCCAAGTTCTCGAAGATTTGTCTAGCTTACTGAACGCTGGTTTAGATAGAGAAACGCTTAGTTTATGTGTATCATTGTGTGAACGTGGTGTTAATCCGGAGGCGCTTGCCGTAAGTTATGTTTGACCGTTGTAAAGATCACTGGACCTGATGTTGAAATCTCCTCTTTTTTTTTTTAGACTGTCATTAAAGACTTACGTCAACAACAGCTTTCTGCTGCGGAAGCCAACAGTCTTAGCAATTAATTACAATAAAATAATAAAATAATAAAAAACTATACCCGCTCAAATATTACCGCTTCTTTTCTTTTTATAATGAAGCGTGACCACAGTGAGTCAGGACCCGATAGTTCAAAGAAACCCAAGACAGGTAATAAAAAACCAAAAGTCACATAGACAGAGTCAGTTTAAACTAAAGACTTTCACTTTAACCAGAACACCCTTTCTTTGACATGACTACAAAGAAGGCTATAAAATGGGTCAATGCTTTAGATTCAGTTTTGATTGCAAAGACTAAGGGATCAGAAACTGGAAAGAGTAAAATAGCAGCGTTTGATTTGGTAAGACAATGGGATACACTTTAGCGATATATTTCTCTCTAATATGACGTGATAAAGGATGGCACCCTTATATCTACAAAGAGTGGCAACACATACGCCAAAAATGAGCATGATTGGAAGTGGTGGGATCCATCTGTCCCTCAAAAAATCAAATCTTTACACAATGAAGGGTAGGTCAATTAATAATGTTATTGGGATTTTTTGTTGAAGGTTGTATTTTTTTTTTTTCGTATAGGTTTAAAATAGTAGTATTCTCTAATCAAAATGGATTGAATTCTGATAAGAAGATTAACAGTTTCAAGTTTAAAATTGAAACTATCTTGAACGAGGTAGATACACCCGTGCTTTTTATGGCAGCTTTGAAAAAGAACATATACAGGAAACCTATGACAGGGATGTGGGATTGGTTTGCTGAGAACAATGAGGCACATATTGATAAAGGCGCCAGCTTCTATGTTGGCGATGCTGCAGGTAGACAGGCCGAGTGGAAACCAAAGTATAAAAAGGACCATTCTTGTGGTGACAGAAAATTCGCTCAAAATATTCAAATTGAATTTTATACACCTGAAGAGTTCTTTTTAAAGGAACCAAAAGCCAAATTTTCGTGGGGCGGATTTAATCCTAAAGAATATTTATCTTCCAACCGTAAAGTATAACTGTGGACGATGTGATAAACAGTTCAATTAATCTTTTTTTTTAATAGTACCTCTTTATACGCCTGACACACCGTTGACTGTAGAAGATCACAATGAATTGATAGTTTGCGTAGGCTATCCCGCCAGTGGTAAAAGTAGTTTTGTCAAAAAGTTTATCGTGCCGAAAGGCTACGTTTATGTCAATCAAGACACGTTAAAGACCCGTGACAGATGTGTAAAAGCTTGCAAGGAAGCTTTGGCTAACAAACAATCCGTTGTCATTGATAACACCAATCCAGAAGCATCCACACGTAGTTTATATATTAAGCTTGCAAAGGACGCAAACGTGCCTGTCCGATGCTTCTACTTTGGTGATAATGAAGATTTAGCACAACACAATAATTACTATAGAGCACTTTACAAATCACAAGAAAAGAAGGATGTACTCAGTATTATTGCCTATCGCACATTTAAATCCAAACTTCAAGAACCTTCAACCAAAGAGGGATTCAGTGAAGTCAAGCGTATCAATTTCAAGTTTGATACTTCATCTGAAAAGGATACTGAAGCATGGTGTAGGTGGTGGGTTTAAATTTTGTTTCCATTAATGCGTTTTTTTTTTTTTTTTTTTTTTTTTTTTGCTACATAATAAAGATGGGTGCTGGTTTTTTTAAAAAAAAAGAGTGTTGTCATGCGAAGAGAAGATTTTATTACACTCGCACAAAAACAAACTTTGGTTCTGTTAATTTTTAGAGCAGTAAATTAATAAAAGTTGCAAGTTGTTTGGGAAAATACTAAGATGTATAAGATAGCCAAACGATCATAATCCAAAATGATATGATTATAATGTAGCGATAACCTTGGCATATAATTTCTTTTAATGAATGTTATATGTATATACATAGTATCAGAGCCGAATTTCTGCTTAAGTCTATACTAACATAAATAGTCGTTTTGGTTGTATTAAATACTTTGGAGAAAACCTCATCTTTCGCGAAACGGCCAGAACTATAACTTTTCTAACAGTTTTGCTTGTTGTTTTGGGTTTCCTGCCTCGCCTTGTGATAGTTCTACCAAAATTTCAAGTACCTTCGCTCTGTCAATGTTACTTAACGCTCTGGAATATATCTCGGTTCAATCAATAGTTCCAGATAAATTGCATTAATAAATGATCATAAAACAAATCCCCCCTTGTGTTTAATATGAAAATTAAAGCAATAGCCGGGAAAGTACAACTGGTTAATATGTTATACTTCATTACCATAATATGAGCACATCACCTTCCCAACAAAAGTTCTTACTTTAATGCACTCTTCATGTTCTAAATTGACAGAAGTTGATTTTGTTTTTGATAGCTTTGCTTCCGATGACCGGACAGAAGCTGGTTTGGTTTTCTTTCATGAGATTTAAAGATACCTGACTATCTTTAATTTAATAAAATTTCACAAACACAAATACCAAGAGCTACTTCCAACACTAAGGACAACGTCCAACACTAATTACACCAACAATAACCAACAATTACTGAATACATCAAGGATTACCGAGGGTAGCATCCATCATTTCCAAATATCGACCGTAAGTTGAGAGAGGGAAATGCGGTAAAAATAGAAGAGAAGCAGAAAAAAAAAATATAGAAAAAGCACAAAAGCTCTTCGCGGCAAGAGAAGAAGTTAGGTCTAAAAGCAATTTCAAATTTTAAACTTTATGTCAATTGATCGAACTACCTTACTGTCTAGTAATGATACCACTCAAATTATATAAATAATACAAAACTAAACGGTGGGATTAGCTTTTATGGGGAGGATCGACAGGGAACTTAGAATTGTAGTCTGATAACAGTAACCGAACCAATAATTTAAATTGAAGCGATACAGAACCTTTACAACAGTTCACATGAAGCTGTCAAAAATAAATTCACCCAAATTATCAACATCACACGTTATTCACTAAAAATAAAAAACAATGCGCGGTCGGGGAATCGAACCCCGGCCCTTCGCGTGGCAGGCGAAGATTATACCACTTAACCAACCGCGCTAATATATTTACCGTTTATGTAAGACAAAATTATATACCTATTATTTAAAAAAACAAAACAAGTCACGTGATATCCACGTGGACGTAATTTTATTGGCAGATATACTAGGTAAGACATCTTTTTGTACATAACGTCATTACCCCTGTAGGGGAATGTTGTCATTGTAAGACTGCAGCATACCAATTTGCTAAATTAAAAATGCTTTTAAGGCTGTAAGGGTTAGGATTTCCGGTACAAAGAAGAGACTTTTATGTGCCTCCCTCTATTATAAAATCCATAACCGCACTATAATTGTTAATGTTATGTGATAAATTCCGTGCTACTATTGTTTTAAAATTCAATGTTTATTAGAAGGAATATAAGGTAACAATATATAACATAACTATTGCCCAATTAGATGGGGAAATGCAATATGAAGAAGATGTATTATTTTCATCGGGTGATGTAACAGTATTATTGTCTTGTTCGGCACCAGGATTAGATGAAGTGCCTTTTGTTGTCTCTGTAGTATTAGCGTTTGTTACACCGGAAGTGGCGGATAGCTTAGCCAAACCGATTCTATTTTCTTTAAGATCGTAGACAGAATAAATGGATCTCAAAGTAGCTTCACCAAGAATCCAGGTTTCCCCGGTTGTTAATTGATAGCTTTCAGGAAGAGGAGCAATACCAAATATACAAGATAGCGAAGCTTCTGGTGTCAAAGCATCGTCGGCTGGAATGATTAATTCGGATAAGGGAACGGTAATTGTGATGGGAGTGGTAGAGACTGTGGAAGCAGAAGATGACATCATAAATTGTACGGTGGCTTTAGACTTTTTGGCTAGCTCACAGTTAACACGATATGCGCCATTGATTGTGTCTAAAACTGGCGCTCTTGTAGTAGAGGTGACAGACATAACGATGCTTTTGGCAATAGCTGTAGGAACATATGTCAAAGTAGTGCCTGTGTCTAAAATAAAATCGAGCAAAACATTACTTGGTGATTTGTAACCAGTAGATGTAGAAACGCCTTGACCTGGTACAGACCAATAATAATATGAACCGTTTTTGGTAGAGTTGGCTCCAAGATTAGGCGTAATATCGTAAGCTGATATATCATATGTAATAACGGGAAGGTATTGCATCTCTTTTTCATTATATTTGGTTGTATCAGTACCACCCAAAATAACCTCACCGCTTTTTCCGTATGCGAATTGGGAATTTAAAAATACAGAAAAGACCGGTTCAGGGATAATGTTGGATTGATAAAGGCCGGTAACAAAATGACCAGGTTTTGTTCCTTGTTTCGTACTGAGGTCGGGGAAACCAAGGCCGATAATTCCATTGCTGCTGTGCTCATCAGTTTCGCTTAAAATGTTGACAGTAGTTGAAACTAAACCGATAGTTTGGTCGTTCATTGTGGCGGGCCCAATAGTGACAGCATCAGTGGCATAAACACCTCTGGCTGATCCCATGCCGTAGTCGACGATCAATGGTTCAGGTAATTGTTTAAATGTGGAGGATGTGTGGTTCTCAAAACGGGTATGGGGACACATGGTAACTGGACAAGCTGTGGACGGGACCCAAAAATCAGAACTAAAACGAAATTAGGATGACGGTTTCGCATGGATTTTTTTTTTTTTACTGCTTTTTTCGTTTACCTTCCAGTGTCCAATGTCAAATTGAAATATTGGGGTGGAGTTCCCACACCCACTTCAACCAGATATTCTTTACCGTTGGCATTGATTAAAGATGCTTTTTTTGTATCTCGTTTGCTAAACCTGTTAGCAATGGTTGGAGAATTCGTTCTGGTGAAGGGCATTCTTAACACCATAGTCCCTGCTACAGTCGATGTGTAGAGTACAAATGAAAAAGCAATGATTATCATTGACTTCATTTGAAGGTAAGGAAAAGGAAGGTGATTTTAGAGGGGAAAGAAGGAAAGGAAAGGGGAAAAAAATAAGATGGGTAAACAATAAGAAGAAGAAATAAATTAGAATAGGTTAATTTATACAGAAGAAGTAGAGTAGAATGGGTTACACGAAAGAAAGTGCGGATTTGCTACTAATAACCCATTAATTCATTATGGGTCTTACCATGTTAATGAACTGGGAAAGGAAGCTTTCGTACAATAGTACGTATTAATGCATGCTGGTAAATTGAATCCTCTCTGAACAGGATTGAGGCACAGGTTCATATGAATATATGTGTGCAGGGATGTTTACGCCACCACAATTATTGTCTATCAAATTGATAAACAATTAATAATTTAGGCCTAGCCTGTGTAACCTTTATCGAGAAGCTCCCATATCCTTGCACCACATGGTGTAATTGCTTCAAACATTACTTTCTCTTTTAAATCGTATATTAGAAGTTACCTGTATATTTCTAAAAAAAAAAAAAAAAACAATGAATTAATTCAAAACACATCTCAAACTAAATTCAAAAGTCACTGTCGACAAGTGGTTGCCACCTTAATTTTTTATAAGATAGATTAACCATCACGAGCAAACGGAATCCCTGAAACTAATGGATTTTATCTTACCATACACGGTATCCTATTTCATTTATGTAGCGAAAAAACTGAGGTTGTAAAGAATAGAGTAAAATGCTATAAATGCGTATATTTTACAGCATACTATCCTGAACTAGATCTATTTGAATCATTATAAGCTATTGACAAGCATAATTTTTTTTTTTTATCATTTGAAGGTGGAAACGCCATATATGGTTGTAATAATTTATTTTTAAAGGGGGGTATAAAATTGGTGTCAAAATCGACGCCACTTGCTAGTGCTTGTAGTTGAGCCACAGACTAACACTGTCTGGTCCTACAAGATCACAAATAGTAGCAATCAGCAATTCTATTTCCACAGCCAACTGTTCCGAATTCATTAAATAGGCACTAAAAAAAGTATACTCTCGTTCACCAAGATGTTCAAATCGCATTGCGGGTAATTTACGTGCTCTGTTCGTTAGATTGCGCCTTGCTTTTGTCGGTCTAAGTACATACGGGGGCATGGGGGCTTTACTCGTTAGTGCATTTGAGCCCAGATGGAGTGCTATCAAATACGATGATATCATAGCTTTTCTTTCTTTCCATGTATCTTTTACAATCATCATTCGCCAAGGAAGCGGTATCTTATCCAAAGAGAATTCCATTTCTAACATTAAACTTAAAAGGTTGTCTAAAATTTGCAAGATGCGAAGGTACTTGTCTTCAGGAAATACACCTCGTAAGGCAGGCTCGAATCGACTTTGTTCTAACAATACACGTTCACCCTGTATTTGACGACGGATGGAGGCCGCAACTGATCGAAATAGTTTACGATTTGCTCGACGAGTATTTTCGTCTTCTGGTACGATTTTAAGAAGCAAGGCAAGGAAGATGAATAGAGGGCACCCAGCTCACTCAATGTCTTAGAAATACGATGCCGGAGTACCACACGTCCAGTTCGAGGGTACGGAAATACACTAATAAATAATGCTGCAAGTACACCAATTACGACATCAACGGTTCTCTATTCGAAACTGTCAGTTAAATCGTACTAGGCAAAAAAAAAAAAAAAAAAAGTAATTGAAGCTACCTCCCAGGTGATGACAAATACAGATACTGGCACTCCTTTGGGTCTATAACTGCTTGTATATCCAATGACTGATAGTTATGTAAGTAACTAAATTACAAACATGCAAATACAATGGAAACTTACTAAGAGAGATCGTAATTAAGGAGAACATGCCTGTAGCTTTCCAAAATTTCCCGTGAATATAAACCAACCACCAAGGTAGATTGAATATGAAGGTTAAAATAATTAATCCGGGTATGCTTCCTCTACTAGCTTCCCAAACAATCATAGCTACTACAGCGCCTATAAAAGTACCCAATGTTCTAGTCATAGTACTTGATAAAACAAAACATGGTAAAGTTAATATAAATTTCATCATATTTTCTTCTTTACCATTTACCCAAAAAAATTGCTTCCTACCGAAGGTCCCATCCATATCAATGCTACCACAACAGCCCATTGTCCTCGTACCTCATTATACCACTCGTACGATTCCTCTAAAAAACCGGGTAAAGATAGTAATGCAACAACGGTTGCAGCACGAAAAGAGAATATGGTATCTTGTGTATACAGATATTTCATCAGAAATGTATAAATTGAAAAGAAGATTCTCTGTATTCTTGTTTCGGGATAGGCAACATCGGGATCATGATATTCCAAAGGATCCAAAGTGTTTTGTAACCATGGATTAACATGTTTATTTGGCGTTTCTCCATAGTCATAAGGATGCCCTTCATGGTGTTCTGTTGGGGAATGAGCATGGCCACGATTAGGCGTTTGAATTTTGTATAGTTTGCGATCACCTTTTTCTAAATCATGTGGTACTGGGGCTGTATTAGCATTTTTGGATAGCGTTTTTTTTAAAGTTGTTGGACATGATGCTTCGGCAATTGAACATGGAGTATCCAGATCGAAATATTCTTCTGCCTTGTTGGATTGACGAAACCACTTTCTTAAACCAAGATGAGGCCACCACATCTTTCTCTTTATACGGACCTGATCCAGTTCATAAATTAATGACGTTAAAGTATAAACAGACTCGGCATATGCATATAAATTAAACTGGAACTTCAATAGCAAAAACAAGATCCTGCGAGGCACACCTGATTTTGTATATAATCTCTCCAAACCTATCAGTCGATGATGATGAAACTTTTTCATTGCTTCTAATAATTCAAGTGAAGGATCCACTAGACGTGCATATTCGTATTCCAAACTCTCCTTTTTGACCTTATCAGAGCCGACTCTCCAGCGATAATAATACTTGTAAAAAAACGGCTTATCTTGATATCGTGGATCCAAATTCTGCATCCGACGTAACCGCTTGATAGACTCTTTAATGGCTTCTGAGCAAGCATCAGTCAATTCTAAATAGGTCGGCTTTACAATATTGAGAACCTCGTCATAATCCTCACGCCAATATGTCATCACTTTCATTGAATCATCCCACCGAGTTCTTCTTCTGCGAGTACGACCACAAGTAGAGGTACTGGACGTGGATGAAATTGAGGTGTTACTAGAGGGTAATTGTGGGCTGATGGTGTCTAGTATATCCTGATCGTCTTCATCATCACTATCATCTGTTGTTCCTCCATAATAGCTACGAGGACGTCCTTGTTCGTCCCTTTCATCAGTATCGGTATCTAGGGCTTCATCTCTCAAATGTTCCATATTTTGTGCAACCGTTTTTTCTGCTTTTCTCATATTCTGCTCCATAGCGCGGCTGTGTCCTAAACCTTGAATTGGCACACGTAGAGTCTTAATTAAAGAGGTCAGCTCACTCACATCCGTGGGTGCAATAACATTGTATGAAGGTTCCCGTCTGACCATGCGTTTTTTCTGGACGAGATTCGCAATCAGGACATCGATCTTGTTGTGGTTAACAGCTAGTGTTTCGAGGGTATTGGGAATATCGCGTATTTGTGTGACACCAAGAAAAGTTGTAACTTGCTGTTGAGTTATGTCATTGAGGGTCTCGAGAACGGTAATTAGTTGCTGTACAAAGACACGAGTGCTATTTTCTGGAAAGATGAATAAGAAGCAAAAGAAGATAAGACCGAATCCAACCAAGGTCGAGACTAGCGATCGCAACTGGGTATTAAAAAAAAATGAGTTTAACCTGATTTAAAGTTTAGGAAGAGAACGATCTATTTTACCGTTGTGATGGGTTCAAATTGGGTATCTGATACAGCCGAAGTAAAACTGAGTACCATAATCGTAGCCGATAGCATACCACCTACATTGGCTTGTTCTACATTCACTCGAAACATATTTAGAGTAAAGCAACCAAATACTAGGAAACATGACAGGATGGCACATAGTTTAGGCTGAGCCAATCTTGTATCTGTCGGATCTCTTACTAAAGAAGCTAAAAATACACCAAGTATTGACCAGGCAGCTGAAATACAACACATAACGCCACCAAGCAAGACATCTTCAGCAATGAATCCATAGGATTTGTTCGGGTAAACAAATTCAACAGCAACTGAGGCTAAAATAGCAGAGGTCGTAGATACGTTACGTATTGGATCGATCAAAATAAATGAAAGGGCAATTGTGACAGCAATATTTGCCTTCAAAATCTTTACGCAAATTGGCCATGTCAAAGTATTCCAGATACCAATTAAACGTTCTCGAACTGTTTGCATTGGAACCAAGCGACCTGAAATCGATGCGAACCTAAACCGTGGCACATCTTTTTGCGCTCGCTTCACCTTGGGAGTCTTACTTTTTTTCATCTTTTTAAAAAAGAAAAGAAAAATGGTAAAAAGAGAGATAAGTTAAAAATCAAATCTTTTTTGTAAGGTTTCAGATTTATTTTCTCTATTTTTGGAAATAAAAACGTGAAAAAGAAGAGCCTTTTTACGGAACTAACAGCCCGCATAATCTACTTTTTGCCACTTCACCGTTTACATAGTTTTTCCCGAGACAATAACATTGTTGTGAAACTTTTTTTTTTTTTTTTCCTTTACTATTTAAAACATCAAAAAAAAAAAAAAAAAAAAAAATAGGTGCTTAGAAAAAGAAAGAGTCTATTTTTAATGGGGTAATACTGAATTGCGAGTGTTTATGGCTTTCCATGGTCTTTGACAGCATCAGCATTACTTTGGCTAGATGACGACATTGGAATTATATCCTTGTTTTGAGGCGACTTATTAGAAACTGTTTTAGCAACGGCATAGACTAAACCAGCAACGAAACCTATATTAAAAATATTTAAAATGTTGTCATGGCTAATACTTAAACTAACGTACCAACAATGATGGCAGAGATATTTCCAAAAGTGGCTTTATCTCCAAAAAACATGATACCAGAGGCAGCAATAGGTAATTTATTCAACGCACCAACCATCGAATATGTAGTAGATGAAGTGGTACGCACACACCAAGCGGAAGCATAAGACATTGCAAAAGCAGAAGCACCAGAAAAGATCATAGCAATAACCATTTGCTGACGGACCTCACTAGGACTAAAACGAAAAAAAAAAAAATTATTAAAGATAACCCCACACTTACTTTTATAAAACTTACAAGTTTCTAGCTAAACTTTCAGAACTCCAATCCTCAAAGATCAAACTAGGAATAATCAACAGAGGGATGGATAAAAGGTTATTGTAATAAACAGTGTCGAAATCCTTAAAGTTGGTGAGCTTGATTCTCTTGCGCATGTAAAGAACAAAAGCAGCTGATGCAATACAGTTTGTAGCCATCCAAAAATATCCAGCAATAGTTGTATCAAATTCGACAATTTGAGCTAATGTATCATTAACATCAGTCCAGCCAGCAATAATAGAAGAAAAGACCTGCATTTATATTTAGTACATATTCTTTTTCGTTTTTTTTTCTTCTCTTTTCTTTTCTTTCTTTGCTCCTTTCTTCTTATACTAACCATTAAACCAAAGGACACCAGCATTAAATGTGTCACTTTGCCTCCGAACCAAAGTACTTCACCATATGCAATAAGAATAATGGTTAAATTTTTAAAGATGGTATAAATTGGAATACGAAGGAATTGAAGTGCTTTTGAGCCGGTGTAAATCATGGCCACTAATGCGGCAGCAATGGGGTACCATTTACGAGCTTCTTCTTTATCGAATCCACGAAATTTGATAAGTCCGAGAAACTTGAAAGATTGTAATAGTAATACTGTAACGGCATTCTATAATTAAAAAAAAAAAGGGAGTGAATAAAGAATGCTGGGATGCTTTTGGAGATGAAATACCTGAATGGTTAACAAGAGAAAATTCATATTGAAATCATATCCACTTAATACGAATTTGTTGGTTACAGTCATAAGAATTGAAGCACAACAATAACTTGCAATGGGAAGAACTGCTCGCAAACCCGGAGACAGTTTAAATCTAGAAGATGCGACAATTGTTTGATTCGTTGACCCATTATCAACTTCTTGATCAATGACAACCTTATAATCAGGTTTACTTTCACCCATTTTATTATATATTCTAGTCCTTTAAAAGAGAGGGGTAAAAGAAATATAAAAAAATCTAATTTACACAAGAGGGCGGAGCTCAACGTGACTTTGAAGATCTAAAAGGCTGTTGTTCTTCTCTGACGATCGTTTCCACTTTTGGTAATAATTTTTTGTACAATCACATACTACGTATATTGTTTGCTCTTGCTAAATTCAATAAAATTCCGTTGAACTACTTTAAATTGGGATGGGCGCATAAACCATGATAACGTAAGCCTTGTTTATGTAAACGATATGAAGGGTTGATGTATATACAATCCCTGTAAATACCAATGACCCTGATGTTAATTTAAACGTCGACAATTAACTTTAAAAGTGGTTGTGTTACTTTCTTACTGCCTTAATTTAACACACAAAATTGAAGAATACGGGTCTTTTCAAAAAACATAGCTCGAGTGAATTCAACTAGGTATTTATCAGACATCTTTGTATTGGCGTAAAATTACTATCGGAATATTTCCACGTACCCCCATAAGCATCAACGCCTAGTTGTGTTGTTTGTTTTGTTTGTTTAACGTAATGTGGTTATTAATAGCCGAAATCTGGTGACAATTTGCCTCCAAGTGTTTTAAATGATAAAAATAGTTTATTCAGTTCTACAAAGAAGTTGATAAAACTGTATCATAATTGATATCAATCATAATCCATACTTGTATAGTATGAATCAATTATCGTACAGTCTTACACAAGCTAATTATTGGTTCGTATTAATAGTATTTTTCATTAGCGATGAGCGTTTATTTACGTTACCAAAATGGCACCTAAGGGAAATAGATAAAAATAGGGTCCAACTCAATTTCAGCATCACTTATTCTTCTTTCTCAATCAAAAGATGTTGTTCTATTCTCTTATTATCCTCGCTTGTATGAAATCGTTATGGGCACTTCTCTTACCAGGACCTTTCGAATGTAACAATGCTACAACTTCTTACTGCCAAAAGTTTCTCCAAAGCGGTGGTCTGAGCTGTCAATACAATACTCAAATCATATGCGTTCATGAAAACCAAGAAGCCAATGACAGAGACTACTGTCTAACAGATGCAACTTACAACTGCAGAACATTTATATCGGTTTATGGCTATACTTGTGATAAAGAAACCTGTATTATGTCACATTATCAGAATACTTAGTTCAATAAACAACTTTTTATTTTCTACTCGTCTTATTTTAAGCTTTGTACATCAGAAACCCCCCCCCACAACAACAGCCTTATTAACAATATGGCCCTTTAGATGTTTTATCCGTGCATAAATTGATAAGAGACGGAGGAGGAGAAAGGGTGGTGGTGGTGAGACATAATTCGTTAATATCAGTATAATTTCCAATACCTGAAAAAAAAACAGAAAGTGGCATCATTTTTGGGATTAAACAATATTTTCAAATCCTTTTTTTTTTTTCAATCCGTGTCATGGATATTGAAGTAAATTTCTGATTTAGTATCTAACTTTTTATTTGTAAAATACTTGCTTATTATGTATTTTATACACAATTATTATCCCTTGAGCTCTTTCCAAGCTATTAGCTTTCAATCTCATTTTTTGGTATGTAACACTTTATTTCAAATGTTAATGCGGTCAGTGAGCACAGTCGAGAAGGAGGATACAGAGGCTCATATGCAAAGTTGCTTGTTAAGTTGATTATTCTACTGATTTTTCCATATTTACTTTTGATGTAATTCTGGTCTTAAACATTATTGAGTGGTTGTTACAGTAAAATATTCCGTACAAAAAATGTTATCGGTTGATCTGGTGCCTGTGCCCCTCAGTTCACTACTGCTATTTACACTATTTTCATAAATTATTCGTGCACGCTTAGAATAAAATTTAAATCAGCGACAAAATAAATAATCGCTTAAAAATTATGCATAGTTTACAAAAGAAATGAACGAAAGAGTAATATATCTGTTATCATTAAATGGGTACATTGCCAGAAGTAGAAGGAAAATGTTTTATCATATTAAAGGACCTGGATAAGTGCCCTATTGCATGCGTATGTAACTCTTTTATTAAAAGCCTCATTTCATCCATGCTGCTTGAGCTTGCACTTGAAAATTATACGATTGGGTTTAGACCAAATAATTATTGTCTAGATATGTTGCGTTACCAAGAGTAAATTAAATATCAGAACTTCTTTATGAACGACACAATTAGTGGTAACAAATGTATAATTGGATAAGTATATGGATGCACTAGACTTCCTTCCTTACCTAACATCCTGAAAAGGTAACCTGTTTTTTTTGTCCAACTACAAACAAAAGACCTAAAAACGCTCAGACAAGTACACTTTTACTTGAAATAAAGTTTTATATCATTGTATGTATTAGGGGTATCTCAATTAATTTTTATTTTACTTTGAATGACACAATTATTTTCCGTTTGCTTTCGTATAATTTTTGAGCAATCTGAATTTTTCTGTGATGAATATGAGGTATTTGCCTTCTTTTTAAAAGAGATAAATATAAAATGAGAGCTAGAAAAGGTAAATTTATTATTGCTTCATGCAAATTTCAGTGATCCTATTGTTTTTCTCCGTTTAATCAATCACAACAACAATGAAATCTTATAGACAGTCGATAATAAAGTTTACCTCAATCTTTACTCAATTTTTATTTTTCTCTTTCATTGTTTTTTTACGTATAGCTATTTTTACTCTCAAACTCAAAATACTTTATACGTAAAAGGTAAATATTGTAACAACCAATCCAAAATTGAGTGACATTTATCTAACATGCTATTATAGCAAACTTCTTACTTGAAATAACCGTCCTTTTTCACCAGCATGGACTCTGATAGATCCTTGTCTGGAACGCCGCGTACACCTGGAAGCAATATGAGAACATCTAGATAAGCAGTTTGGTGTCGAAGTTGTTTGTGTCATAGGTAACTGGTCTGCTCCAAATACAAGATATCATGAGCCGGTCCGAAGCCTTGGATTTCGTCGGTTGCTTCAAAAGGTTGGTAAAAGGGTATACTTGATTGATGAATTTAGAACAAGTCAGTGCTGCCCAGCCTTTGAACGTAGAAATCTTGAAACGCTTCGGATGATTGATAACCCGCGCCTCACAGACGAAGAGAAAATCCTCGCGTGATCAGACATGGTTTCTTAAGGTATGTTGATTTTACTCGTTAATAATTTTTTTTTGATCTTGTGACAGATGTACAAATCAAAATTGTAGAGCCATGACTAATAATACAAATGGGATTGTTCCTCGTATATGGAATTGTGATATGGCTGCTTGCTTGAACATAGTTGATATTGTTCGAACACTTCGTGCTGAAAATGGCATTCTCCCAAGGTTTCGACGTGGAGAGGTTCCCCAGAACTAACAGAGAAAAGCAAAAACCCAAATAAACAAGCAAACATTAGAAATGTTCGTCAACGTCGTAACTAAAATTTTCCAAGCCTGTTAAATCGCAGGTCAACCAAAGATACACTTAAGTGGTAAGCTCAATTTTTTTTTTTTCGGTTTTTTAACCAATCCTTTTTCGGAAGATGAACGAATTTTTTTTACATTTTAATCTAATATTTTCTAAAAAATAGTGTACAAATCAACAAACATTGATCGCTTTAGACGTCTCAAAAATTTGTAAGCTATATTGAAGTTCAAACTAAATATGTATGGAAGTCAAATTGGGTTTTTTAGGGATAATCGGGATGTACGTAGTTGTATTGTGAGATCCGTTAGCTTAACTTATACCCAGAGCACAATTTAAATTTTTACTTTAAGATAAAGGCAACCCAATTACAATTAACACATGACGATTATATCTGAGTGCTTTTTCAGTTAATTTAACCGTCTTGTTTGGATTTTATTCTATTAAACTTCGAGCTGGAACATTGTGGTTTACCAACTTTTCTTTATTAAAATTCAAAATCTGTGTCGCATTCTAGTATATAAAATAAAACTTATTTTGAAGCCTATTGCATTATCTTCTTTTCTTTCGAGAATTTTGTTACTACGCGCTAGGAATTACACCGTTGTTTTATCTTATGGAAGATAAAAATACTGATCCTCCAGCTTGGGTAAATACTCTCTAACGAATCCACCATCTGTAAAGTCGCTTATACGCAGCGAATGTTCTTAATGAGGATCCAAACATACAGCTTTTCTCTCCAGGCTCTAAGTTTACACCTGATGTTCATGTGGAGAAACTTGGTTTAGCACAGAAAAAACTAAGGATAAAAGACAGGTAATAAGATTAATAATGCTCGTGGGCTGTTTAACATATTAGTTTTGAACTTTATACCCTTCTCCAGTATTGTAGAAGGTAGGGTTTTTATAGTTATTGTTATTTGTGGTTAAAACGGTATCTAATTATTATTGAAGGTACCATTGGGTGGTATAATACATGCCCGATAGTGCCTTAAATTTAAGCATTCATTGCTTTTATGATTGGGTTGATTCGTACACAATGATCTGTTTTTACTGTTCTGTCAGAATTGAGAAGACGCTGATGATTCGAAGAAATATTAAGTTCTAAAGTAGTAACTCAGAATTTATCCTTGATGTCATTTTATACACTTTTTTAGTATTTAAGTCGATCATGTGGGTTCGACAATTATATATTTTATCTACTTAGGGTCCTCGCAAACATATCAAACTATTTTCTAAAGAACCCGATTAGGATCCTTATAAGGACGATTATATTTTAATGATTTCATTTGATAAATGTATCATTTCCCGAAAAAAAAAAATCTATATATAAAAGACCTTAATCGGGTTTTCTAGAAAATAGTTTGATGTGCTTGCGAAGGGTTTTAGTAGAATCTCCTCCGCTTTCAGTTGCTGTTTGTAGAATTTTGTAAATTATGCAATCACTACATTTTCTTGCAGAAACCCCTCATAGACTCTTTACTCTTTTACATATAAGAATTGCAATAAATCAAGGAGTGGTTTGATTCATAAAAAAGAATAAAAAAAAAAAAACCAAAAGAATACTTTTAAAACTTTTTTATCATCAAAGTTAATATAAGTATGTATGCTGTATTCATAATTGGTAAGTTTTTGCAAAAATAAAATACAGTCTAAATTAGTCTAAAAACTTAGAATTCAGTGGCAGGATATTTCATGATGCATCGACATATTTCATTAATCTAATCTATATTCTTTTCTATAACTTGACATAGTAAACGATACGAAGTCTTACAAATTTGATTTTTTTTCATTGGAAAAGATGGGGGAGGGGGACTCAGAAAGTGACGAATATAATTAGCTTATAGAGTTACACCAACATTTTTGCAAACTTAAATTTTAATTCTGGAACTTCCTATTGTCTAAATCCGTACTAGCGCTATATCATCGGTATTGATCCTTTTACTTCTCGCTTATTGTTCCTGTCTTTTTGTGGAAATCGATGGAGATTATTAAATAAAAACTAGAAAATTATCAAACTTGCAAAAATTAACTAAGGCTTTATTAAACAACAGATGGGCTGATGACGGTCGTGGGTAGATTTATCCAGATAATACTCGGATGTAATGATTCCGTTTATAAAGGCCATAATGAGATGTCGATAACAGTAAAAATAACATTCATTCTTAAACTGTGTATGTTTTGTAGCACCCTAAAACTTTTTACCGGTCTAAACATATTTTGGACCGATACCGCCGGTATCGGTGCAATTTTTAGAAATTACAGATACCGGCGGTCTTTTTTGAAGATTGCACCGATACCGATTTTTAAAAAAAATGAAAATCACTGCAAAATCGAGTTTTGTAGTTTAATAAACATATATTACGATACCTATATAACTTATATGATTAAAAGAAAATTTATTAAGTTAATACGGTGACCGCAACAGGGGGTCAAAAAGTGTATCTTGTTCTTTACGCGTTTGGTGTTACACGATTAGGCTTTTTTTGTATCGTGCTTTCAATTGACTTACGCTTTTTTTTTTTTTTTTTTTTTTTTTTTTTTTTCACTTCTTCGCTGGTTTTAACGGACGAATAACTATCAAAACATATTCACTTTTTAAATGTCTCTATGACAAAGTATTGACATTTTTTTTGTCACATATATATTACAAATAAAATGTTTATAGTATTAAAAGCCATGTGCTTTATGTCCAAATTTTTGCCACTCAATAAATAGCCGCAACACTTTTTATTGAAATCACCCTCCTTCTTAGAATTTTCTTTCTAGTTTCCCCATTTTTTCCATCTTGTAAAGAGACAAGTTATAGGAAACAAAAGAGTGGTCAAAGGGTCATTTAAAGTATCTATCAAACGCACTGGAAGAGTACTCTATGTTTGTGTGTACCGTTCCTGTACGTAATATCTATTGAGTTTAAAAAATCGTTATTTATAAATCTAATATTTTTTTTCTTTCTTATTTTCCTTTTTTCTGTTTTCTTTTTGTCAAATGACCATGAAATAGTATGTATAATAATTGATACCATAATTTAACATAAAATTAACCTTTTACAGTTATGTAACTCTGTTTGATGTAGTTTATGAATAATAAATATTGTGTTTGCGTTCATGGTAGATGAACTACATTCTTTTCGAGGTAAGATTTATCGCTACAGTCACCTTCATTCCTGTTATTAATATCAATATATGTCTATAGATTTACTGTACGTTTACTGCTTGTAAATTTAGACCTGGACGACCTGTTTCTTTATTAAGGTATGATGTGTTTTTTTATCTTTTTTATACTCGTTATTAACGTTAGTTCTTATTATAGGTAAGTACCGCCCAGACGCGTTTGTCTATAACAGTTGTAACTACTAGCTCAATAAGTTAGTATGGGCGGGTTAGTTTCGTCTTTCATCTGTAAAACCAATCTGTGCGTTTATTTCTTCAAACATTTGTGGCTCTTTTTTTCTTTTTCTTTTTTTGTTCAATAAATTGTCTTTTTTTTTATTCAATATATGATGTCTAAATTTTTGGGTTTACAAGGGTAGCAACTCGTGAACTGAATACGTAAACTGTATTATTATCCAATAGAATTATTTGCCAAAACCATCGCTTGTAATCATCAGTATCGGTCCAAAAATGCGACCGATTTCTTACAAAATCTGTCCAAAAATGCGACCGATTTTTGGACCGTTACCGCCTGTCTAACTTTTTCATTTTTTTTTAAAAAATTGGACCGATAAAAAGTTTCACAGTGTAGCACAATATTCAGGGGAAATTGTAGTTCTTAATAAGGATAGCTGTGGCACCTCAATGTGGCTAGTGTAATTTTCATATGTTTTCATATCAATGTTATTATTTAAATGTATGTCTTATACTTGCATGAAGGATGATATGAGATCAAGCCGGTACTTAAAGTAAATGATCAGCATTTAATATATAGTATCAATAAGAGTTATATTTAGAATTATCAAATGGGAGATTTAAGAAGTGTAGATAGAGTCATATATTAAGTATATAGCCTCGATCACGACACTTTCTACCAATTGCATATAAACGTATCAACTATATTACAGCTGCTCAATATTGAATAAGAACAAAAGTAAAACAGTTCGAATAATTAATTTACTTACAAAATTTCGACACCTACTGACACATGGTAGTAAAAAATTGACGCCTTTTGACAAGCGTAAAATGCTGGTAACGTAAATTTTACTTGGATATTTTACCTTCAAATTGTTACTATCAGCCATGAAAAGAACGTATATGACTAAAGAGCATATATAACGGTAAATATTATACGACAATATGGCATTTATATTAAAAATGGTTTATACATTAGTACCTAAAGAAAGCTACATCATATAGAAAATTCGTCATAAACGTAAATAGAAAACATATAGGGAAGTAGACAAAACAGATTTGTCTGTCTGAGGCTATTCAAATTTTAAAATTCATGCCAATTTACCCTACTGGGCAAGCTGTATTCCACTCAAAGGGGACCAAAACTGGAAAGAAATATACGAGTCGCTCAAAAGGCGAGTCCCGCAAGTTAAAATGTAAACAATCTGACGAGTAGAAAAAGGCTGGGTTGCAATCACAATAAGGGCAGTAAAGAGTAAGGCCGTTCCCAAAAACAAATCACTCAATTTGTAAAAAAGAATAGCACCCCCCAGTATAAGTACTAGCTTATAATTATACTATACTCAGGATGGCAATGTGGCCTATATACCAGTAAATTAGATATGCTAGTTTAGTAATTACCAATAATGCTTTAAGTCATGTCACACTTGTTTTTACTTTTTTGAATAAATCACTAATTTGTAAAATGCCCAACCCCCCATAAATTTTGGCTGGTAAGTTTTTTTTTTAAAGTTTAAATTACTATTTTGAGCGAAATGTTTTTGTTCCCAAAACGCGAAGAATTTGCTTGGGAACGGCCTAAGACATCAAGCAGTCTTATCAGCTTTTTCAATCAAAACCTTTGCATTACCCAGATATGACTAAAGCACAATGTCTTTGTCACTTTAAAAGATTAATGTGTCTATCGTAGAGGCAAAAACCGTAAACTTACTCTAACGCCTTTCGTAAGAAGATATAGCATGCTCTCTTGGGATGATGGTTACTCATTAGGCGTTTCTTGCACGTCGTACAATCATAGAAGAAAACGCAGCGTTTAATTTCTAGACCATAGCACTTCTTATGCTGTGACCGATGAATACGCTTGTCCGACTTGATGACGTGAAACGGCTTCAGCTACACCTCAGGTCATATATTCCACCTTTTCAGTATTTTGGAGAAAATTCTAGGTGCTCATTTTTAATCATTCACCAAGAAGACATGCAACAAGCGTAAATTCAACAAAAGGCTAAACCAACACGGAAATAAAACGCTCCGATACCTTTTCAGTTTCCATGGATAACGACGTTCACCAATAAGTATGTGTTTAATCGACGCAGTTTTTCCCCTTTTTTTATATATATATTAAACCACCTTACCTAAGTATGACGGGCAGTGCTAAAAAACAGAGACAGCACACATCAACATTGTATGAAAAACTAAAGAACACGTACATAATTAAGTCAAGTCCGTGCAAAACGTCTGGTTCCAGCACCTCCATTCGTATTTGGAGTTGAATTACGTGTGGTCAACAGGAACATACGCATTTGTAAACTGTCAAAATATAAGTCGGTTGAGGTGTGTTATCTCTGTGTTAAATGTGATTGTGATATTTATTCTTTTATGGGGCCTTCTTAATCAAAGTTCCGCCCGAGTCATAAATACATACGGCTGGATCAAATGATTGTCGATTGGGCAAACTTTTATATATACACTCGTAGGAGATAATATAAATACATTTTATCATGTTATGTGGACGTTTATTTATCTCTTTAAAGATCACTTGGCGACTTTAACAATTAGTAAACTGATGGAATTCGTATGAATTTGCCGTAACATAAAAACAATAAAAACAGGTCACTCGTAATTGACCTAAGACAATGCATAAATAGCATGTTTCGGAAGATAAAAACAAGCCACTGGCTATTCTTTCCCAGATACAATCTCTCACATGTTTTGATATAGAAAGCGTCCTCCCTTTTGCAATAAATTTCCCTCCGTAACTTAGATAAAGATGAATAGAGACTCATTCCTTGTTTTTTTTTATTCTGTTTTTTTATATGCCTATATCAAAACATCACAAAAAGTATTTTCATGATTCTATTTCAGCAGACTGGCGATGTAACAGCCTATTTACAGCATGGTGTTTAAAGTTTTATTGTGTTTTTAATTCTTGTTTACACTTAACTGATGCGGCAGCTCTTCAAAGAAGTAAAGAAGAATGAGAGTGGTGTCAAAGAGAAAAGTTCACGCTTTTTCTTATCAAACAGTCCCTGAGATGCGGACTTGTGACTGAAACTTAAATAACGCCAGATGTACAAAAAGGTACGCGGAACAAAATATCGACAGTTTCCTTTTCTTACGAAATATAAACATTTCAAAGGTAGAAAAAAAAAAAAAAAAAAGCAGCAACAAAATTTTAACAGATGGATAGATGAATACCATTCCCGTTGATGTACAACAAACGTTGACAAAACTTGGATTAAAGAAAATTTTGCAGTTTTTCAAGCAAGTTGCAAGAGGTGTCTATGATGAAGAAATGGATAACGAGATCCGGCAAAGTAATTGAATAACCCCCTTTTTTTTTGTTTTGGAATATTAATCCTTCTTACTAGGAAACGGAGTCGTAACTTTTGCTTCCCCTTTGGAGGTGGCTGAAGGCCTTTTAGACACTGCCGATTTTTTACCCGACTATACATCGCCAGTTATTTATTCGACCATCACACCTGCCCCTTCCCCTACTGCTACACCTGACACTGCCACTTTCCCCAACGCCACCATTGACTCTCCTCCTACTGCCACACCTGTCACCGCACATGCCCCTACACCAACCACCACACTTGCCCTTGTACCTTCCACCACCGCCACACCTACGACCACGTCTACCATGTATGAGTCTCTTGATGAAACAATCGAGTCTACCATGTCTGAGTCTCTTGATGAAACAATCGAGAACGTTTCTGTTGTAGCTGTGGTTGCGGTGACTAAAATCCCTGATTATGTTGAAGTCGAAGAGTCAATCCGGTTCTTTGCTGCACAACCTCCAGAAATGGTATCACTGACGATGGTGTGTGGGGCAACCAATTGTGGCAGAGCTTATGACATGTACAAAAGGTGTACTGATCAGCTTTTGGCAGTTAATATCATAAGGTGGGTATCTGCTATTATGTACGCTAAACATTATGATGCTCTTAGTAGAAAAGAGCAAAAAGTATATCGTATGGCGGAGGTCTCCCATATCTCTGTTGATCAGCAGTATAAGATAATGTTGCTTGGTCGTAGAGGGTTGAAAGTACTTTCTATTTTTCAATTTAGTGGATTTGGATTGCTGTCAAAGTACAGCTGCGATAAGCTAATCAAGATTCGGGAACCAGCTTGGGAAAAGGAACTGGATCTTTTTCAGCAAGGAATTCCAATGCTGGAGAAATTGAGGACCTGCGCTTTCCACCCGGAATGGATTGCCCAAATCCAGTCGATTGGTCCCCAATTGGGATTAACCAATACCGGAGAGCTTGTGTCTTCGTTAGATGAAAAGGTTGTATCGGGGGAGAGAGAAAGACGTCTCGTTCTTTACAAGCGTCCATGCCCATTTGCGGACGCTAGCGTAAAGAGACTAAAATAAAACTTTTTTTTAAAAATTACATTGATCCTCTTTTATTTTCACTGTTATGATGATAAAACATGCCAATTGTTGGTGTACTAAAATCGCATATAAAATCATTCCGTCGATCCTTGATTGACAGGTACATAATATCACAACAACTTAGGGTCACTAGATATCCCGAAAGAATACCCCATTTCGAATAATAGATTGGCTACATTGATAAGGCTCATCAGTCTTTAGTAAATACTGCCAATAATACCAATTGAACACAAACTAGCCCATGATTTTACCCACGCTTTAAATAACTATAAATGCCCCTTTTTCTTTCGTATATGAAAAAGGGATTCACTTTTAATAAGAATCAAAAGCCTACAAACAATATTAATCTTATTCTTACTGCTTTTTTTTTTTTTTTATCTTTTATTTTTCCATGTCAAACAACAGGTTTTTCCACAGTTGACTTATAAAAGCAATGAGAGAACTATGTCCAGCATATCTGATCCCGTAAATAAAGAACGTTTACCGTAACCCATTTCCAAACCAAATCAACAAGCCAGCCTTTTCCTTCAACAAGTCTCATCTCCCAAACATTTTAAAATAGACTAACAGCAGCCATAAATTTTTATTTCTGGTGGTGCACGCCAATGCCTTTTTGAACCCTGATTTGTTATCCATTGTCATCATCCTCATACCATCTGCCAATTTATACCCTATACCTGTTTTTCCTTGAACAAAACACCTTTACCTACTAAAGAGTTGCTCTTTATGCATCATACCATAACCTTTTACCCTCTACCGGTATGCTTGATCACGAATCTGCCTTTTTCTTTTCCTCGATCTCATCGATAGTTTCTGTCCTTCTCTCTTGCTATCCTTTGTCTATTACACTCATTTTACTGGTTGTTCCAATAATAAATAACTCGTAAAGAAGAACCCGTAATCCAATTTTTCCATGATCCCCAGTGGAATTTCATCGATACCTTCATCGTCTACAAACAGCCTATAGCAAATGTCTATCATTCCAAATTGTCGTTCAGCGATCCTTTTCTAAAGGTGTTGGTATCTTTCATGAAAATTTGTTGGCCATCGGTTATAATTATAAGTTTTCTGATCTCAAGATCAAGTTGCTGGTTTTATTATCAAGCTACTAAATCCACTAGTCTGATCAGGACAAACATTTATCAAAGTGAAGGTACAAGATATTTTAAACTTTGAAAGATTAAAAACGAAATTAGAAAAAAAAAATAGCGAGCCCCCATACCTGTATAGTTACCTGTTTAACCTGGTTTCAAAGGTAGCATAACATTGGAAAGCTTTCTACACTTTTTCTTGCGAGATTGTGAGAGATTGTGGGGAAAGAAAGAAAATAAAAGAGGTGCGTTTTTTTTTTTTTTTTTTTTTTTTGTTAGCGCTTGAATTGTCAAGTCACAACAGGACATCGGGCCTTTGTCATGTTAAGACACTTGACCGTCTATCATAGAAACAAAAACTGCAAACTTACACTAATGCTGTTCATAAAAAAATCTGGCACGCTCTCTTGGGATGATGACAGTTCCTTAGCGGTTTTTTGCGCAGTATACAAAAATAGAAGGAAACACAGCGCTCAATTTTTCGCCCATGGCACTCCTAATGCTGTGGCCGATAGATACGCTTGTACGAATTGATGACGTGAAATGGCTGCGGTCGTACATTCCACTTTTTCAGTATTTGGAGAAATTTCTAGGTGCTAATTTTTATTCTTTCACCAAGAAGACATTCAACAAGCTAAATTCAACAAAAGGCAACACCAACACGGAAATAAAACGCTCCAATACCTTTTCCGTTTCCATGGATAACGACGTTCACCAATAATTGTTTGTTAAAATGACGCAATTTTTCCCTCTCTTTCGTATAGAACCACCCCACTACGCATTATGATCAGCGCTTAAAAGACAGAGACAGCACACATCAATAATAATGAACGGCTATAGAATAATAACATAATGAAAGCAAAGAAAGATTTGAAAGAGTCCAAATTAAATCCGGATGAAGTTCCTGCAAAACCTTTGGTCGTAGCACCTCTATAACATATTTATACTTGAATTATGTGTGATCAACAGGTACATACACAGTAGTAAGTTGTCAAAATGTAAATTATTTGAGGTGAGTTATCTTTTATGTTAAATGGGATTCTGATACTTACTCTTTTACGAAGCCTTCTTAATCAAAGTTCTGTCTTAATTCTGGATATGATCCCAATAACATGAGGGTTACCCGCATATCAATTTATTACTAAATCATGCATATGGTTGAAGCAGAAGATTGGACTTTTATACAGACACTTGTAGAAGATGGCATAAACTCATTTTATCATGTTATCTGGAAGTTTATTTATCTCTTTAAAGATCACTTGGTGATAACATTTAATCAACCGGTGTATTCCGCATTAATTTACCGTGATATAAGAACAATAACAATGGATCACCCTTAATTTTGTGGATGGGGGAAATGTTAAATTACACACCACAAAGGAACAACAAGGATGTTAATAGTCAAAACTATCAGGTGTAAGCCAATATATGTATCACAAAAAAAGCAAAAATCATACTTGACGAGGTTGGAAGTTCATTTCATTTGACACATGTATTCATCACCGAATACAGAGTTTGTGTGTATAAATACTAGGGGGAAAGAGTGTCGTTGCCTATACATTG